TTACAACGTGCGTAAGCGCATCCGGCATCTACCTGATACCGTTCGTGGAGCGGTTTACCGTGGCATTCTTGATATACACTACGCAACTAGTCAAGGCCAGTTAATGACGGTGTGGGCTCGAGTGTCTAGCGAGTGGAAAGGTGACAATCGACTGTGGAGTTTTTGTGAGTATTTCGATTCTCAGCAGCAGATTTTGGCGATGGCAGATCTATCATTCTTCTGGTGGATTCGCAACAACGAACAACCCATGTGAAGTTTTTAACGCTAGTATCAAGCGTTTCACGCTCCGCAAGGCTATGGGTACTCGTCGTTTAATTCTTAAGCTCCTGACTATTGCGGAATACACTTCAATTTGTGTTCAACATGGTACCACTTCCGCGCGCCCATCCCGCCGCAAGAGGCTTACAAGCTTGCGAACGTCCTAGTCGCATCGCAGCGTATTGCTGTGTTCAATACGGATGAGCAGTCGGTCGTACGAGTGCTGTATCTAGGTGATGGAATTGGAGATAATGAAGAAGTTTCGGTATTGGAGATTCACAGACGGCCGCAACGCATCCAAATGGGGTTATTGTCTCTGAAGGTTGCTTGATGGTTGATGAGAAAAGGTCTGCAGCTACGTTTTACCGCTCTGCCGTGAAGTGGCCAGTCCGACGGTCTCACCACATAGGTATGCCACCAGGTGGGTGGGTAGTACGCATGAACACCGTCGAGTGTATGTGCCCCTACTTCACAAAAATTTTATCGTGCGCCCATGCGGTCGAGTTGCGTTTGGTCTAAGTGTTCCTGGTGTCGACGGGCAGCACCTTAAATTCAAGAATCAACGCATTCGCCGTAGCGGCCAACGTGGCCCCAAAACCAAGGTTCCTTTGAGGGTGCACAGCGCGCCTTCGACTTCGTTCGAACAGGCGGCTCCCAATGCAGAATTTGTGCTCGATTCATACACCGGTCCGTCGGAGCAATTTGAACTTGTCAGCTCTGCCGTACAGAATTTTCTGCACGACGATACGGTCGACCTCTATGATGTGGATCTCTCGGCGTCAACGGACGCAAGTATTTGCGGTGGCTACAGTCAATTTGACGCCAGCTGGAGCCAACTACTCAGTGCAGATATTACTGTGACAGGACTACACAGGATTCGACATTTCGCTGTTAGCCTCGCCAAGCCCCACCCCATTCTCACAGCCCGGTGACATTTCACCGAATTGGGCAACTTCTGTCCTGCCACTGGTGTATCCGCCAGCCCAAGAACAAATGCCGGACCCCTCTTGCATCGCATGTCTAGACATTCAGTACCTGTTGAGATAAATCGAGGTTTAAATACACGTTTCGATTTACATGTTTAGAATACTCAACGCTTTTCGGCATACTGCAACCTCCAAATTGCATTAGACCAGGAAACTACCACGTATACCACTGCTCAACACAATATCTAGGAGTATGAAACTGTCATTCGCCTGTTAGAGCAATTCAGAGCTGTGTTTTGTTTACCCCTTCCTCATAATTTTGTGGGTTTCACGAAAGTTGCCACGCAACCTAGTAATTCATAACCTTCTGAGCTAGCACGATGATAAACTTGTACTCATGACTGCTCCCCATTATAGACAGCTAAGCACTACAATGAGGGAAATTCTGGTTTATATGTGAAGGGTTTACATACACTTACATCAAATCTGATACTTTCCGCACTATAACTTGCTCCCGCGCGCCAAATAATGCCTTTTTACGTGCGCGGCATTACATTATATGATAGTAAGGTATGGCAGTTTTAAGCATATGAGCACAACAAGAGGGACATTCTGAATGAAAAGCGTAGATGGACATGAACTTTCATCAAATCCGATACTTTTCCCTCAATTTAATTTGCTCCCGCGCGTACAATATTGCCAGTATCGTGCATGACGTTACTGGAACACACTCAGCATGCTCACAGTTATGCGTCATGATAGTAAGGTTTGCGTCGATATCAGTTGGAAAGCCACCGCAACTAAAAACCTCTCACCTACTAACTATCGATTCTAAACAAAAATGGTAGATAATTTGCTTCCCAGCTATCAATAATGCTTGGCTTCGGCATTAAGTTGAGGTGTACAACTCGTGACAGTTTGCTCTACAAGTATTGATAACGATATGGAGCGAGCCGTCTTCACTGACAGCTATAAACAAGAAATCCAAAGTAGAAAGAGTTCTTACCGTTCACAATAATCCATAACGATTTGCATGCGGAATTCTGATAACGTATCGAAAACGCTGTAGTTGAAGTTTTTATTCGGTACAGCAAAGTGTTGCAAGCCTTTATTGTGTACGGCGCTTTCGCTTACGGTTCTCCTTCTTTTTAATCCCAGCAATGTCCGCATTCCGTCTAGCTGCAAATTTAGGATCCTCCTCTAGCTTCTCGCACGCTTCTGTAGCTTACTATGTGTTTGTATTGATCCAACATTGATATTGTACTACAGTAAGTAAGGTTTACCTATCGCTACAGTAGCTAAGGGATTGAAAGTAAGAAGTTCTTACCCCGTAACTATGCATTTGCGCTATGCTAATTCCGTTTCCTGCATATATATCGGTCCAATAAACATGGTAGAGAAGGAATTTCAACGTGAACTCTTATAAAAAGCCCCAGCACAATGAATGTCAGAATATCTACTATCCCAATAACGCATTAACCTACCGCTACATACTGTGCCTTAATAAAAGATACGAAACACGTTCAAGCAAGTGTAGCTAAATATTCCCCCAAGATGAACACAGAGCGCCGCTGTATCTATAATACTTAAGTATGTGCATTCCTAAATAATTACAGTAAAATATGCGATGCGTGTCAGTGAACGCCCTCCACTATATGTACGCGCACTGATGTCGATTACTATGCGCTTCTATCGCCTACTCTCCGCCGCTATCGCTAACTTATGCGCTACTATCGCTCACTACCATACCAATTATCGTAGCATGTGTTTATATGAAGCAAACCTCGCTACAGCGCTATTATACTAAGTAGTAGGGTGCCCGACCCCAGCGATAGCTGCTACTACTCGGCGGGCCCATTTTAATTAATAGCTGGTGTTCCAAAAAGTATAAGGCCAAGCGTCGCGCCAGGGTGACGTAATCGCCCCCGTTCCGCACGCCTCGTCGGCTCGCTGCACTACTCGCCGTGTTATTAGTACATAGTTGTAGGGCGGGCCCTGCGGCCCGCTAGAACGCACGCGGGTGCCGCCATCGCTGCGCTCGGCAGCTTGGGGCCGCCTTCGGCGTCCAAGACTGTCTATGTATGTTATGTGGACCACCCTAATTTTGTCGCCATGGGGCTTCAGACGGAATTACGCACACACTTGACGGTCGCTCTATTAGTTGTTGTTAGAATTATCATTTCATTGACCAGCACTTTGCTCATTTTTCATTTGGACGCGCAACGCACAAGCCAAGTGTCCACTACGCACCAACTCACTAACTCGCTAGACATGCCGCCGCACCCTGACGACGTCTACAACGAGGTCTCCACGCCCAAGGCCGACGTCGCCTTCGACGATGCCAACAAGGCCGCCGCGCTCCAGATCAAGCCCAACCGCATCCTCTACACGAGCGTGCTGCTGGCGCTGCTGCAGCCCTTCCAGAGCGGATGGTCCACCTCGCAGCTCAACCTGTCCGACTACAACAACACGGACGAGTGCAACGCGCGGCCCGTCGTCCCGGGCACATGCACGCTCTTCAGCGGCCACTCCAAGCTCGAGTGGACCTTCGCCGTGAACGCGTGGATCTTCGGCGCCATGTGCGGCAGTCTGCTCTGCGGCTACTTCAGCGACATCATGGGCCGCAAGAAGCTGCTCTTCTTCAACTGCTTCTTCATGTGGTCGGCGGCGCCGTCATCCAGGCCGTCGTCTCCAACATCTGGCCCTTCGCCGTCGGCCGCATGGTCTCCGGCATCGCCTCGGGCGCCGCCACCGGCACCATCGGCGCGTACGTGAACGAGCTGTCGCCGCCGCACCTGCGCAGCCACCTCGGCCTGGGCCTGCAGATCTCCACCACCATCGGCATCTTGGTGCCGGCCATCTGCTTCTTCTTCGCCGACAGCGGCGATGGATGGCGCTACATGGCCGGCTTCCCCATCGTGCTGGCCGCCATCTACATGTTGCTTTCGCCCTCGCTGGCCGTCGAGAGCCCCGCGTGGCTGCTCATGAAGAACCGCCGCGAGGAGGCCAGGCAGGTCATCACGCGTCTGTACGGCGAGGAGCACGTGCAGACCGCGCTGGGCTGGCTCGAGGCCAACAAGCAGCCGAGCGAGGCCGAGGCCGGATACGCCGCCAGCTCGCAGCCGGCCGAGTCGATCTGGTCGCCCAAGTACCGCCTGCAGTTCCTCGGCGCGCTCCTGCTGTCCTGCACGCAGCAGCTCTCGGGCATCAACGCCGTCTTCTACTACTCGGGCAACATCTTCTCGGACGCCGGTATCTCGGACTCGCGCGTCGGCACGCTCATCATCGACTTCATCAACATCTGGCCGGCCTTCTTCACGGGCGTGCTGGCCACGCGCTTCGGCAACCGCAACATGATCCTCTGGGGCATCGCCGGCATGGTCGTCATGTCCATCGGCATGACCGTCGCCTTCCTCGTCGACGTGTCGGCGCTCTCCATCGTCTTCACGGCGCTCTACGTCATCGTCTTCGGCGTCACGTCTGGGTCATGACGGCCGACATGTTCCCGGACTCGGTGCGCGCCAGCGCCTCGTCCATCTGCATCGGCGCCAACTGGCTGTGCAACCTCATCGTCGGCGTGGGCTACCCGTACCTGGCCGACGCCTTCGACGACTGGAGCTACACGCCCTTCACGGTGCTGCTCATCATCTTCTACATCCTGTCGCTCAAGCTCGTGCCGGAGACGGCGGGAAAGACCAACGAGGAGATCCAGGCAGAGTACGAGGAGCGCCGTCGCCGCTAAGCAGTCGTCAGTGTCGGATAGTGTACTGTAGCGGGAAAGATGCATGTTGCTTCGAGCCAATATCATGTTCGTTTCTATTGACCAGCAGTTTGCAAGTATGGTGCGAACAACTCCATCATGTGCTTGAGCTCGTTTTCCTGATCGGGGTCCGATAAAATCTGGAGCAAATACGAGGATCCAGATAGCTGTCGGACGACTTGGGTAGCAGTAGGAACGAGGTGCATCATTTGGGTATCTTGACAGTGGCGGACGTACGCGAGGAGGTGGTGGAGTACTTGCAACAAACACCGGAATGCAGCGGCAGCAATCTTTCCCCTCGGTAGAGCAATGAAAAGAGTCAGGAGGTTGTCCTGAAGCGCGTTAAACCGCTCCGACTGATAGCGCGCAAGCACGCTGACATCCTCGAATGTGGCGGCCGTATTCTGGTCGATTGCAATCAGCACTGATCGCTTGGCTTCGCTTGAAAAGCTGTTCAGTGCAGTGGTAACCAATGTCTTCACTACACCTTCAACATGAGGAGTATAGTCATGCCGGCTGATTTCTTCCAGCACGAGCGCCAAGCTGCGCGCTTGCAGACTTGAATAGGGGTCGAAATAGCTGGTGACCGCAACACGAACCTTCTCAAGAAGCACGTCCCGAATCTGGTACAGAAGTGGACCATTGACGCGTTCATTGTCACGACTTGTGTCACGGATGTGCTGGTGCAACAATCGGAACCAAGCAAAGTCGTCCAGAGACCAGCTTTTCCCCAGCTCCGTCTTCGCGTCTGCTACACCCAGTGGGTCCCAATACATCAACTCTGCTTGCACGTAAGGAGCAAACAGCTTCTCTTGGGCAAGCTCGCAGTACGTGCTCTTGTGCACCTCCGGAAACTTTGCCTTCCATTCCTGGAAGCGGCCGTACACGGGCTCAAGTGAATTGATCTCATCAATCGCATCGGCAAATAAATCTTCATCGACACCGGGTCCACAAGGCGAAGGTACGTAGGATTCCGCAAAGTGCTGCTGGTACTTTTGCAGCCGAACGCTACGCTGAGAATAATCCATCGTGTGGTCATTAGCGTGCAGGTCCAGCTGATCAATACTAACGACTTGAGCTCGCTGCAGTCTTCCAGCTTCAAGATAGAATTGTACGTCCAACGCGACGCCGTGCATCTCTTCGTGACGCTTGCTTCCCACTCGCTGCACGCGCTCCTCCACCACGTTCTTCTCCTTAGCAGTAATCACCTTCACCTTTTCGCGCAGACAAAAGCTCAGACCCTTGACAAAGTCCTCCACCTCCTGGAAGTACTCGAACTCTTCACTGCTCACGAGCAGCTCTTCCTGCTGCTGCTTCAGCGTCGCCTCAATCAACGCAGTCTCCGCTTCCAGTCGAGCCAGTTCGCGCGACGCGCGTTCGTCCTCAAACGATGTTGACTCCAAGCTCTTCTCAAGCTTCCCCAGCACACTCCCGAGCGACACACACGCCACTTTCCTCCTCGTCGGGTACGTGGGCAGGCCGTCACGCGAGCGACTTGCCTTCCCCTCGGGTTTCAAAGGTGCTCGATGTCCCCCACGACGCATGAGTTCCTCCTCCCACCTCCTGTTCTGCTCCTCGTCTTCATCCTCCTCAGCTGACACTTCTTCAATGACTTCTGCCGTCTTGGGGAGGCTCGAAGCCCCCGACTGCACGCCGAACGTGACGCGGTTCTTCTTGCTGCGTCTGCTCTTGGACTTGCCGCCACTTCCTTCCAGTGAAATAAACTCCTCCTCCTCCTCCTCCTGCTCCTCCTCAGCCACTCTCCTGCCAACTTCATCGTCATTCTCGGCTTCCACGCTCATCTCCACGTCCTCCTGTTCATTGCTCTCTAACTGTTTGCTTGGCAGCAGCACACTCTGTTCGCTCCTGAGTGACGCCAGCATCTCGGCCGAGTACTGGCCCGTGCTCTCCACCCGAATCTCGACCTCTGCAGCACTGGAAGCCACGAGGTTAGGCCGCATCTTCCTCCGCTTGGACGCGCTCTTGCCCTCTCCGTCGTCGAAGCTCAGCAGCCCCGTCTCCGCGTGGACACTGGCGGTGACGGCAGCATTGACGTCGTCTCCTTCCAACTTGACGCTGGTCCTCTTGGAGCTGAAGCTCATGGAGCCCTTCGCAGTGGCGGAGACGCGCGAGCGACTGCGCCGCAGCTCTGCTAACATCTGCAGGTCGCTCTCGGCCTCCTCGGGGTCGTTCGACGCCGGAATTTCGGCGGAAGATGTGATATGGACATCGACGGAGACGCTGGGAGCCTCAACGTCGCCCTCGGCCTCCGCCTCGCGCCGCTTGCGCGTGCCAACCTTCTTCTTCTTGCTGCGGAACATGCGCTCGTGCCAGTCGATTGGATTGTGCTCTTAAATCGTAGTAGACTACATTTTATGAGCAGATCGTTTAAGGAGCATCACGACACTATAAGAGCGAAATTCGATTTAAAGAGCAAATACGCTTCAACGAACAGTATTAATATAGAGACTGACTAAAGGCACCGAGTGGGATCGTATTTAAAAGGAGTGATACAGTACGAGTCCGGTAAATTACGCAAATTAATTACCGACGATTTTCGATATTTCAAAAATCGAAATCTTGACACCCCCTCCCCCCTTTCTCCCATCCTCCAAAAATCCACTGGCTCTACTGGCTCTCATTTGGAGTTTGGCGTGTTTGGACCTCAAGTGCCTGGTTGGGCAGCTATTCGTGTACGTATAGTGAGCGAGCCCCCCCCCCCCCTTCCTCCTCCTGCTACCCCCCCCCCCCCGTCCTGCTCTCTCATGTGTATGTCAATCGCTAGCAGGTTAATACACGGACTGGTACAGTCGACTTTGACAGAGAGAGAGAGAGAGAGCGGGCCAGAGCTGCGCAGAACGGCAGTCGGTGTCTCAGACTAAGCGAGGGCTGGGAGACTACGCAAAGGCTGCACGTATACTGAGCGTCGGGGGGAGTGTCTGAGACTGCGCGATGACTGGAAGACGCTCTCAGGCGCTGCTCAGCGCCTGGGCGTCTGCTCGGAGGTTAATGTACACGAAGCTGGAACTGCCAGACCATGCGGCGTTTGCGTGAGGTGACAGGTGCGTTAGTGCTATCGCTATAGCTACGATGGGGGGAGGGGGGTTCTTAAATGTATTACTGCCTATCCTTTAGACCAGGACGTGACGATCCGATATGTCCACAACATGATTTCAAAAATGCTTGAAGAGCGTCGCGCAAGCGCAAGGGTCGCCCAGGACCTACGGCTGGATAGATTGCGCTAGGCTGCACGGGCGTGGTGAAGCGTTGAGACCAGGGATACCAAGAACATCAAGGGTTGACGCGGTGGTGCTTACTCGAGATGTATACGTGGGCGCAGAGCCTTATTCAAGCTGTTCAGGGTGACGCTCGTATCGTATAATACACACGTGTACGTTCCTGATAGTCTGTGTACCTGTAGATGCCGACAGGGTACCTAGTGTGTGAGTCTGTAGATACCGTACGGGTACCTATAGGTACTATGCATACTCGACTGATGTATCTACAGGCACTTTAAGAATGGTATGCGTACTCGCCTTTTCAGGGTTGATTTGACAGTGTGAGGCAGTCGGATGCCTGGCCAACTGAGCGAAGATCGTAACTGAGCGCTTCGGTGCGTCGTTAAATAGAAGTTGACAATACGCGGATTTTGCGTTGTCATGGCAATACTGCAAGGCTAGGCTCTCTCCATTAGTGTAACGTGCAGTTTGTAGAGTAGCACAGTATTGTCAGGTTTATAACGTGGTTTAGTAGCTACGTCAATGTTGTTAGCGCAACTCTACACCCGATTGGCGCGACCTAGTCCTCAACAACTCCCGTACTAGCAGGCGACAAGGTGACCATACTGTTTTCTTGGTCAATACGAGATTCGCCAAGTGCTTTTTACATTCGAACGACCGTTGCCACCACTTCCTATTTCCTGCAACATTCGTGTAACATAGAGCTCTTGAAGCATTCAGAGCCACACAACAAAATCTCTACATTTGGTGAAATTTATGAAATCTATTTGAATAGAATACCCCTCTTTTCTAACCTCGGTACCAATATTACCTGACTCAGTGCCATTTGGTACCTAGAGACAGACGAGTGCCTGCAGGTTCTGTACCCATGTACCTCGATGGCCCGGTTATGTGCTTCCCACTCAGTGCCTTTATCAACGATCATTGATATAATATGTCGGAGAGCGATGCAGTTAACGAGGTGAGGCGGGACTGGAGGCGGCGAAGTGCACGATCGTGCAGTTGCAGCAGCAGCTCGCGGCTATGGCGCAGCTGGTGCGGCAGGAACGCGCTGCTCGTGAGCAGGCGGTCAACAGGCCGCTCAAGCCGCAGAGGGAGCAGCTCGGGCCGCCATTGAAGCTCAACGTCACCACCACCTAGGACCAGCGTCTGCCTCCTCAGATCAAGAACGCATCGGCATGGAGCTGATGCTGCAGCAAGAGCGAGCAGCTCGTAGAGAGGCAGAGCACGCAGCCCAACAGGCGGCAAGAGCTGCGGAGGTAGCTGCTCGTGCAGCGGTTGAAGCGAGCAGGCATCACTCTGTGCCAGCTCCTGTGGCTGTAGAGGAGAATGGTCGCGGCAGGAGAGACTCAGGGGATTTTGAGATGGAAGACGTATCCGACCCACAGCAGGAGATAGATAGTGGCGAGCATGTCGCCCCAGGCGGTAAGTCTGCTATCATTGCAGTATTTACCCTTGGCTATTGTACTAATCGTGTGTGGTGTCTGGGTACTACGGCAGTAGCTCCGCCACAAGAGTCTAAGAAGTCCCAGGCGTCTAAGACTCGAGGACCACGTAAAACTCCAGTGGCTATGGATACCACTACCGGCAATAAACAGAAGATGTCGCTGGCGGAGGTGCGCAAAGCTGCCCAAGAAGCAACAGAGAGGCGGATGAAGGAGCGCGCGAAGGTGCTTTCATCGAAGAAGTAAAGGAACCTTCAGCGCTCGCCCAGCGTGTTCACAATGAGTTTGTGCCGGCTTGATATCTAAATCCTACCTGCTGAGAACTTATCCTCCTATCTATATCCACGCTCGTCCTCTGTCATACAGCTATATTGAAGCGGGCATCACTACTGAAATTCACCCAAGACCACGGATAGACAACACGAGGACTCGATGTTTGCAAACAGGAGCAAGCGAGACATTCAGCTTGTCACCGATGCGGGTCGCAAGGTTCGAGTGAAGCAATTTGAAGAAGAGGGATCACAGCGGTCAATCGCAGAGATGAAGGAGATCATTGAGCGCGAGCGAACCGCTCGTCAGCAGGCCCAGCTTGCCGCAGAGCAGGCGTTGACTGCAGCTAAGGAGGCTCAGAAAGTGATTCTGGAGCTTGAGCAAGAACTCGAAAGTAAGGACCAGCAACTGGAGCAAGAGCGCACTGCTCGCGAGCAGGCAGAACTCGCCGCTCAAAGAGCAGCAAGTGCAGCCGAGGAAGCAGTAGATCAGCATAAAGCCTCCCCCGTGCAGGCAGAGAAGGATGAATGTGTGAAGGCTCAGCCGGAAGCTGAGACTGAGGAGTCGAACACGGATGATGACGTGCATTCGCTGCCCCACGCTGTTACCACCACTGGTAAGTGTATCTTCCTATTTCTATGAACTGCAAATTGCTCGCTTACGGTTCTTGCTTGGAAGATAAATCGTCGCCAGCGAAGAGACCGCGAGAGTGTACCGAGACGCAATCATCTCCAGCGTCCAAGAAACCTCGCGGCCCAAACAAGGATCGAATTCGAGCATCGCAAGGTGAGGTGAGAAAGCAGAAAATGTCGCTGGAAGAGGCACGTAAAGCTGCCCAAGAGGAAATCGAGAAGCGAGTGGAGGAACGTGCCAAGCAGCTATCGTCGAAGAAGTAAGGCGTGAACCTTTCTGATACACTACCCTAGAACTACTTGAATTAGTTTACACGAAGTAGTTTTGTAGGGATCAGGCCAATCCTTACAAACATGTAAACTACAACGTCTATTCATATTGGAAACCTCTTGTTGCCAAAACCGATGCAAGTCCCTGAAGGTGGTGAGCAAGATAATGGAGCCCAAAAGTCAGCGATGGCGGCCAGTGGAAGTCAAGTCCAAGATTGCACAGGTCGAGGAGCTACTGAAACAAGAGCAACCCCTGTGTGAGCAGGCACATGTTGCCGCGCTGAACGCCGTAGATGTTGCGAACGAAGCTCTCCGCGATGCAAAGGAAGCCAAGTCTAGGATTGATCGACTGCAGCAAAATCTCAACGAGCTTAAGCAGGAAATTATGGGCGAACAGGATTCCAACAGCAGCGATGAAATTGCAACGGTAGCAGTGAAGAAAAGCTGCGAGAAAGAAATTGCGATGTATTGTGAGGCTGCCACGGTGGATGAGCTAATTTCGAGCTGTGAACTCGATGAGATGCTTCACACGGATGTCAATATCATCATCGAGGACTCACTTGAGAAAATGAGGGCTCTCCCGACGACATTACGCAAGGATGTTCGAGCTTCGCTCCATGAATTCGCAGAGAAAGAAATTATGACTGCCCTTAATATTAACAGCGAAAGGATAGCCGTGCATCTGTCGAAGGCGGTGGATGCTGCAGTGAAGACACTAAACGAAGGGTGCGTCCTGTTCGAGACGACGAAACTCCCCATGAAGAACGCGCTACTTCGACAGCAGTTTACCGCCATGCTGAAACGGGAGCTCGAGCGAATCCAAAATCTTTCCATGGGCTGCAGGGGAAAAACGGGGTGCGGCCGTCTGAGACAGAAGGCTAGCATTCTGTTTGACGAGTTTGGAGGTGGCAAATAATAAGGCCATTCAGCATTCCGTCAATGCACTAAATGGAGTGGTACATGCCGCAAAGGCACGTATGAGCGTAGAGGTGCATGGCAACGTTGAGAAGCGCTTAGCTGAGAGGCGTCCAGTGACGGTGGTCAATCTGCAGCGTGAAGTGGAAACTCTGTTCACGCGAGTGATGCAAGAAGTAGAGCAGAAAGCTGGAACCGTGGACACACTTGGGGTGTTTGACTTCCCGTCTGAGCTAGACCAACACAAGGATCAACTGACAGACGAAATGAACCGACGATACATGATTGAAATGCGTCAAATACTGAACGAAGTCACCTATGCGGCTCGAGAGGAATTAGGTCGGCAAGTCATGTATCGGCTTGACGGGACAATGCTAGAAGAGGAGATAAAAACCGCTATTGATAGTGCGGTTGCATATGTCAAGGGTGTCATGGCGGACAAGCTTGCAGGGTGGACGCTGCTGATTAGCGATCTTGAGGCCAAGTACATGGAACTGGAGAAACTTGGCAAGGAGGTGAGTAGATGCGTTGTCTTGTTAGTATGCACACGCTCATTATTTGTTGTGCTGTCCTGTACGTGTGTTCAAATGGATGTTAAAGTTTGCAGATAAATACATGCATCGCAGCCAGCAGCTAGAGAAAGAGAAGAATGTGGGTGCTGTCAAAACGTCAACCGAGCAGTGCAGAATACCGCATAAGGAAACGACCGCGCTGTTCGAGCACAGCCCCCAAGAAGTTGGGTAGACGACAATATCGACTCAATGTTTCGTCAGACCTTGCAGGAGTTCGCTACCAGATTCTTGGTGAGTGGATCGAATGGTGGAATCGCGGGGGCAAACGATCAAGACACGCTTCCCACGGATCAACCAAAATCAGCTGCGAATGACCAAATGATGCTGAAAAGATTCGTATCGTATACTATTAGATAAGTAGTATGGAACGCTAACTCCGATCGTTGGCTGCGTGAACTCAGACTTACGCCTGAAGAGGAGAAGCAAATCCACGAGCGAGGACGTCTGGTCGCTGATGGAAGAGGGGATCAACAGACTAAAGAGAGTGATTACACGAAGCATCTTTACTAGAAAGATAGCAAGTTCACAAAAATGGAGAAGTTGCAAGCGGCGACGACGAAAAACACTGGTAATTGACAGCAGTGGGAAGAAGAGAGGTAAAGCAGTAGGCGATTGATCCTGGGCAAAACTGTTGGTTTGTAGATTGTGGTTGAGGGGGCAAATTCCGAAGTGAGATTAAATGTTATCGTCTCTCAAACTACTCTCTAGTCTTCCCCTCCTGCTTTCCTTCTTGTTCTTCTTGTGCTCGTTGGTGCCTCTCATCAGACGGATTACTCCCGGGTTCCGCTTGACTTGATCTCAGTATACTTGGGTCTCCCTGACCAGCCATTGGTGTACCCAGAGCCCGGCTGCCGCCGGCTCCCCTGTCGCCGTCGGATCCTACGAGTCATCGGCTGATGTGTCCACACGTTCTCCTCGTACATGTGCATCTATTGGCGGCGCTCCCGAAGACTTATGAACACTCCCACTCGCCGCTAATGCTGCACGACCGTCCCGACGATTCCGCTTGCGCTGATCAGGTACTTGAGCCTCTTCGTCCCCAACGCCTTGGTAAGCATGTCCGCGAGCTGGTCCTCCGTCGGCACGTAGTTGACGACGATGAGTCCTCGGGACACATTTTCGCGGATGAAGTGATGCTTGATGTCCACGTGCTTGGTCCTCGCGTTGTAGCCAGCGTTGCTTGCGAGAGCGATCGCGCCCTGGTTGTCCTCCCATACTTGGGTAGCTCCCACTTGCTCGGGACCCATGTCCTTGAGCATGGCGCGGGTCCACAGCACCTCCTGCGTGCACAGGCTCAGCGCCATGTACTCGGCCTCCGCCGAGCTGAGCGCCACCGTGCGCTGGTACTTCGACTTGAAGACCACCGGCGCCCCGCTAATCATCACCATGATGCCCGACACCGAGCGTCGGTCGTCGAGATTGCTGCCCCAGTCGGCGTCGGTGTACGCCGTCACCTCGACCTTCTTCGCGTTCCCATTGTAGGCGATGCCGATGTCTCGGGTGCTCTTCAGGTACCTGAGCACGCGGATGGCAGCCTTCCAGTGCTGCTGCCCGGGGTTCTCGAGGAAGCGCGACAACTGGGTCACGATGTACGCCACATCAGGTCTGGTGCACGTTGTAACGTACAGCAAACAGCCAATGAGTGCTCGGTAGGGCTTCGCCTGCATTTCCTCACGTTCCTTCTGAGTCATCGGCGACTGAGTCTTCGACAACTTCATGCCCGACTCGCACGGGTTCACCACCACCTTGGCGTCCTGCTGGTTGAACCGCTTCACCACATCATCAATGTATCGAGTCTGCTTGATCATGAGAGTCTTCGCCGATGAGTCATGGTCGATCTCCATACCGAGAATGAACTTGGCCTCGCCCAACTCCTTCATCTTAAACGCATTCTTGAGCGCCACCTTGACTTCCTGGATCTCGCTGCTCGTCTTGGCTGCGATGGTCATATCGTCCACGTACAGGCAGACGTACACGAACCTGCCCTTCTCGCCCTTGACGTATACGCACTGGTCACCGCCGCAGCTCCGAAATCCGATGCCCACGAAGACTCGGTGGATGGTCTTATGCCAGGCATTTACCGCCTGCTTCAGACCATAGATCGCCTTCTGCAGCCGACACATCATGTTCTTCGCGTTGATGATTCCGTAGGGCACCTCCATGTAGACGCGCTCCACCAGCCCGCTGTTGAGAAAGGCGGTGTCCGCATCCAGCTGCTCGGTGATGTACGCCTCGGCCACCACAACCGACAACACCACTCGGATCGAGTTCATGTTGGCCACGGGCGAGTACGTCTCGAAGAAGTCCACGCCATACTTCTGCTTAAACCCTTTCGCCACCAGGCGGGCCTTATACCGGATGACTCGGCCGTGCTCGTCGCGTTTCTTTGCGAACACCCAGCGACAACCGATCGGTCGAGCACTCGGTGTCCGACGGACCAGCGTCCATGATCCGTTGTCCGCGTGTGCCTTGAGCTCCGCATTCATTGCCTTCACCCACTCCGACGACTCGTCACTCTGCATGGCCTGCTGATATGGTGGGTGCGTCATTGGCATCGCCGACGTCTGCGGCGTAGGCCAGCACCGCCTCAGCCAATAGGCTGTCTTCGTCCACCCTGGGTCGCTTTGGAGACGGTGACCAGAAGTGATCATCGTTGTCCGAGTCATCGGGACCATCTTCTTTCGACTCCTCACCGTCTGCGGAACCATCTCCAAGTAGTAGTACCGGTTCTCGGGCGCGCCGGGTCCGTTCCGACTCGGGGTGGAAGACCATGTCATCATTCAATACCGGTCTCGCGAGTCGTCGGTACGTTGTCAGCTCCTGCATGGATGGCTCCGACGTCTCCACTTCATGCATCTCCGTGTCCTCGACGGTCTCTTCCACTGATTCCATCGGCTCGTCGGCGGCAGGTCGTTGTATCTCCTCGGGCAGTGCCGCATCCTCGGCATCTTCCGTCAACTCAATGATCGGCGAGTTCTCGCTGGGCGCCATGTCGTAGATGCCGTTCACCTCGCGCTCGTCCAGCTTCACCGACCTGGACACCTTCACCTTGTTCGACTCCAAGTCGTACACTCGGTAGCCTTTTGAGTCGTCGGCGTACCCAAGAAACATACATTTGAAGCTTTTCGGCTCCAACTTCGTGCGTCGCGACTTGTCGACATGAGCGTAACCCATCGACCCGAAGACTCGAAGATGATCCAGCCGAGGCTTTGACTTGAACGTCAACTCGTACGGAGTCTTGGTCGGGTGCATGCTGTTCGTCGACCGGTTGATCAGGTAGACAGCAGTGCTGACCGCCTCTGCCCACCATATCGAAACCACGCCCTTGTAGTGTAGCATGCTTCGAGCCTTCTCCATGATCGTGCGGTTCATCCGCTCCGCCACGCCGTTCTGCTGGGGGCTATACGGGACCGTCTTCTGATGCATAATCCCATTCACCCGGCAGATCTCAGTCATCGGCGTGTTCACGAACTCAGTGCCGTTGTCCGAGTGCAGGCATTTAATGCGCTGTCCCCACTGGTTCTCGTACAGCTTCATGAACGACTTGAACTTGGTCACGACCTCGCTCTTCTTGGTCAAGAAGTACACCACGACTTGTCGAGAGTTGTCGTCGACAAAACTGAGCACATACCTCGCTCCGCCCTTGGACTTCGTCTTCATAGGACCCATCACGGCCGTATGAACTAGTTCCAGCGGTCGAGTCGTCGCCGACGTCGACCGCGACGGGAAATGTGCGATCGTCTGCTTGCATTTCATGCATCCTCCGCACAGGGTCTTCGTCTGCTGTTGAGTCGTCGGGAGCCCGTCCGTCGCCTCGCGGGTCTTCGCCATAGCGTCTCCGTTCAAGTGTCCCATACGAGCGTGCCATAGCTCCCACTTTCCGTCGACTCCCGAGTACTCGGTGTAATACGCCATCTCCTGCTGGCAGTCCAGCAAGTACGCCTTGCCGACCTTCTTCCCCGAAGCGATCGCCTTCGTCTTGTCCCAGATGACGCACGACTTCCGCTGGAACTCGACACTCATGCCGCGTTCAGCCAACCTCCCAACCGAGAGTAGTCGCCGGTCGAGTCCGGGGATGTGGAGCACCTCCACCATCTTGATGCGCTTGCCGTCGATGCCCGTTAGGCGCACCGACCCTTTCCCTGCCACGCGGATCTTCTTCCCGTCCGCGATTGTCACATACATGTCCGCCGACGACTCGTTGTACTCGAACAAGTCATCGCGGTGAGGCGTCATGTGAGCCGTCGCCCCACTATCGATCAGCCAACCCGCTGATGGATTTTCCGCCACAGCGAACACCGAGTCTTCGGCGGTGTCTCCATTTGCCTTTTCCGGGCAGTCCGCTTCATGTGCCCCACTTGGTCACAGTTGAAGCACTTGCCCTTGAAGCCACCGACCTTTCGTCCGTCGTTGCGCTTGCGGCCGAATGCCTTGCCGCCCTTGCCGAACTTCCCGTTCTGGCCCCTACCTCCGAACGAGGTAGCCTTCAACGCGCGCTCCGTGGTCTCCTTCTTCTCCTGCCGCTCGTACTCCTTGAGCACACCTCGATGAGGGTCACGTCCTTCGAGTTCTCGATGATGGATGCGATCAACTCGTACTCCGCCGACAAGCTGCTCAGCAGGATGACGAGTTGTCGGGAGTCATCGAGCGGCTCTCCAAGCATCTGGAGGCCCACGATGAGCTCGTCGAACTTGTCCAGGTGCTTCGCCATCGTCGCACCGTCCTTCATCTTGAACTCGTGGAGCCGACGAGTCATCGTGACACGATTATGCATCGTCGTCCGGTTGTAGAACTCGCATAGAGTATTCCAGGCTTGGATAGCCGACGTCGTCGACCGAATCTTCGTGTGGTGTTCCACAGCCACGCCTTGAGCGATCAGACCGAGCGCCTTCATGTCGTTGAGCATCCAGGCCTCCGTCATCTCCGTTGGGTCCTTCACCACTTGGACGTGCGCCAGCAGCCCCTTCCTCGCGAGCGTCATACGCATCGCGAACTCCCAGAGGAAGTAATTGTCACTTCCCAGGATGACTTCGGCCTTCTTGTTGGACGTCGTCATGTCGGTCGTCGGGGAGGGCTTGAGCTTGTTGCGGCTGTTAACCTGTTGGTTTGTAGCTTGTGGTTGAGGGGGCGAATTCCGAAGTGAGATTAAATGTTATCGTCTCTCAAACTACTCTCTAGTCTTCCCCTCCTGCTGTCCTTCTTGTTCTTCTTGTGCTCGTTGGTGCCTCTCATCAGACGGATTACTCCCGGGTTCCGCTTGACTTGATCTCAGTATACTTGGGTCTCCCTGACCAGCCATTGGTGTACCCAGAGCCCGGCTGCCGCCGGCTCTCCTGTCGCCGTCGGATCCTACGAGTCATCGGCTGATGTGTCCACACGTTCTCCTCGTACATGTGCATCTATTGGCGGCGCTCCCGAAGATTCATGAACAAAAACAATATAGTCAAGCAACGCGAATTACGATAATGAAGCTAGCGGGTGTCATCATCACCATCATCATCTCCACCGCTGCTCTTCTTCTTCTCCAACAAGATCTTCGAGCGCTTCGGCACGCCCAACTGCATCATCTTCAGCGTCGTGGCTTACGGCGTCCGTATGATCGTCTACACGTACGCGCACAACCCGTGGGTGTGGCTCCCGTTCGAGGCGCTGCACGGCATGACGTTCGGGCTGCTGTGGGCTGCGTTCACCAACTACATCTTCCAGTCGTCGCCCGAGGGCACCGAAGGAACGATGATCGGCCTACTGACCGCTGTGCAGAAGGGCATGGGCGCGGCCTGCTCCACCCTGATGGGCGGCTACGTGTACGAGCACTTCGGCCCGCGTGTCATGTGGGGCATCGGTGCGTTCGTGGTCTTCCCGCTGGCGATCCTGTTCTCGCTCATCTTCTCGTGCCTCGCTCGTGAGTACCCGGAGAAGAGCGCCGCGACCCGCGAGAAGTGGGGCAGCTCGTCCAGTTTGTGCTCGATCGACATCAACGACCGCATTTCCAAGAAGAACGGCTACACGGAGATCGACGGCGTGCCGGACTTGTAATCTTATTCGTCTGCTCGCTTCCTTCCTTCCGCCCCCGCTGCATTTAGAGAATTCACTTTGGCTGTATTTGATGGAGAGAAGAAGAGAGAGTCGGGGGCTATTGCTATCGCGCTCAACATACCAGTAAAAATTCTTAATGGAAGGGGCGAGTGAGTGCATTTGCATGCTAACATAGCGTTGCTATTGTACCTCAACCATTCTTGAAAGCAATCGACTTCAGCTGAAATGTTGGAATGCAGCCTTACTTCCTGAAGTTGACTGGCTTCAAGTTGAGCACATGATGCTCGACAGCATAAGAAATTGCGTTAGCGTTGGCACGCTAGCGCAGCATGCGTTCTTCAGTGTGGCTAATACTTTTTCTTACTTTCTTTGCGGCAGGCGGCTCCCAGCACCCGCGAGCAAATGTGGCTGCAAAGTACAGATCGAGTAAGCTCTCACTCTAGTCGCCTGCCAGCTTGTTGACATCGGCTGCATACAAATACCATACTGGGATGACGTAGCAAACTTATCTAGTGGGTGGTATTCCCTTGAAGAGAAGTTCTAAGTTCTTTACAAAATATTTAAGAGAATGTTGCCAAAGCTTAACTCAAAACGATTTCTAGGTATTGTGCTCGCCACACATTTTGCCTATCTTAGCTCTAAATCGACCGGTATTTGGAGATTTGCGCTCTATTTACCCCAAGTTACGATATATATACCTCGAGTCACTTCTTATTAGACCGAGCATGGAGACGGCACTATCGCTCTCATATTAACCAGCTGGGGTATTTAGCTGGCCTCGTACATGTGTATAGCTCATTAAAGGTGTTGATTGGTCATTTAGGCTAACCCTGGTCGATATATATATATAAATCGACCAGAATGCCCAGTTTTCCGTAGGCGTTCTGAAGGATTTACATATATATCGACCAGGATTTGGTGATACCAAATCCCTTGAGAGCGTGGAAAACCGAGCAGACAAAACGCTTGGCGAGCACAATAATCTTTATATTATAAGCACATGTCATTCTAGTCTCTGTACTAGTCCTACTTTTAGATAATAAATCAAATAGTTTGAACCACTTTTAAATGAGGTTCAAATATAAAGTGTAAAACTGTCGATTTTTTACTTTCAAGTCAAATACGATATATATAACAAAAAAACTGATGGTTTCTAATGAACTACAGGTATAAGCTTACTATTCCCGATAAGGTTACGGTTACTATCCACTATACGGATATTTCCAATTGTACACAGGCATCTTTGTATGGATGTAAAAATTATGTAGGTTATTTTATCTATATTTTTCGTACATGTTGTGAGGGATTCGCGCAGGCGATTTTTCTGTTTCCGTTTGTAAAAATACATTACGTTGTTTAGTTCTCCACATGACTACACGCCGCTCTGTGCGAAACAAGGTTAAAACACTGCTGGCTAGTACTCTAACAATAATCGATATGTTTTAGTAAAAACTAGGAACTTGCGAGACCAACAGATGACATCGATTCAGTTGCATCATATGTTGCATCTCGACAAATAGATGACAGCAGAGCAAAATCGAAAAGCGCGTGATGAGTCACCATAAGGAAGCCTGGGTGCGCACACCTCAAGATCCAGTGCGGATGTGTTTTGCCTTTGAGGACCAAGATCTGCGAGGCTGGCCGCTGCGCCATTACCAAGTGCAAGCAGCGGTCCCATGCTGCGTGCCCCAAGAAGTCCTGCGAGAGTTTCGCGACGCACGGGGCCGACGGGCAACTCCAGTACTGCCGACGTTGCGTGGACACGGACCGGATGGACCCCGCGGTGATCACTCGCGTCGCGCCCAAGATCCCGTTCGTGTGTGCGGGGGTCAAGTGCACCAAGCCCGGCTGCCGATCCAAGGACCACCGCAAGTGCAAGATGTTCAAGTGCATCCTGCCCGCTGGATACGGCCCCGACAACACGCGGGTGTTCTGCAAGGGGTGCCAGCCCAAGGCCGACGCCAGCAAGGGCGAGAAGAAGCGTCCGGCCAGGTATGGGCAGTTCAACTGCATCCCCACTCACTGTGTGAACTGTGGGCCACCGCTCGGCATGCGGCTCCTACACGTGCGCAACGGGTTCGGTCAGTTCGAGCTGGGCAACGGGACGGCGTGCGTCGCTGAAGCATCGTTCGAGGTCGACGGGGAGAAGCGCTGCAAGGAGCACCGGGACGGCGCAGCGGTGAAAAACCTGAAGCTGTGCACGGAGCCAGGGTGCAAGAAGCTCAAGGTCCAGCGGGGCTACTGCAACTCACACGCGATGCTGTACAAGATTGCAGTCTCCACGTGCTGCGTGGACTGCCTCAAGAAGCCGGAGTTCAAGACGGGGAGCAACGGCGCGGAGGTTGGTCGCCTGTGCATGCCCTGCACGGAAGCTCGCATCGAGTTGTGTGAAAATTTTCGCTGGTGGAGGATCGGTGTATACTGGTACGTGAACGGTGATGTGGTGAGCGCCAAGTACGACCCCGAAGGTGGAACCCCTCTCTACTGCGTCAAGTGTAAGGATCTGTGCGGGCACCCGGAGATGCGCGACATCGCCAACCACAGGTGCAGCGAGCCGGGGTGCAAGACGACCGCCGGATTCGGGATTGAGTGGGAAACCCCCAGCATTGCGTGCGCCACCGCACCTCCGACGAGGTGAACGCCACCAATTTGGTGCGCGTCGAGCCCGGGTGTAAGACCAAGGCAAGCAACGGGACGGTTCAAGGCCAGCCGAAGCACTGCGCGCGCCACCGGCAGCCCGGCGAGAAGGACGTCATTAACAAGCGCTGTCCAAACTGCACCGTGATGCTCCAGAGCCAGACCAAGCTCTACCAGCCCTACTGCTTTCGGTGCTTCCTCGTGCTGAACCCGACGGTCGAGGTGTCCCGACAGTACCTCGTCAAGGAAGAGGCGTTCATGGAAGAGCTGACCGACAGCATTCCCGATAATGACCCTGAACAAGACGATCGCTGGTGGTTCCTCGCCCCGCCGACCAGATGACTACGTCAATTGCGCAACGCACGCGGTTATCGTGGAGATCGACAGGGTTCAACAGGCTGAGTACGACCCCAAAAATGAGGTTAAGCCAGGAATGATTTGTACGAGAACAACCGGAAAAAAGTCAACCTGTTATTTTTTATTGTTTGGGTGCTATGTTGAGCTTACTTCGTCTGAAATATCATCTCAATAGTAATTGATCAAAGACAGTATCAAGACGTTTGGATGCAAATAGCCCAAACCTCATATTTGGTTTCAAAACGGCTGCCGTGAGACATTTTAGATCCAAGAAAGTCGAATATCTAAATTAGGAATTGTATGGTCGTGCAGGAACAGCATGTGAGGGTTATTTGGTGTTATTAGATGAATCAGGGCATGACAGAATCAAAGTTGCATTTATTAACTTTCTGTTATCGGCATGTTTTTTTATCGGTTTAAAGTACGGAGTGAATCATACGAGAAAACACGATTTCATACCCAAACAAAATAATCATACTGAAAGTACGAGGCCATACCAAAATGTTCGAGTACAGCCTCGTACTTACACATCTGAACGCGTACTCCCATAAATTATGATAGCATTTTCTGTGTGACTTCCTCCTACTTATAGATTTGAACTCGTAGTTTTCAGTGTATTTTGGTATAAATCTTCATTTTTGTGCGTATTGAATAGAATAATAGTATCATCATCATCTGGAGAGTTGTTTTCAAATCACCTTGATTCAACTTGATGAATGTTACGTTATGTAGTTTATAGTGTACAGCTGTATCATAGCCGCTATATATATATAGCTTTGGTAGTAGGTTCCCAGATAGCTGCAAAAATTGCAAAGCAGGAAACGGTGTAAGTAAATCGCTATCTCTAAATTTATAATGGCCTAAATATCATCGGCGAATTCATGTTTATGTTCATCGCACATATGATTTGCTGAGTCATGTTTTTTCGTGCTAGTTACTGGTCGTTTCAACGGCTTGTTTGGATTTGAGGAGGTAGGTTTAGGTTTTATCAAGTTCCAACACCATTGGGTACTTCCTGAAAGGAAATTGTACTGACACTCTGTTGCGTATATTGTATGCGTCCGCGTGACAGTAAGTGCGAAGATTTGGTACGTTTGAATGTGTTTACTCTTAACCATATCCCAAAAAATATGTTTAAAATAATTATAGAAATAATTTGTAAAAATATGTTGAAATAATTCAACATAAAGTGTTTTATTAGTGTTCTTCGGAACGTTTCTGGCAAGACCATCACTAAAGCAAAATAAAAACAGCGCATTTAGTGCAAAATCGACGAAAATAACAAAAATATGTTTAATATTTACCCAAAGGTGTTTATAGTCAAGATTTGGGATAGAATTGCTTGATTATTTCGAAGGTTGTTGAAATCAAGTAGTTGATAGTAACCAGCAGATATTTGAATGTCCTATGTACCTCTACACGTCAGGGTTGCGCTGATTTTTGCTGATACATAAGTACATGCTGTTTGTGAGAGAAGCTATAAGCTTAAGTCTAATACCTCTTCCAGCATTTTCAGTTTTGGATATCCAAAGTGTAGCTTCGATTTACTTCTATAACACGTAAAACGACGTATTGTACGCGAATTTTGTTAAGGCTTCAGATAAAAGATGTAGTTGACACTACTACAGAGTAATACAAGAGGCATACAAATTGTTAATGTGATTGACGATTGTGAAAAGTTCGCTAGCTTTACGAATACCAACTTGAGTTAATTTTCTGTTGCGACAACAAAGTGCATCAGCCTACTTGGGTGGAAGAATGACCCTGACAGCTGACGAAATACTTTATCAGCTTCACGATTGGTTGCCCGTCGGTCTTGGACGGTGTCTTGGGTGGTGTGTCAATCGCCCGGTGCACTTCAGCTAACAGCGCGCTGAAGCGACGATCAAATTCAGCCGTGTCGCGCTCGGTCCCCTTCAACGTCCGCTTGAAGATCGACGGCACCGTCACGCCGTCGCGGGTCTTGTAAGCATCGGGGTTCAGCCGGATGGAGACGATCTGCTTCTTGTTGACGTCCTTGAAAATCTCCTCCATGCGCTTAACCTCATTTTTGGGGTCGTACTCAGCCTGTTGAACCCTGTCGATCTCCACGATAACCGCGTGCGTTGCGCAATTGACGTAGTCATCTGGTCGGCGGGGCGAGGAACCACCAGCGATCGTCTTGTTCAGGGTCATTATCGGGAATGCTGTCGGTCAGCTCTTCCATGAACGCCTCTTCCTTGACGAGGTACTGTCGGGACACCTCGACCGTCGGGTTCAGCACGAGGAAGCACCGAAAGCAGTAGGGCTGGTAGAGCTTGGTCTGGCTCTGGAGCATCACGGTGCAGTTTGGACAGCGCTTGTTAATGACGTCCTTCTCGCCGGGCTGCCGGTGGCGCGCGCAGTGCTTCGGCTGGCCTTGAACCGTCCCGTTGCTTGCCTTGGTCTTACACCCGGGCTCGACGCGCACCAAATTGGTGGCGTTCACCTCGTCGGAGGTGCGGTGGCGCACGCAATGCTGGGGGTTTCCCACTCAATCCCGAATCCGGCGGTCGTCTTGCACCCCGGCTCGCTGCACCTGTGGTTGGCGATGTCGCGCATCTCCGGGTGCCCGCACAGATCCTTACACTTAGAGAGGGGTTCCACCTTCGGGGTCGTACTTGGCGCTCACCACATCACCGTTCACGTACCAGTATACACCGATCCTCCACCAGCGAAAATCTTCACACAACTCGATGCGAGCTTCCGTGCAGGGCATGCACAGGCGACCAACCTCCGCGCCGTTGCTCCCCGTCTTGAACTCCGGCTTCTTGAGGCAGTCCACGCAGCACGTGGAGACTGCAATCTTGTACAGCATCGCGTGTGAGTTGCAGTAGCCCCGCTGGACCTTGAGCTTCTTGCACCCTGGCTCCGTGCACAGCTTCAGGTTTTTCACCGCTGCGCCGTCCCGGTGCTCCTTGCAGCGCTTCTCCCCGTCGACCTCGAACGATGCTTCAGCGACGCACGCCGTCCCGTTGCCCAGCTCGAACTGACCGAACCCGTTGCGCACGTGTAGGAGCCGCATGCCGAGCGGTGGCCCACAGTTCACACAGTGAGTGGGGATGCAGTTGAACTGCCCATACCTGGCCGGACGCTTCTTCTCGCCCTTGCTGGCGTCGGCCTTGGGCTGGCACCCCTTGCAGAACACCCGCGTGTTGTCGGGGCCGTATCCAGCGGGCAGGATGCACTTGAACATCTTGCACTTGCGGTGGTCCTTGGATCGGCAGCCGGGCTTGGTGCACTTGACCCCCGCACACACGAACGGGATCTTGGGCGCGACGCGAGTGATCACCGCGGGGTCCATCCGGTCCGTGTCCACGCAACGTCGGCAGTACTGGAGTTGCCCGTCGGCCCCGTGCGTCGCGAAACTCTCGCAGGACTTCTTGGGGCACGCAGCATGGGACCGCTGCTTGCACTTGGTAATGGCGCAGCGGCCAGCCTCGCAGATCTTGGTCCTCAAAGGCAAAACACATCCGCACTGGATCTTGAGGTGTGCGCACCCAGGCTTCCTTATGGTGACTCATCACGCGCTTTTCGATTTTGCTCTGCTGTCATCTATTTGTCGAGATGCAACATATGATGCAACTGAATCGATGTCATCTGTTGGTCTCGCAAGTTCCTAGTTTTTACTAAAACATATCGATTATTGTTAGAGTACTAGCCAGCAGTGTTTTAACCTTGTTTCGCACAGAGCGGCGTGTAGTCATGTGGAGAACTAAACAACGTAATGTATTTTTACAAACGGAAACAGAAAAATCGCCTGCGCGAATCCCTCACAACATGTACGAAAAATATAGATAAAATAACCTACATAATTTTTACATCCATACAAAGATGCCTGTGTACAATTGGAAATATCCGTATAGTGGATAGTAACCGTAACCTTATCGGGAATAGTAAGCTTATACCTGTAGTTCATTAGAAACCATCAGTTTTTTTGTTATATATTATCGTATTTGACTTGAAAGTAAAAAATCGACAGTTTTACACTTTATATTTGAACCTCATTTAAAAGTGGTTCAAACTATTTGATTTATTATCTAAAAGTAGGACTAGTACAGAGACTAGAATGACATGTGCTTATAATATAAAGATTATTGTGCTCGCCAAGCGTTTTGTCTGCTCGGTTTTCCACGCTCTCAAGGGATTTGGTATCACCAAATCCTGGTCGATATATATGTAAATCCTTCAGAACGCCTACGGAAAACTGGGCATTCTGGTCGATTTATATATATATATCGACCAGGGTTAGCCTAAATGACCAATCAACACCTTTAATGAGCTATACACATGTACGAGGCCAGCTAAATACCCCAGCTGGTTAATATGAGAGCGATAGTGCCGTCTCCATGCTCGGTCTAATAAGAAGTGACTCGAGGTATATATATCGTAACTTGGGGTAAATAGAGCGCAAATCTCCAAATACCGGTCGATTTAGAGCTAAGATAGGCAAAATGTGTGGCGAGCACAATACCTAGAAATCGTTTTGAGTTAAGCTTTGGCAACATTCTCTTAAATATTTTGTAAAGAACTTAGAACTTCTCTTCAAGGGAATACCACCCACTAGATAAGTTTGCTACGTCATCCCAGTATGGTATTTGTATGCAGCCGATGTCAACAAGCTGGCAGGCGACTAGAGTGAGAGCTTACTCGATCTGTACTTTGCAGCCACATTTGCTCGCGGGTGCTGGGAGCCGCCTGCCGCAAAGAAAGTAAGAAAAAGTATTAGCCACACTGAAGAACGCATGCTGCGCTAGCGTGCCAACGCTAACGCAATTTCTTATGCTGTCGAGCATCATGTGCTCAACTTGAAGCCAGTCAACTTCAGGAAGTAAGGCTGCATTCCAACATTTCAGCTGAAGTCGATTGCTTTCAAGAATGGTTGAGGTACAATAGCAACGCTATGTTAGCATGCAAATGCACTCACTCGCCCCTTCCATTAAGAATTTTTACTGGTATGTTGAGCGCGATAGCAATAGCCCCCGACTCTCTCTTCTTCTCTCCATCAAATACAGCCAAAGTGAATTCTCTAAATGCAGCGGGGGCGGAAGGAAGGAAGCGAGCAGACGAATAAGATTACAAGTCCGGCACGCCGTCGATCTCCGTGTAGCCGTTCTTCTTGGAAATGCGGTCGTTGATGTCGATCGAGCACAAACTGGACGAGCTGCCCCACTTCTCGCGGGTCGCGGCGCTCTTCTCCGGGTACTCACGAGCGAGGCACGAGAAGATGAGCGAGAACAGGATCGCCAGCGGGAAGACCACGAACGCACCGATGCCCCACATGACACGCGGGCCGAAGTGCTCGTACACGTAGCCGCCCATCAGGGTGGAGCAGGCCGCGCCCATGCCCTTCTGCACAGCGGTCAGTAGGCCGATCATCGTTCCTTCGGTGCCCTCGGGCGACGACTGGAAGATGTAGTTGGTGAACGCAGCCCACAGCAGCCCGAACGTCATGCCGTGCAGCGCCTCGAACGGGAGCCACACCCACGGGTTGTGCGCGTACGTGTAGACGATCATACGGACGCCGTAAGCCACGACGCTGAAGATGATGCAGTTGGGCGTGCCGAAGCGCTCGAAGATCTTGTTGGAGAAGAAGAAGAGCGGCAGCTCCGAGATGGTCTCGGTGGCGATGATGACACCCACCAGTCTCGCGTCGTTCCCAGACAGGTTGAAGTAGTCTGCAGATTAAACACACAAAAACACAGGTTAGTGATGTCGGTAAACGATCACCGTTGCAGCAATGAACAAGCGAGCGCTGTACGCACACAAAAATAAAAAGTTATCAATAAGGCCCCCTAGGATACCGCCCAGGAGCACGACGATGTAGAGCACAAGCACGTCCGGTTGGTCCCAGATGATGGCGAGTGACTGGAGGTAGTCCGTCTTCGCTCCTTCCTCGTCAGGCTGGTATGCGGGGATGAAGCGAAGCAGGATGAAGAGCGAGATGACCGAGAGACCCAGCACCATGTTGAAGCACCAGGCAATGCCAATGGCAGCGGCCATGACACCGGCGAAGTAGCCACCGATACCGTAGCCCACGGCGCCGTAGAGCCGCTGCTTGCCATAGACACCACCGATGTGGACGAGCATGGTCATGGCCGTCTGGTCTAGCAGCGACCACGTGGGCTGCGTCTGGAAGTTGGCCACGAAGAGCATGATGCACATGACGTTGAAGGTGGACACGAAGCGCAGCGAGAACATGAAGAGAGCGGCCGAGACCAGGCAGAAGATGTGAACCAGCTTCTGGTTCTTGATCACGTCGGCGACGCCGCCCCAGATGGGCGGCGCGATGATGGCGCACACGCACGGCAGCGTCAGCAGGATACCGATCTGCATCTTGTCGAAGTGCTCCGTGTTGTCGAAGTAGATCTGAAAGCAGCGCGCAGTATCAAGATATCAGTTAGAATAGGGATGATCCTAGGGGTTTACGTCAGGGCGGCAAGACGTACAGGCAGGTAGGTCTGCGTGGAGAAGGCGCAGTAGTGGATGGCGAAGAAGAGCTTGAGCGGCACGAGCCGCTTGCTCTCGCCGCCATCGATGGTGAACTCGATGAGGCGCAGGAGGGCGGACATCTCAGCGGCTTCGGCTCCAGGAGCGGGTGGCTGCGGACTGAGACGGTGGATTGGGCTGGGGTTTGCTTGGTCGCGCTTGCGGGGCAAATTCCGATGTGAACGGCGGAGATCCGGTGGCTGGCGGAAGATCCGACGCTGGCTGGTGGGGGGACGCTTGCTTGGGGCCCGGGATTTCGAATAGTGACTCGCTCGGGTTCCCGGAAGCGGCGCGTAGATCGCCGCGGCGTCTTTGCCCCCGGGTTTGCGAACGGATGGACGGGTTCGCGCGCCTCGAACGCCGAGTCCTGCTGTCTGCACTCAGATGATTCGCGCCGTCGCACTCGCCGCTGGCGTGCACGTTGTCGCGTGATAATTTGAGAGATAGATAGAGATAGAGAGCTTCGCGCGCTGCAGGCTAGACAGCTACTGCAGCGATGCCTGGCGGGCGATGCCAACGCCAAGCCCGGCTCGGCCCGCCACGCAAATAAGGCTGCAAGCACGGGTCCGAGCATACCTGAAGCCGCTCGGGGCTCGCATGGCGTCCGTCTGGCAGTTGAAGCGAGCGTGGCGTAGAAACGCGAGAATCAGAACTTTTTGCTGACGACCGCACACGAGTGACTGGGGTTCAGTATGAGTCACTCTAGCGAGGGGGTATCTTGGCACTATCGCGGAGGAGCCAGAGACAGGACCACGCAACTTCAACTTTGTGTAACGGGCGGAGTTGCTCGTACGCCGGCTGTGCAACTCGACACGCCCTGCAAAGAGATGCAGATTCTCACTTGGTCTCCAGCGCTGGACGTGGCTGGTGGGCACTCTGCCTGCATCTTCGCATACTGGTCAGTTTTGCCGCACGCTGAACTCCAGCGGAGCGCTGCGCTTCGATTGCTCGATATGTCGTCCGTGCGATGGAGGGGAGGCGAGCGATTGCAGTGGATCAAAGACGCTATATGACAACGCGGTACAAAGGTGCACCTGCTACTCGTCTTCCTACATCAAAACTGTCAACTCCTATCGCTGCTCAGCACTGCGCGCTGACGTCCGTTGTGCCGTAGTCCGCGGAGGTGGCGAGCAGCGAGCTCTCGTCGGACGTAATGCTGCCCGAGTCCTCCTTGCTGGCAGTTGGGCTCTGTGCTGCGTAGCTGCGTGCGAGGCACGCGAAGCCAGCCGTGAACACCAGCGACAGCGGGAACACGATGAAGCCCGCGATGCCCCACATCATGCGGCCGCCCAGCGCGCCGTAGATCCACCCGCCGACGAGCGTGCTCAAGCCGCCACCGATTCCGCGCTGCACGGCGAAGAGCACGCCGATCATCGTTCCCTCAGTGCCCTTGGGGGCCGCCTCGTAAATGTAATTGGTGAACGCCGCCAGCAGCAAGCCGTAGGTCAAGCCGTGCAGGACCTCGACCGGCAGCACCAGCCACGGGTGCTGCACGAACATGTACGTGATCATCCGAATGCCGTACGCGATCAAGCTGACGAAGACGCACTTGGGAGTACCGAAGCGCTCGATGATCTTGTTGGCGTGGAAGAAGAACGGCAGCTCCGAGATGGTCTCGATGGCGATCACCACGCCGACGATGTGCGCGTTGTTGCCCGACAGGTTGAAGTAATCTACACATCAAACACAGACGCAAGTTAGCCATGCTGATAGACGATCGCCGCTGCAACAATGATCGAGACAATGTCGTACACAAAAAGACAAAATTGTCGATAAGCCCCCCTAGAATACCCGCGAGGATCACGATCACGAAGAGCACAAGCACGTCGTGCTGGTGCAGAATAGCCTTCATACTCTTGAGTAGTTCTCCCTTTTGGTGGTGCTCAGCCTCGTGCTGAATATTCGGGACGTACGTCAGCAGGAGGAAGAGCGAGACGCTCGACAGAATGAGCACCATGTTGAAGCACCACTCAATGCCAAGGGACGACGCCACCACACTGGCAAAGTAGCCTCCGGCGCCGTAGCCCGCCGCGCCGTACAGACGCTGCTTGCCGTAGTCGCCACCAACGCGCTCCAGCCACGCCATCGCCGCATGATCAAGAAGCGAGAACGACGGCTGCGTCTGGAAGTTGGCGATGAAGACCATCGCGCACATGAGCGGGAACGACGTCACGTACTGGATCGAGAAGAACAGGAACGCTGCCGACACGAGGCACACCGTATGCGCCAGCTTCTGGTTGTGGATCCCATCGGCGATGGCTCCCCACACCGGTGGACTCACAATGGCGCAGATGCACGGAATGGAAAGCAGCACGCCGATCTGCGCCTTGGAGAAGTTCGCCGTCGTGTCGAAGTAGATCTGTATGTACATGTGCATCCCTCCCGGTCAGCAACTAGCAACGGGGGATATCTCACAAACCGGTAGGGTACGCACCGGTAGATACGTCTGCATGGAGAACGCAAAGTAGTGGATCACGTAGAGAAGCTTGAGCGGGACGAGCTCCTTGGCCTCTCCGCCATCGAAGAGGAAACCCAGACGAAATCCCATAGTTCTAGCCTGGCAAAGTCTGCAACGGAGGTCTGCGCGCTACACCGCCAACTGATGAATGGCAGTGTGGGATGACGGCGGACCGAGGTTCAAGCAGCGAGAGCCGATCCTCCATCCTGCCCAGATGCTGCGCGAGCGCTGCCAGTCAAGGCCAATGTATCGACTCGATACTATCGAGTGAGAGCTCCACGCAGCAAAAGCTAACTTGGCGGACACCTCGCAACTTGGACATTTTGTGCACGCAGCAACCACACATTTTTGACGTCGGTGCACAAAATGTCCGTTACTTGAGTGACACCCCTCCCCAACCAAGCTTTGATCGTATGAATTTACTATTGGAGGTCATGAAAGGATGCGTAAAACAGGGATCCGTGTCAATCGGTCTTGGTCAGACAATCAATGGGGCCGGCGGACTTGAAAGTGGCTCCTGCGCCCGAAGATGCTCACAGGATTGCCGACACCACGCAGAGCGTGGTTGAATTTCCTTGACGGTGGTGAGCGAATAGCTTCCCACGACGGGGTGCTCAGATGAAATTTGCGCTGCAGCCTCTGAGTGCGCAATGTTGTCGTGCTAGCAAACACCCAAGTGCGTTTCGCCGGTGGTCGCTAGGTTGGCCACCGCGAGTATTGACAGTTTCTGCGACCAAGGGAATTACTTTCAGGGGCCGAGCCATGCAGTCCGCCCAGATTTCACAGCAATGGAAAAGTCCTGCAGCGCGATATTATGTGTGGACAAATAAGAGTACCAGTTGATCCGCTCCACAACTGCCGATCGAGCCATCGACCCTGCCCTGCCGTCCCTGATGCTGTCTTCAGGTCTCCGTCGCCGAGCTACCAGAACAAGCCTTCGCTCGAGCAGTGAGCAGCCTCGGGAGGACGCCAGCGACTCCTGCCCCGTCCTCGGCGAAGAGGATCTGCTCCGCAGCAGCACGCGGCCGCAGCGGATTCGAGAGGTGAGGCTAGTCGACAACGGCGTGTTCACCACGAAGAAGAGTCTGGCGCAGCGCATTCGCAGCCGCAAGAACAGGTTCATCCAGCGCGTGCTTGTGGCGTGTCACTTTGCCGAGCCATCGAGAGATGTCACGTTCACACAGGCCCAGCACAGCACCAAGGCAGCAATCGACCAGCTAACGGCAATCCGCGACGGTCTCTTCGCCCACTCGCAGAGTATCGTCAGTAAGTGTGGCAATGACTTGAGTTATTGGGTTGCTTAGCTCACGAATGTTAACCCCTGTTGTCAATGGCTCAAGCAGACTTGTCGATGGCAATCTGCAGCTTCACCAACAACTCGGCCCGCCTCCATGACGACTCCCAGGACGCGCTGGCTGACGTCACTGCGGAGGGATACAAGATCCGCGACTGCTATCTCGCGTTCAGCGTAGGTTGCCGCTCTCGTCATTGTTGAGTAGTATAGTACCCAAAGCCATTCTGTTGTACGCACAGGACCAAGTAGAGAAGGAGATTCTGGCGCAGATTGACCGCCGCCTCGCCGAGTTCGAGCAGGTCCAGTCCCTCGTCGAGGAGCGTGCGAAACTCGTGCTCGACGTGGACTACGCGAAGCGGACAGTGAGTGGGGGCTGATCAGCCGATTGATCGCATAAATGACTAATCCTGCTTGGACGCAGTTGGCGGTGGAGCTGCAGAAAGGAAACGTCAACCGCATCGCAGAACGCAAGCAAGCGGTAAGCCAGCACTCTGCTTTGTCTGGCTGAATTGAACGATATTCTCGATAGTTTTAGTGACCATTCTGGGCTGTCGTGCCAGCTGCAATCTGCCCAAAGCGACTGTGAGCGCGCGACGCGCTTCATCACAGACCACCTCAAGTCCGTACACCCGGCACAGGACGACGACATGATCGCCCTCTTTCAAGAGTATGCGCTGCTGGTCGCCCAGTTCTTCAAGCGTGGAGCCGACTTCGTCCGGACTGAGGTCTAAAGCGAAGCCCCCGACTTGAAGAGAGGAGAGACCGCACGGAGAAGCGAGACTGTCAACGACAGATCATCAACGAAGCGGAAGATTAAACTGACTAACTAATGCTGCAAGTTGCAGCCTGCAACCCCTCCCTCTCGTTGGCATTTGGGCATGTACCATCATTAACGAGTGCGGCTCGTCGAGCATGTGTAGCTGGTTGCGCCCGTATTCGCGTCGCCATGTGCGAGAACTGCGCCTTTCATCAGGCTGCATTGGTATTGAAGTTTCCGAAGTCTAGGCGACCTTGTACTGTACACAAAGGAAATACTGTAGCACACACTGAGCAATTGCCAGCTTGAGCAACCGACGTACGTACGTGGAGACCGCGCCCTACCAGTCTGTACATGTGCAGGTAGGATACCGCGCTTTCCCGGTCAACGAAGCAGCCCGAGGAGACCGCACGACGCGGCAACGCCACCACCGGCCGCAACTTGAGAATCTCAATGAGATGGATGTCGTCTGATGTCACGCGGCAGCGGCGCTGTGCTCGGAGCCGCGTGCGAACGTGGGGTGGTGCTGCCGGCCACCTGCACTCCGCGGGTTTTTCCCTCGGCGATTTGCACGTGAGCTTCCTCGCTCGCAGCGCCAGGGCGCGAAAGTGAAACTCGCGGCGCAGAGCGCCGGCACGAGGTGACCTCGGAGAGCAGAGTCGCGGCTCGGCCGGCAGGCGCCGCCAATCAAGTTGATTTGATTGAATCAACTCGACGCCAACCGCACGCCATCACGAGAGAGAGAGAGTCGGGCGCGGGCTGCTTCGCTGCCTTCACCACGTCTCCAACGGCGACATACTGGTAAGCTGCAGCAAGCGGTTGCATGCTGCAGGGCAGGATGTTAAATACACTGCACATTTACCACCGGCGCACAGGGCGCTCGGCTCAACCGTGTCGTCTCCTGCTGCAAGCACTGCATGATACCTTGAGCTCCCTTGTCGTCATTGTTGCCAAATTGGTGCGCTGTGGTTGATACATGTATCACGGGCTCGCCGGCTGGCGCCATCCGCCCCCCCCCCCCCCCCCGCGGGTGCTCATCCCCACTCAGCCTGGACCCGGGGAAAGGGCTCCGCTGGCAAATCCGCGCCACGCTCTGCTAGCAAACCAGTCTCCAATATCCACGGCTGCGCAGCAGTCCGCAACACTACTGTTATTAGGCCACCTGGACTTCACGCTGCACCGGCTGCTGCTTCCGGTCAGGCAGCACAACACTCGCTCGCTCACTCACTACACTGCAAGAACCGGGAAGGAGAGCAGACCTGGCCCAGAACGCGACGACGAGCGTCATCTGTGCCGCCAGTCTCTCTCTATTTGTGTTTCGACCCAGTTTGCGCTGCTTTCGGTGAGCGCGAGAGAGGTCGACGCCTGTAATATTCGCCTGGACATCTCGCTGCTTGTCTGCTGTAGGCACTTGGTCCCCATCCTGCTGGCTAACGTCTTGACAATCAAGACCAAAACAGTTGTCGCTGCACCAAACGAGGGAGAGACCCAAGCTACAGCGCCGACTAACCCGCGTCGGCTGGTCCGGGACAAGGAAGAGAGCTAACACAAGTGCACAAGCTCCAGCGCCAGCTCTTACAGTCGCTGCTAGCGTGGAGATCCCGCATTCAGGAAAGACTGGAGAAACGTTGTTAGAGTCTCGTCGGGTCTGGACGGCGGACACGTATTAGAACCATGTACTCCATGTTCCCCATGGTGGAGAAGTCGTACCGCGTCAACATCACGGACGAGATCGAGCGCGACTTGCGTTTCCTGGGGCAGTCGCGCGTGGACGCGCTCACGTCTCCGTTCGCCATGAAGCTCCTGAAGGAGAAGGGCGGCGTCAAGCTCTACGAACTGTGCGAGAAGGAGTTCTACACCATGAAGGCCGTCACGACGGTGCACGCGCCGATCCAGGAAGTCATGCACATGCTCCGGATGGACACGACGTCGCAACTACGGGAGACCATGGGCGAGATCTTCGGCACGCTCTTCCTCGACGGCGTCGTGCTCTACAAGAAGCCGGACTCGCCCACGCGGTCGAACGAGGGTCTCTCCGTCAGCTGGACAGCGCTGCAGGCGTCCAAGCCCAACCTGCCTCACAGAGACTACGTGTTCCTGAGGTATAGCGACGTCTTCGAGAAGAACTTGGAGCACGGCAGCTTGTACCAGAACAACGGCTCGGGGCTTTACATCGGCGCCTCCATTTGGGAATCTATCGAGCTCGACGGCTGCGAGCCGCTGCCTCCCTCTCAGAACGTGGTGCGTCTGCGTCTTCGTCGCTCGGGTATTGTCGTGGAGGAGACTGCACACGATGGCCCGCTGGAGATCTCATTGTTTCTGTCCGAGAGTCACCCGGGCCGTGACGCTGTGTCCACGCTCACCCGCTCGTGGATGACCAAGGTCGTGAGCTGCGTCTCCCAGATCTCGAACGCGCTGCTGACGCGAGCTTTGGGCTCGCAGAGCCTTCTCACCAAGCGCGACTTCCGCAAGAACGGCCCGAACTGCCACCTGTGCCTCAAAGCCTTCAGCGTCTTCCGTCGCAAGCACCACTGCCGCGTATGCGGCGACGTCGTGTGCAGCAGTTGTTCCGAGATGAAGACAATCCGCCAGGCCAGTTGCAACCGCGAGGTGCGGCTGTGCAACTCATGCCGCACTGCCAGCACCACGTCGATCCTGTCGTCCAACAGCGGCTCCAACTCGAACTCCGTGTCGCTCACCACCGGAAGCCATCGCAGTCTGGCGAGTTTCTCCAGCTCGTTCGACGGCCACGAGCTGGAGGCCAGCAACATTTCGCTGTCTGGCAGCACGGCCAACCTGTCCGAGGTTTACAGCGAGACGGCACGCCCTAAGACGCACCCGTTGAAGAGCAATGGATCGTTCCGCCGCCAGCGCTCCACCGATAGTCCAGTGCTCAACCCAGCCAGCGAGTTCAGCCGAGGCGGCAACAGCCCAGACAAGCTCGACGACTTCGACACAATCTCCGAGTTCTCCGAGTTCAGCGAGTTCCACTGGAACGACGAGGTGACTCGGCCAAGCGTCGATGAGCTGGCCCACCTTGAAAAGAAGCTCACCGTGCGGGCCAACACGCCATTCAACTACGCCCTGAGCTACAGCAGTCGGCAGGAGTGGCCCAAGGCGCCAATTCCAGCGGAGGAGGCTGAACGACTCCAGAAGGTGCGCTCACTGCACTTGGCCGACCCCGGCAGGCAGTTCCAGGACATGTGCGAGTACGCTGCGGCCGAGCTGGGCTGCCAGATCGCGGCAATCAGCTTCATCGGTGACAAGAGCGGCTTCCTCATGGCCCGAGTGGGGCTGGACAAACGCGAGCTACCGCGCAACGTGCTGATGGACGCCCACGCCATCATGTCCACAGAGCCCACGGTCATCCTGGACGCGACGGAGGATCTGCGCTTCGCCAGCAACCCGCTGGTAGCTGACGGTCGAGTGCGGTTCTTCGCGGGCTTCCCCATGGTCACATCCGATGGGCACATCGTGGGCTCCTTCAGCGTGGCCGACCCGTTCGCGCGCGAGCTGCTGCCTGGAGACAAGTACCTGTTCCTGCGCAACCTGGCCAACGTGGCGATCCGCGGCGTCGAGCAGAACACGCTCATGAGCATTGCAGTACGGCGGGACGGCGGTAACGTGCACAAAGTCAAGTCGTCGATCCGCGCGCCGCCGCCTCCAGGCATGAACGCCGCCGACGCCGAGCTTACGATGCAGGAGCTGCTGCGAACAGCCTACACGACGCAGTGCCAAGTCCGCATGCAGGTGAACCCGCTGTCCGAGTGAGCACGCGCGTCTCCATTGAAGAGCTCTTCAAGCTCGTTGTTTTTTCTCTAAGTTATAGTCTAGAAGGGGTCGCACACGCCTCGATCTCACGCCGTAGAGCCAGCTCTTGGCATATAGGAACCAATTAGTACAAAAAGTATATGGTATCAACCTCACACTACATCTCCATGTAGATATGTAGGAACCGCGCGCAGCACTCGGTTGATATAAATCAAACTCCAGGGGAGCGACAAGGCCGTCAGACCTCGCCGTCTTGTATTTGTGTGTGCTTCATCTGTCCCTTGCCTCTGGTTCCCTCTTTACAGTTCGTCCTCGTCGTCGTCCACGCCCGCGTAGAACTTCTCGAGCGCCTGGTCCACCGAGTCCACGAGCGGCTTGGGCGCGCGCAGGGCCTGGCCCTCCTCCAGCAGCTTGACCAGGTGCACCTTCTGCTTCCACTGCATGAGCGTCTCCTCCAGCTCCATGTTGGCCTTGGTGATGAGCATGTCCACCACGCGCGGGTCCTTGACGTCCGCGTGCTGGCGGAACAGCGCCTGCACGGCCAGCCGCGCGTCGGCGGGCTCCATCGGGATGTCGTACAGCGTCAGCACGCGCGGCACCTGCTTGGTGATGTAGCGGTACAGCGTCACGGCCGGGCTGGACGTGGACGCCGCCGCCTTCTCCGCCGCGACACGCAGAGCCATGGTCACACAAGTCAATAGGTCGAGCTTCGGTAGCTGCTGTCGGGGCCTGCGCCGATTTGAGCCACACGCGAGGAGCAAACCCCCGGAAAACTAGGCTATCGCATACCCATGACGTACGGTAAGGCTACCGGAAGGAAGCCTGAAGTACGTCATGTACATGCGGTTCGGTAGGTGTAGATTGTGTGTTGTACATAATATAAGCTGCTGAACGATACCAGCTATATCGTATATATACGACGAAAAGGGATATAAAGTACCTGCTAGATACTATACCGAACCGACGCGATGTTTGCGGGCCGCAAGTGCCTGTGATGGCGGGCCCCAGCTGCTTGCATATGGCCAATTGTCGGCGCTGGAGTATGTACTGTGTGCTGGTGCGACGTGAGAGTGATGTTACCCGGCGGCGGAGGGAGAGCGCACGAATTAAAGTCCCCCTTCGTTCACGTTCTAGAATCGAGACTCGATGCTCAAGCTAGGAGATGCAGCAATCACTGTGATGAGTGCCCTCTCGTCGTCTCTTTGTCGGTGTATCTCTATCTTAGTCCAGTTACTTTTTGTAGCTTCGTGCCAGATTCGTTGAGGGCGACGGCGCTGCTTTGGGGGTCTGGTGGCAGATTATGCTGCGCTTGGGCAGAGGGCATCTGCAGTACATACTTGAATGCGCGGATAGGAGGTCGTGCCAGGATACTTTCGTCTCCACTACGATATTGTACTGTAGCGAGTTCCGCTCGCTCTCCGTGAAACTGTGAATGACGGGTCCAGCGTGGCGTTGGGGTCTACACCGCGGAGCTCGTCTTTGCGTTGGAGGCGCGCCTCAACGATGGTGAAGGTGACTGCCGTGCATGGTGCAGGGTTCCGACAGCTCGAATGTGACATTGTGCTCTAGATGTGGCATTCGGTGTATAAATAGTTCGGAGTGCCTCATTTGGACTTTCAGGGAGTGCCTCAAATTATACATGGATACATTCTCGTAGAATCTACCTGCGGTTGGTTTCACAAAGGCGAATACAAACTTAGAAACCATCGCACGCCTGTTCCCTGGACGCCTTAGATTGATTAAGCACCTCGTGCTGCAACCACCTTATTGTCTTCCTTTCTTCTCGCACTGTTCTTCGTAAAGATGGCTGATGCTGACGATGTGCAGTTGTCCGGTGAGACTCGAAGTGTCAACGAAGCTCTCGGATACCCTCGCAAGAAGCAGAAGAAGGCAGAAACAAGGGACAACTGGGTCGGTCATTATCCGATGACACTTGGGCTTCGTCCGGTTGTGACCGCAGACACAGGAAAAGTGAAGCAAGCTGTGTGCCGATTTTGCGAAAACTTCAAACGAGAAGGAAAGATTGTTCAAGCAGAAGAGCTGAGCCTTATTCTCAACGGAGACACGCGCGGCCCCTGCAAAACCACCGCAATATTTGTGAAGTTTCGACGGGATAATATAGTGCGCCACCTTAAATCGCAACACAAGACAAAATGGGCCGAGTACCAGAAGCTGCCCAACAACCCACTGATCAGGGACCGCTTTTTCTCAGCCAAAGATTTTGGAGCGAGTATTCTCTCGTACGTGCCCGACCAGAGTGGTTTCTGTGTTGTTGTCCCAGGTAGTATAATTTCAGTCATTCAGCGTCTGATTCGGTAGGATCCTATCGAGGTATCTGACAGCAGCGGTAACACGATCATGTTGGAGTTATTGGTGTTTAATGGACTTGTGGAGAGCAGCGACGGAAGTTTCGTACTGCACGTGGGCCACAAACAACAGTTCGAGACGATCATTCGCTGCAATGTATACATTCCAAGCTTTAGAGCGGTATCGGGAGTGTTTGGAATTTTTAGGGAGGCTTACGCAAATGCCAAACTAGGCCTTGTCATTCAAGAGATTGTCGCGAGGACGGTCCGCTATGTCGTCGCGATCAATTTGACCGCGTTGCGTGTGATTCTGGAGCATGTTTGGGCGTTGTCGATTCTGGTGGACGGAGCGTCACATGCAGCTGAAGCTTACCTCGACGTGCGGCTTTCATTTGAGTGCAGCCGAAAACTCCACAATGTGCACTTCTTAGCCATTCCTACTGGTGAACGTCCTCACACAGCGGCCACCTACGCAGAATTGGTTCTAGATGCACTCAAAAACGTTTTGGGCAGCTGGTCATTGCTAAAAATAATTGGTATTGCCACTGATGGAGCAGCTACGATGCTAGGGTGCCATCAAGGATTCGTGAAACGGGTTCGAAGTGCTTGTGCTAAAGTAGGAGAAACTGGTATTGCAGCGAATTGGTGCGGAAGTCACCAGCTTAATTTGGTTGTTCGTGATTTCTTATCTGTTTTCGACGAGTTCGCGAATTTTCGTTCTACTCTCGCTTTTGAGATCACCTTCACGCACACGCACGTATCGGTTCAAAATGCCGTCGGAAGCTGCCCTGAGTACGTGACTACAAGATGGAATTCGATACACGACACCTGTCATTTTCTAACGGAGAGCTACGAAGATCTATTGAAGTTGCAGTCTGAAAAGGGTCGACCGAGCTCTAGCAACACGTGGTGGTTATGTTGTTTTGTGGTAGCTGACGTTACCTGCTCCATCAAAACTTGCTTTGCTCAGCTGCAAGGGAAAACAGTCACCCTAACGGACCAAACCCGAGCATTGAACGAGTTGAAACAAATTCTGGCCAACAAGTTTGAAGACACGCGCAACGGTAGCGCACCTGTGGTTGACGAAGTCAAAACCGAACTCGTGACATGCGCTTCGTCGCCGTTTTCTGAGGTGGTATACAAAAGATTGAGTGTACTGGATCGCCATCAACTCGTTCTCGCTGTGATGGGCGCCGTCCGAGTACTGATCGATGGTATCCAAGACATTCAAGTAGAAGTTCTCAATGAAGCCGCTACTCAGCGGTTCACGACACCGGCACAAGTCATCGATTGTCGTGATTCCGCTTTCAGAGGTTTAGTTGATGTACATCGCAGACGACTTCGGCCATACTATATTGATGGAGATATGGAACCAGCGCAAAGACCTGCGTGAACGATGTGAGGTCGACACCAACCTACGCAGTATTGTGGACAGTGCGTCACGCAAGCCTTTGGATCAAGCGTGGAACGAAGTGGACGGCGGTAAGCAATACTCGAAGCTGCGGGCATTTGCGGTTGGTATCGGTAGCATCCCTCCTGGCACACACACGGTAGAAGGTGATTTCAGTGACCTCAAGAGAATTAAAAACGACCATCGCAGACATTTGACTAGCCACGCGCTAGAGGGTCACTTGCAGGCTGCCCAGTACTTTGACTTGATGCAGTTGGCTCACGACATCGGTAGCGATATCACCAGCGAAGAGAAGGATACGTCGTAGCTTGCCAACCACGTGAGGCACCTGTGAGGCACTTGCTTTCTGCTCTTCATATATGATTTGTATTGAAACCCGAGCGGTGCCTCAATTTTCGCGAAGTAATGTGCCTCAAATCACCGGATTGTGGCAAAGAGGCACGACTACCTCATCTAGAGCACCCTGCGAATGTCGACACTCGTATGATAGAAATGGGTGCTTCCTCCGGTCATCGCGCTCTCGGCAATCGTCCTTCCGAGCTGGATAAGCCGCGTCGGTGTACTGCGCGGCCACGCGAGCACAGATTCGAGCGCGCGGAGACTGGCGAAGTGCTCTCCGATTCCAACGGTCGGATGCACTTCACAGTCACTACGACTACAGTACAGTAATAAGCTCACCGCAGCGAGGAGACGCTGCCATTGCGAGACCAAGATTTGTCGCCTCGCGTTGAGTAGAGATCCGAGCGCTGGTGAGAAGCAGTCAGTCGAGTGAAGCGCTTGTCGATCTTCGCCTCATCTTTTGCCAGCACGGACCATCCCGACTTCGGGCGGCGAGCGCGACATCCGTTCCCCGTTCGCTGCCATGCCAGCGCCGCCGGTCATGCATCCACACTCGCCTGTTTCCCTCCCTCCCAGCGAGACCCGGTGGGTGCTTTCTGGCCAGCCAAAGTCGACGGGGTGCTTGAACCGCAAAGACGCGCCTCGATGAGTGAGAGGAGGACAGGCTTTGCTTCAGTGACGTAGCGGTGACCATGGTCGCGCTGTCGCGAAGCTCGCCAGTGCTGCTGCAGACACGGCAGACAAATGAGCGAGCGCTGCGCATGGAGCACTGGCGAGAGGCCAGCGGCGACCTTGTCGGTCTTCTGATCTCAGTCGTGCCTCACGGCGTGGTTGCAGTGCTGGCAAGCTCGCGCACTCAGAGAGCTTCTGTCCGAAGCCTTTTTCGCGGCGCACTCATCCGTTGGCGATTCGCCCTTCCATCATCACCACCGCGGCGCGCGCTGTACTGCGGCTAAGAGACGGGGGGGGGTCGAGTCGAGGCTTCGGCACTGCGCGAAGTGCAACGGATCCCGAGATTTCGCCACCAAAACGCGCCCCCAAGCACCAGAACGACGTCTTCGGTGGACACCCTTGAAAAAGTAATGATTTTGGGCGGAGCTCGCATCGCTACCAGTGTTAGCTGAGCTCGCTAAGCTCACGAAAGATAACAGCTCGAGACGCAAGGCAGATCGCGCCGGCCAGCGGCGCGGCAGACACAACAATATATAAGCTTCAAGTTGGCCACCCCCGCGCCTCATGCAATTGCTGGCGGGAACACCGGCCAACCAGCTGGACACTTGTCGCCGTCACGCGTTGCGCTGTCGGTCGCAGATGGGGCTCACCATAGTAGACCCCGCGTTCCTAAGTTATCTCTATCCTGATAAACTTCTCTTTAATGATGTCATCTTCTAGGTTAAACAATACATACTAGTCCCTGATAGTACCGGTAACCCCTATAAGTTGGTACACGACATCAACTTCAGCTGCATCTATTCTCCGAGGGCACAAGCAAATCGCCGCCAGCATGCCGACAGTCACGGCACTCACGCAGTCTCGCTCCCTCGGCCAGCAGAGCAGCGCGGCGCGGCGGGGGCAGCCCCAGTCCCGTTTCCTCCTCCAGCTTGCTCTCTCTCGGTCGGTCAGTCGGTCGATGTTTCGCAGGAACAACAGCTCCACGGGCGGCAAGGCCGCCAGCGCGTCCTCGGGCGGCTCGGGCGGCTCGCGCGCCTTCGCCGAGCAGGTGTCGCGCCAGTACGAGGTGCCGCGCGCCATGACCAAGGAGCGCGTCAAGGAGCTGGCCGCGCTCGGCGAGCGGCGCGCCAACCAGCTCATCCGCTGGATCACGGACGACGACCAGGGCGTGGCCGGCTCGGCGGCCGCCAGCGCCGTGCTGCGCCAGCAGAAGGAGAACTTCACGGTCTACGAGATGCACGACGAGCGCGACGACCTGCTCGTCATGAAGGGCGTCGTGCGCCTGCAGAACACGACGTGCGACGAGGTCATGGCGCTGCTCTCGGGCCGCACGGCCGGCGAGGTCGACGCCTTCCTGCAGGACCTGCTGGGCGCGCAGTACGCGGCCGGCCAGGCGCTGCACTACACGGAGGTGAGCACGGACGCCGGCAACGCGCCCGAGCCGAGCCCCGAGCCCGGCACGCCGGCCACGCCCGCCACGCCGCACACGCCGCGCGGCTCCAGACCCACGTCCTCCTCGCTCATGGTGCAGTGGCTCGCGCTCAACGACGTGCACCCGCAGGCGCCGCTGCGCGAGTTCTTCTTCATGCGCTTCAACCAGGTCTTCGTCAACGGCAACGGCGGCAACAACCCGCTGGGCGGCGGCGCGTCCTACGGCGTGTCGGTGCTCGAGTCGCTCGAGCTGCCGCGCTGCGGACCCATCTTCTCGCAGACCCACATGCAGCGCCAGCCCATGCACAAGTGCGGTTTCGTCGTCGAGGCCTCCGAGGACAAGAACTCCACCACCACGCGCGTGACCTTCTTCATCACGGCGCCCTACCGCGCGCCGTCGCTCGAGACCGACCGCGCGTGGCTGCTGCGTCTCGCCGGATGCGTGCGCCTCGTGCCCAGCGCCATCGTCAACCGCCGGATCCGCCGCAACCAGCTGCGCGACCGCCGTAGCTGGCACATCCGCGACTCGTGCTCCGTGTGCGGCGGCAGCTTCTCCATGTTCACGCGCCGCCCGCACCACTGCCGCATCTGCGGCGCCGCCGTGTGCTCCAAGTGCTCGGCCATCCGCAAGGACGCGCAGCGCTCCAAGCTCTCGAACAGCACGCGCGTGTGCATGGCCTGCTTGAACGGCGACCAGAACGGGCCCAACGGAGCTTCCGGCTCGTACGACACCCGCAGCGGAGTTAGCAGGACAAGCGCCAGCGACGGAGCGTCCTCCAGCCGTGGGAGCGACGGCGAGTGCTTCGGCAGTGCAGCACACGTGACACTAGAGGAGGCTCTGGCCGCCTTCACGATCGAGCCGACGCTGGCAGCAACGCTGCCGACGAGCCCGAGCGCCACATCCAGCAGTGGACTCAGTCAGGGCGGCGAGGACGACGGCGATGTGTACGCCAACACGCCGTTCGACTACGAGCTGACGTTCAAGAAGGGCAACCCGTGGCCGGACGCTCCGTTGACAGCCACGGAGAAGGAGCGCGTCCAGCGCATCCAGACGCTCAACCTCTCGCAGGAATTCGCTAACACCGTGCTCCGTGACCTGCTGCAGCTTGCAGCTACGACTGTGAACTGTTCTGTGGCCGCGTTGTCGGTGGTGACGGCCTCGACGAGTCTGTTCGTGACTACGATCGGCCTCGTGGGAGACCAGGTGCCGCGTGACATTGGCATTGACGCTCACGCTATCATGTCGACCGAGCCACTGGTGATTCTGGACACCCGTAAGGACATCCGCTTCGCCAAGAACCCGGTGGCGCTGTCCATGCGTGTGCAGTTCTTCCTGGGCGTCCCCCTCTTCATCAAGGAGACCGGCGTGGTCGTGGGCGCTATCTGTATCGCGGACACGAAGGCTCGTAAGAAGGTCAAGGGCGCGGACCTGCGGGCGCTGCAGGTCATCGCAGCGCGCATCGTCGACAAGATGGACGCGCACAACAACGAGATGACCGAGAAGGTCACGGAAGGTGTGCGGCTGTTGTAAGCTAGCGTTAGCGCCCAAGCAAGTCCCAAACGTGCCTGATGCACCCCCAGCATTAACATGTTGCGTGCATCGACCTCGTTTACATAGAAGAACTCCAAAGTGTGGCTAAATATTCCATGTCTTGTTACCCAAGCTTCACTTGATCCTCATCCAGTACTTAGGCTCCTTTTCCTCCGATACTTCTGTAGACGCCTCTGCTCTAGGGTAAGAAGACGTGTTGATAGTTCTCGTTGCTCGAGCAATAGGTGGACTACACTTAGCGCCGCTTGGACTTCTTCTTGCTCTTGGATGCTTGGGCAGGACGTCGAAGTCGACGCTTCCTGCCGGCACCACCCCAGTCCGACTCGTCGCTGAAAGTCTCCTCCTCTTCCTCTTCATCGTCGTCGTCGTCTTCCTCGCTCTCCGAAGAGCTGCTGCTCCAACTGTCTTCCTCGTCCTCGGAGATAGCGGCAACAGACTTCTTGCGGGCGCGCTGCTTGCCCGACGAAGCTGCCGTCGGTGCTTTGCTTCTTACCGGCGAACGACCAGCAGGCCGCCCTCGAGCCTTTTTCGTAGATGTAGAAGCCACGTTGGCTGCATCGAGTAGAAACTTGACGCAATACTTCTGCAGGTCTTCCACGAGTCCGCCGATGAATCCGTCCCACGTGTTGTACGTGATGGCATTAGAGAAGACCAGCTCTACGTGGGCCTGGAGAAGCAAGGTATGAGCACAGTAATCAGTTAGTAGGAAGCAACATCACGCGAGCAGACCATGTGCAAACTTACAAAGTATTCGCGGAAGCTCCTGTACTTGACCAGCTTGTCCTGCATCGTGCCAAAGTCCATAGGGTGCAGGATAATCTCTGAATACTGTGGGGCCACGTCGTCGGTCACAGGCGAAGCAAACACGTCTGACTTGTCGGCTTCGACGAGGGCCTCGTGGAACTCTTGCAGCACGGACCTCAAATCTTCTTCGCATGCGCGCTCGATAGATTCACGCTGAGCAGCCGTGTACTTGTCCATGAGAGCAGAATAGGTCAGAAGCTCCTTGTCAGGGTTTTTGCGCTGTCGTTTCCGCGCGGAGCCTCCTCCACCACTAGTCACTGGTGTCGTCACCACTCGAGGTGTGCGGCGGGCACGGGGTGACACGAGTTGTGGTTCCGGTACTTCTCGATTACGGAGCTGTCTCCTCGGACTGCTGAAGACGGCAGCATCTGCAGCATTGGTCGTTGCTTCAGTTTGCTCGGGGGCATCGACCGCTGCTCCGTTCTGCTCTACCAAATGGTCAACCTTCTCTTCTGCTGCCACCTCGCTTTCTTTGGTTTCCTCGGTGCTACGAGTGCGACGACGAGAAGTCCTTTGGGGCGAAGCAGCATGCACGTGACTCGTGACACGGGGGACAGCAGTAGGAGCCTCGACTTGAGTAGAAACGACGGAGTTGACACTGGCGTTCTCTGGTGTCGGAGTCAACAACTCGATCTCCAGCAGAGCCAATTGCGTTTCCTCCGGGTCTTCACTGAAATTCGACAGGAAGTCATCCGGGGGGTACGAATAACGAGCGCTCGCTTGCTCGGCTTCAGCCTCCGTGCGGTTATTGTTGGCATCACGTAACAAATGCGGGAAATGACGCTGCGCTTGCGTCAGAACTGCGGCGTACAGATTCCGCGAGTTCTGGGAAATTGGGCTTGACGGAATGTTGTAAGTCTCGCAGTTGATTCGCAGCAGCTTCACATCAGCCAAGAAAGCCTCCACCTGACGATAGTAGCCGAGCCGGAGGCGTCGCTGAATCTTCGTCAGATCGATTGGATTGGCAACCGAGTACGGATAATCCATGAAGGTCTCCTCGTCAACAGGATACATAAAGTCACGCGAAAACGAGAGCGTCAACACTTGATCGACCTCCTGCAACAGCGCCTCACACTTTTCCCCGATAATACTCCGCGAAAAGAACAGTCGAGTAGAACGCCTACCAAGCGCGAGCTGGCGCTTCTCACGCCGCTCGTCGTCTGCTGCAGCCTCCAGCTCCCACGGGCACACCGCACAAGTCTCATCATCCGGACTGTCCCATTCAACCCTCACGCACTCCCACGGCGAAATTTCTCCCGAACTACTCGCCACCAGAGGTTTCCGAAGTACACTTTCGATCTTTCCATAAGACATTTTCGCCTCGATCTCAAGACCATGTTCGTCCAACTGCACAAACGGCATCTGAACGCGATCACCCACCTGCCAGTTCCCGCAAACGCCACTCTCGTAAATGTGATCCAGCACGAGGAAATTCGCCACATCGTTCGAGTGATACAGAACCTTGAAATTGAAGCGTGCTGAAGGCTCGGCGGTTGTGGGGTTCAGCTGTTCATCGACGCTTGTAAATTCTGCGAACGGGGACGACTCGGGATTAAATAAGTCTGCGGTGTCGGATGGGACACCTTCTTTGGTTTCTTCCTCTTGTTTTTGTTCTTCTTGGCCCCCTGCCGATTGAACGGCTGACGTCGGAACAGCAAGCACCGCTAGCGCAAGCTCGCACTTGATCGTGCTGCACCTCGCGTGCTCTTCCGCAGTCGGGAATACATATTTTACATCGACCACACGACACTTGACGGCATAAAACTTCGACAGACGCGCATAATAGCGTGGCTTGGTCATTCCCCCGAAATTCAGGTACCCAGGATGTCCTTCTGGGAGGTATACCACGTAGTCACCAACCTGGGGAACATACTGGTGGATCGATCGCAGACTGACGAGCTGCAACCACTCGCGGTGAAATTTGAGGCCAAACCGCTTGGAAGCAGGTTCTATGATAGCTCCTCCATCTTCAGTAGCAACACTACTTTGCTCTTGGCGCTGTCTTTGCGTGCGTCTCGATTGGTGCGTTGGGCAAAAGAAGTGCATTTGATCCACTGACCAACCGTAAGTGATGGCGCACTTCCAGTGGTAAGAGTTCCGGCACGCTGCGATAGTGCAGCCAATCGTCGCTCCGCGCTTGTTGCAAGCAACGCAAGTCAGTGATCTTCCACGGCGAATCTCTCTCGCGACGTTATACCAGTTACCATCTCGGTTGAAACAGAGGGGCGACGCGATGGCGCACTGATCATGTACGAATACCCTCTGAACTCCATAGATCAAAGGATGCGCGCCCATGCCATCTCCAGGAAGTTTGAGCATCGCATCGTCATCTCCAACGCCACAAAACGCGCATGGAATCAGCGCTTCATCGCTACTTTCTGCCGGCACTGGCGCTGCGCCTAGATGAGCTCTCTTCGCCTCCAGCATTTGAGCATAAGTCATGGTCTCATCGAACCGATCCAACTGGTTGTCTCCCATGACGATGCCATCGTTCGACTCGACCACAACTTCGGATTGATCTCCTGCGATACCGCCACTTCTTCCACTGCCAGCTTCAACGACACGCTGCTCCGAGGGCGTATCGCCATCCTCGTCCTCCGCATCGCTATCTAATACCACTCTTGAACGAGCTCTAGCCGCGTTTCTCCGGGCTCGCAACTGCCGAGGGTTATCTTCATGCTCGTTCTCACTATCGCTTTCCGACTGTAGCCTCCGACCACCACGAGTAGGAAACCGAGCACGAGGAGATCCTCGCTGTCTGGTGCTGCGAAGGCGTCTTCTCCTGGAGTTTGCAGGAGAGATCACCGCCTCTTCATTGTCACTAAGCAGATCATCCTCATCCAGGTCATCCTCCTCTTCATCCTCGTCATCTTCGTCTTCTTCTTCCTCCTCTGCAGCGTGGCGCGGTGTTGGCACCTGGAAGTCCTCGTCACTCCGGTCGTCCTCACTGGAAATCTCAATCTCTAACACTGATGTGTCACGTTCTACAGCAGGATTCTCACGCCGTCGCCGCAGTGGGTCCGGGTTTCTTCTACGACGCCGAAGCTCAGACAACATCACTGGGGCACCATTTAGTCGGTACGACGCTTGGGCCAGCGCCATCGCCTCAGCGGCAAAACTTCCTGGTCCCTGGTTAGACTTTTTCTCGTCGTCCTTAACGATAGCAAGGGGGAACGAATGAATATCCTTCTCAGCTTCTGGCAAATGCCGGACTCCACACTGAATTTCCGACTCTTTGCTTTGCTGGACTCGCAATCGTCGATTTTCCTCGTACTGCTCCGGCGTGAGCGATTTGTTGGCCAACAGATGCGGTGGCTGGTGTGGATATTGAACCGCTGAAGCATCCATGAGGGGACCAGACTCCATCATGCTCGGCAACTCTTGCATCTCCCTGTCTCGAACGTTGTAGTGTCCATCAGTGACTAGCATAACGTAGTCATGCGCGAAGTACTGCTGCACAGGCGTCGCCGCGTACTGCTCTCCAGACCCTGTTCCAAAGATCAGCAGCCGGCCGATTTGATCCGTAAAGCAAAATCCACTGCCATCAGGCGTAAATCCACCGTCGAGGTTGGAAAGTGGTTTCGAGTCTGGCGACAAGTTGGTAAAGGACTTCAGCATCCTTCCCGTCGAAATATCCCACAAAAAGACACGCCCGTCGTAGCCTGCTGTAACCACAATCCGCCAATCCGTTGGGTGCGCGCCAAGTGCAAATGCTGCGTTGACGTGGCCATTCTTCTTCTCTTTGTCAATCGCCCCCAGGGTCATCACCAGTTGTCCTTTGTTCGGTTCCCACACGCGTATCCTTTGCTCCCAAATCGGCTCTGCACCTTCCGAATTCAGCTTGACGCTGTGGAGTGTAATCAGTCGTGAATCATCGTGTGTCCACGCCAGCGTGTCTACCACTGGGGTAGGCATTTTCCGACCGCGCACCCCGTATAAGGCGGAAATGTCGTCGTGCTCAGCCGTAGACTCCTTCGCTAGAAGAACGGCCCCATGCAGGCTCTTGTACTTCCGCTTCCACTTCCAGATGCGTGCTGCGCTGTCCTTGATAGACGCAGTAGCAATCCGATCGCCTCGGTAGTTGTACGCGATGCTCGAGACTGGGCCTTTATGCCCCTTCAGCAATGCAATCGGCTCAATGCTTGGAACGGCATCGTCAGACAGAGACAATAACGGCAGGTCGCTTTGTTGGACCTGTGGGGGCTGCTGTTGTCGTCGCGGCGCAGCCTCGCGTTGCAGCGCTTCTGCAGCATTTGGGAGCGGGGTTTCCGAAGGGTTAACCGGACGCTGAAGTGGCGCCTGAGGTGGTGCCTGCAGTGGTGCCTGCAGCGGCACCTGCAATAGAGCTTGTAGCGGTACCTGTGGTGGTGGTACCTGGAGCGGAGCTTGAAACGGGGCCTGAAGTGGCGGTTGACCAGGAAGTAGGGGCGGCGCTGGCAGGGGTGCCTGGAACGGCGCCTGCAGTGGTGCCTGAAATGGCACCTGAAGTGGTGTCTGGAATGACGCCTGAAGTGGTGCCTGGAATGGCGCCTGAAGTGGTGTCTGGAATGGAGCCTGAGGTGGTACTTGACCGGGAAGCGGGAGCTGCGTTGGAAGCAGTACGGGTTGGAAGGGTACAGCTGGAACTTGGAATTGAGCTTGTTCAGGACGCAGAGGTTGTGCTGGGCCGGCTTGGAAAGGCACTGTTGGGGCAGATGCAGGAATGCCATTGAGCTGACCCATTGGTGGCTGCTGCAATTGGTTCGGTGCATTCACAGGTATCACAGGTGCTGCAGGGAGAGGTGCGAGAGGTGGTAAAAGCTCACCAGGCCCCGACCCGTTTCCGTTGTTAGGCTGCTCTTCCTGAACTATAATCTGCGGTTCATGAGTGGGCTGAAACCTTGGGACCACAGCAGGGGCGTCTGGAGCCGAAACCATCGATAAATCCCACACGCGGGCGATTCCATCGTGTCCTCCAGAAGCCACAAAATCTCCGCACCGACTAAACGTTACACAGTGCACTTTGCACGACCGCACTCCTTCGCGGCGAGCGTGCTTCATTGCGTAAATAGGGTGCAAGCTCAGCATATACGCCTTGAGTGCGTACAATCGTCGGGCAGTCTCGATCTTGGTTTCAGGCTTATCCACAAGCGGGATCTCCGGCACCTTGTAGCAGAAACAGCGACCGTCGTCCGAGGCCGTGACGATAATGTTCTTCTTCGGGTGAAACCGAACTGCATTCACGACACTCGAATGCCCCACCAATACAGCAATCGGGGCTCCTGTACTTAGCTCCCATACCCGAACCGTCTTGTCATCAGAGGACGAGGCCAGAAGCGTGTTTGAGTGATTCACCGCTAGATCCGTAATATTCCCGACGTGGCCGCGGAGAGTAAACAGCAAGTCTCCTGTCCTCAACGACCAAATCTTGACGAGCCTGTTCGTATAAGCAGGTTTACGTTAGACATACGAAGTAGGAAAAATATTACGAGCAAGCACACGACGCGTACCTGTCGTCGGATCCGGTAATGACCACCTTGCCCTGCTTATCGTACGCCAAGCAGTACGCCTGAATCTGCAAGTGTCCACTCAGCGTCTTCAACCGGCGGACCCTGCTATACACGTACGCAGGCGGCAGCTGCGTATCGTGGCGCGAGCTAACTTCACGGCGCCGCAGCAGCGAGGCCTGGTTCCTCCCCGTCCTAACTGTGGTGCGAAACAATCCCGACCGCTTGGCGCGGTCCATCAGCGTTTCAATCCGCTTCTCCACCTCTCCACGTTCCTGTCGTAGCTGGAAGAGCTGCTTCAACGCGCGCACATCCGCCGCCAGCGTCGTCACCTTATCCGTCTCTGCATCCGTCTCTGTCTTCGCAGGCGCGTCTCCACCTAACATCATCAGCTGCAACTCCGGCGGCAAGTCCTCCACCCGACTCGCCGTCGTGTACTTCTGGTACCGCTCGTACTTCCTGATGACCTTCTCCACGACCTTCAAGGTCTTCAGCACGCCTCTCAGCGTGAACAGATCGCTCACAATATCTTTGGCCAGCTTCTTCCGCTCCTCCAGCTCAAGCTTGAGCTGCCTGTTCACGCGGGCCTTGAGCAGGAGACTGTTGTTCCCCTCCGTGGGCGCGTCCTTGACCTTCTCGTCCACGTCCTTCTTGGTGTTGAGTCTCGGGAACGACGCCGCCGCGCCCTGCAGCAGCTCCACCAGGTGCGCGGACGAGATGTCGCGGTGCCGCAGCCTGTAGTCCTCGTACGTGGCCGCCTTGGGCCTGCCCGACCAGTCCACGCCGCCGCGCAGCAGCTGGTGCTCGGCCAGCTCCTGGATCAGCACGTCCGCCGCCTTGTGGCACGCCGAGCGGCGCTTGAGGAAGTCCGCGATGAGGAAGTACACCTCGCTCTCGTCCACCTGCTCTTGCTTCTCTTGCGGCGTCGGCTCCTCGCTCTTGTGCTCTTCAACTGGCTGAATACTGCGGGTAGCGTCATCCCCTTCAGCTTGCGATGCGGGCGCGATGGGTGGCAGCGTCGCGCGCGCACTGGGAGCGGCCGACCGCGGCTCATCTCCGAGCCAAATTGCCGCGAGGTCGTCGTCGTCTGCTGCGGCCGGCAGATCGTCGCGCGCGCTGCGCTGCGGGCTGCGGCTCGACGGGTCGTCGTCCATTCTCTGAGTGTGCGGGCTTGGGGGCGCCAACTCGAGCTCTGGGCGCCGGCAGGACGTCGCGTAGCAGGTCGTGCGTCTCCCGCGCTAAGCTCCCGCGCTTTGGCTAGTGAAAGGTAACCCCAAGGGGTACGATGTGTGACCGTACTTAGTGGGAACCGTGTGAGGGGGTACACTTTTGCGTAGTGTTGTGTTCACTAGTGTAGCCATTTGGTGAAGCGATGCTGCGTGCTCAGGTGCATCGCGACGCGGACGAGGACGCCGCAGCAGTCAGCGATGGCCTGGACGAGGACGAGTTCGTGGCGGTTGCTGTGACCGAGTCGTCGTCTGCAGAGCAGGAGAAGGACCGGCTGGCGCTGCGCGAGACGGACGAGCAGTTCCTGTGGATGCTGCTGCTGGCGGCGGTGGCCGAGTGCGTAACCACGTGCTTCGTGCCGGGGTACACGCTGCGCTCCTGGGGGTTGAATGTCGGCGGCACGGCGTTGAACTGGATCGGACCTTTCCTGGACGGTGTAACCTACGGCTACGAGGACCGACTCAAGAAGGGAACGCAGGTCTCGCTCGCCTGCGTGCAGTTCCGGTCGGCGTTCTTGGGGTACGCGAGTGGAGACTTGAGGGGTTATGGTGCTGGTGCTGATAGAGCTGCATCGTTGCTGTTGATTGCAGGGTCTTCACGTCGTACTCGTTCATGGTCGACCACGCGGGAGATCTCAGTAGCAGCAGCTTTGCAGCGGGGCCTCTGTACGTCTGCGCGTCGGTTCTGGGAGGCTGCGTGTGCTTCCGACTGGGAAAGCAAGCGGTCATGGCTGCGTGGATGAGTCCAATCACGGCAGACGTGAGTCGGCTGGTGAGCAGGATGAAGAACAGGCCGTCGCTGGTGACGTGCTTGGTGACTTTCGTCGGTCTGACGGCGCTGAGAGCCGCTCTGGGACCGCATGGTTTCGTCCGGTACGCTGTCGAGTGTGTTGATGTATGGATGGGTTTGGTTGAAGATAATTAACGAAGGTGTGTTTTTGGGCAGTGACCTGAATGACCCGCAGTTTATCGGTCCGTTGCAAGTGGCGGACGGCGAGGAGTTGGTGCTCGGGATCTTGATGTCGTGCAGTGCAGTGTTGCTGTCGAACTACGTCTGCGAGCTCTTTCCTAAGCAACCGCCTCAACTGCGCAATGCCGCGTCGCGCAATGGGGGCCCTTTCATTGATTGGGGGTGCCTCTGCTGCAATTTTCTTGCTTCTGTGCTGGCGGGGTTGACTTACCAGTTGAGTCGGATATCGCCTACTGGGTTGACCAACAATCTTCTCGCGCTCAAGTTCGTCAGCTCCTTTTGTGGATCGCTGTCAGTCTTCTCAGGAGCGGTTAGCATCATCTCGGTGCGTAATTGCCATGGTGAAAACCGTTCATCTCATACTTTATGAGGCCGTATTTCATAACGGTGTGCACTTTGTTTATTGTGTTTGCTGCTCGTAGCGGCTGTGGCTTGCAGGAAACCGCCACTCGGCACTTTGGAATCTCGCCTTGCAGCTACTTGTGGGGCTGCTCGTCATACCATACCTTTACAAACACGATGCCACATAACTACTGTAACTGCAAAACAATATTATACCTTCAGCCGATATAGCCTCGTGTCTGCTCGCCGGTGACACTACTGCGTAGTGCACACGCATGCAGACGAATGACTGCCCGAACAAAATGATACCTGATCCCGCTCAGTATCGAATACAGCTTTTCCGTGTCAGTGACTCAACGGCGGTGACTACGACGCCGAAGGTCTCCGCCGCTTGATTGGGGGACAACATGTGACGGACGAGGGACACATTGTGCACGCCAGATCAAGGACAAACTCCATAGAGTATTACAACCATGAGCCAGGGCCCCTTACCCGATTAGCGAATTCATCGAAGTCAACGACAACTGATCCCGTGCTGGCAAATGTTAGCGCGCTCAGTCATGCAGTTGGCCTGTAACGCAAGCAAGTGATCTCTGGGAAGCATTGCTTGGCAATCGGCTCCTTGCTGCATCGAAGGGCGATGGAATTGCGAGCATTGCGCAATGCATGTAGCGCTCGGTTCATACCTTGGTCGACTCGGATGTCCAGCTTTTCGGAGCTGAGAGTTCATTCCGAGTTTTGCCGCTTCGATCCCAAAGCTTCTCAAAGCCACCATGGCCCCGGCACAAGGCAAGCACGTACACGACTTAGAGCGTATTTCGGCTGTGAGCGTGAGCATTTCCAAAGACCCCGACCAAAGCGGATATGCAAGCGCGAAGACCCCGGATGGGCTCGGCCAAGACCTCGAGGATGGCGCGTTACGTCCTGGTGGTATGCCTGTGCTGTTGAGTCGGGACACCATCGGCCTGCTGTTCCAGTACGCGGCCGTCGGTGTCGTCTACGGCATGCTCCCCGAGACCATCTACCCGTTCATGCAGGAGTACCTCAACTGCAGCGGTGCTCAAGTTGCTGCGGCCAAGGAGCTTGTGGTTCTCCCGTGGAGCTTCAAGGTGTTCTTTGGCATCATCTCCTACTGTTTCCCGATCTACGGCTACCGTCGTCGGCCGTACATGTTGATCGGATGGACCGTGTGTATTATCATGCTGCTGGTTATGGCCATCATGCCGATCGGTAAGCCATACTACACAGTCGCATCAGACCGCGACATCGACACTGCAGACTACACGCCGGAAATCGAGGCTCGCATAAACTTCAACGCCCCCAGCGAAGGTGCCAAGTACGTGGTCATCATGTTCTTCGCCGCCGTTGGATACGTTTTCTCCGATGTTTGCTCGGACAGTATCGTATGTGAGCTGGCACAACGGGAGCCTCTAGCCAAGCGTGGCAAGACTCAATCAGCCATCTACACATGCTCGTCATCTTCGGCGAGCTCCTTGTCGGTTTCTGCTTCAACGGCGAAGAGTACGGCGGTGACTTTGACTTCTCGCTCAGCTTCCCGCAGCTCATGATCATCATGACGGTGCTTACGGTTCCTGCCGTCCCCATCATGTGGTTCTTCATCAAGGAAGAGAAGGCTCAGCGCAAGGATTTCCGCAAGTACATCAACGAGTTCTGGGATCTGCTGTGCAAGCGCGTCGTGTACCAAGTCATCGCCTACCACTTCTTCGCCGGCATCTTCTCGAGCATCTCGTACACTGCCAGCTCCCCCGTGCAGTCGTATCTGGTGGGCGTCACGCCTATCAACAGCACGCTGAACGACGTTCTGAGCCACGTCTGCTTCATGACCGGCATCATGGTGACGTCCAAGTACGGACTGCACTGGAACTGGCGAGGCATGATCGTCTGGACGGGGGTTCTGGTCATCGTCGTGGACGCCACCGTCGCGCTTCTCACGGTCTGGGACGTCTTTCGCAACCAGTGGTTCTGGCTCGGCCCTCCGATCGCGGTCCAGATCCCGAGCGGAGTCGCGTGGATTATCGCGCTGTTCGTGACGGTCGAGATCGCTGGCGTGGGCAACGAAGGCGCAGTGTACGGCCTCATCACGACCGTCGGCAACCTGTCGTCTCCGTTCGCGACGACGCTGACGCTGCTCATCGACGGCCCGTTCAACATCACGAACGCGCGCGTGCAAAGCGACGACCACTCGGTGCGCATGGACATCACGTACACGATGATCATCTCGTACGCCATGGCCATCTTCTCGTGGGTCTTCCTCTTCCTGCTGCCCAAGCAGAAGCAAGACACGCAGGAGCTCGCGCGCACGGGCGGCTTCAACAGGCTGCTGGGCGGACTCACCATCGCCTACCTCTCCTTCTCGCTCGTCTGGTCCCTCACCGTTAACACGCTGGCCATCTTCGGCAGCACCTCGTGTCTGCTCATTGCAGCGGCACCGGCTGCTAAGTACTGTAGGCACTGTGCAACTTCAACTTTGGCCCATTCAATGGATACTTTCATGTCGTCCACACCACAAATCAAAATATGCTCGTTGGTAGGTTTATTCCGTCTTTGAATCCATCCCAGCCAATCAGCGCGCGAGGAAGGCACTGGCGTTAGTCTTCTTCCTCACTCATACATTTCCCCAGTCAAGCTCAAGACCTCCCCTACCTATCCTAGTCATGTCGGGCACGCGCGTATACGTCGGGAACCTGCCCATGGACATCCGCACGCGCGAGGTGGAGGACATCTTCTACAAGTATGGCCGCATCCGCGACATCGACGTCAAGTTCCCGTCGCGCCCGCCGGCCTTCGCCTTCGTGGACTTCGAGGACCCGCGCGACGCCGAGGACGCCATCCGCGGCCGCGACGGCTACGACTACGACGGCGCGCGCCTGCGCGTGGAGCCCGCGAACGGCGGGCGCCGTGAATCGGCACCGCGCGGCTCGGGGCGCTACCCGCGCAACATCCGCGGCACGGGCGACTACACGGTGGAGATCTCGAACCTGCCGCCGCGCGTGTCGTGGCAGGACCTCAAGGACTTTATGCGCAAGGCCGGCGACGTGGTGTTCACGGAGGTGGACGGGCGCGGCGGCGGCATCGTCGAGTACAGCAACAAGCGCGACATGAAGTACGCCGTGGAGAAGCTGGACGACTCGGAGTTCCGCGGCCGCAGCGAGAACTCGTACGTGCGCGTGCGCCTGGCCGGCCGCGGCCGCAGCAACAGCAGGAGCAACAGCCGCAGCAGCGCGCGCCGCTCCAGCAAGAAGCGCAGCCGCAGCCGCAGCGAAGGAGAGGGCGACGGAGAGAAGAAGGCCAGGCGCAGCGCGTCGGCGGACAAGGAGCCGGAGAAGGAGAAGGACGCGGACGACAAGAATGCGGCGGACGACCAGAAGGATGGTAAGGCGCAGGAGGCGGACGCGGCCAGTGCCAGCGACAAGAAGGACGACGTCAAGGACGAGCCCAAGAAGGAGGAGGAGCAGCAGCCGGTCGAGAAGGAGCCGGAGCAGAAGGAGGACGAGTCCAAGAAGGAGGAGCAGGTCGAGGCGGAGAAGGAGGCTGAGGCTGAAGCGCCTAAGGATGAGGCACCCAAGGAGGCGGCGCCCAAGGAGGAGTAGAGCGGCTCGACGGACAAGCAGCAGACAGCACGGAGAGCAGGAGGAACGGAGAGGAGAGCGGAGCTGACGCAGTTTGAGAACGCACGGACGGTCGGACGAGGACTCACCGCGGAACAGCCTGGACTTGCCCTGGGCGCGTGCGTGCGTGAGTCTGGTTGCTGCTGCGATAGTCGGTGTTCTCTTACCGTGTGCCTTGTGTACCCCCCTGTTCTTGTTTGTTGGTGCTGTATGTACGTACACACCGCCCGAGACCATTTGCTTAGTGAGTTTGATTTTTCTTCATTGTTCGACGGGCTTTCGACTCGAGCGGCATCGGCGATTCCGGCTGGCAGCGTGCGTTGCTGGACGGCTGAAGGACCGGTGGGAATTGGCGTCGACAGCGGAGCGGAGGATGACAGCGGCAGCGGTGCGGACGGCGTGACTATGCTGAAGGCGACAGAGAAAAAAACGTAGACAGATTAGAGGGGTAGACAGGGGAGGCGTCGTAGTGCTAGAGCTTGATGCTCCCCTTGTTGGTTGAGCAGTAAGAGAATCAAATTCATTTTCTCACTCTACGCAGCCCCACGATCGCTCCACAGGTCTTTCAGAGTCGAATGACATCGCGAGGAGGGCCTTCCATGAGTGCTTTGACCTGCGCTTCGAGCTCCTCTCCGTTGTACGAGACCAGAGGCGAGATTTCGATGCGCTGAGCCTTGTCCAGCTTCTCCTTCACAAAACTGTCGACGTCTCCAGCATCCTGCGAAACGGATGACGCCGCAGCAACAAGCCAGGCCTTCCCTTCATCGTGCAGCATGCGGCGGGCACTGTCAGGCGAATCCACAGGATTTCCAGGGGGATTCTTGACCGGCGCGAACTCCGTCTCGCGAGGGACGGAGAGCACCGCCATGCGCGAGGACAAGGGGAACACGTCGAAGATGAAAGACTCCAATTTGATCCCCGAGTTGCTCGTAGGCGTGTACGTCGCACCGGAGTCGTCCGCCATGGGGATCTTCTTGTGCGCTACGTGATACTCCAGGCTCAAGTTCGGCAGCACCACGTTCACCAAGAAATCACTACAGAGACATAAAATATTTAGTACACCGAAGCACGTATTGATGCCGAAGCAAGCCCACGTACATGGTGTAGAAGTGGTTGCAGATATTGGCTGCTCCAAAGACCAGCTTGCCCGTTCGCGGGTCGACACGCTCTGCCATTTCACGGTCGATTTCTGTGTACTCAATGACACAAAAGCGATCGTTCCTCTTGGCGACGACGCCAACACGGTCGTCAGGGCTGGCCTTCCAGACCACCTTGCTACCGCAGTCCGCTTGCTTGTCGATGCAGTATCCAATGAACGTCGGGTCGGCCGCCTTGCACAGCGCGTTGTCCACGGAAAACACATGTAGGTACTTGACACCGCGAGCCTGCAGCTTCGCGAGTGCCCCACTGGACTCCAGCGCCTTGTAGATGCCGCCATTTCCGTCCGACGCCGTGGCCAGTTTGTGCGAGTTCTCCAGAATCAACTTGCCATCCGTCGTGAAGCACGGTAGCGTGCCTTGCGGGAAGAAGAACATCTGCGACTCCTTCAGTCCGAAGAACGCGTTCTCCCTGAAGAAGCCGAGCGTCGTCTCGTGGTTCATCTTGCTGGTCATGACGTAGAACGGGATCTGGATCTCGTCCCGAGGCCGCGACGGGAACTTGTTGGCCGCCAGGGCTTCCAAAGCCAACAGCCTCTCGGCGAACAACTGGAACAGACTCTTCTCGGACGGCAGCCCGATGTTGTACATACCCTTGGGCCCAGCGAAGCCCAGGCGCGTGCCTTGACCTCCACTCAGCACCAGAGCGCACACTTGACCCCGACTCACAGCCTCCAGCCCCAACTCCACCCAGCGCTGCTTGTCCTCAGCCGAGCATTGCTCCAGCAGGTCGTAGCTCTCCAGTGGCTCAATGGTGCCGCCCTCCGTCGTCTGCGCATGGGTCGAGGCCTGGAAAATGTCGTGCAGCAGCTGCAGATCGAGCGCTTCAAGCTGCGGGTGGCATAAGATGATAAAACAATTATTAGAACACATTAATTACCATAAAATACTGTTTATATATATGCTAAAACAAGTGTTACCTCAGTGGTGAGTTCTTGCGCCTCCGTCGACGAGAGTTTGTCGGCGTCGTCGAACTGCAAGCAGCAAGAGAAGCACATGAGCGTGTAGCCAAGGAACAGAGCTAGAAGATGAAGTCCGTCTTACCTTGAGCACGTGGTCCTGACCGGCCGCGCGAAGCTTGCGCGCCAGCTCCTCCGGGACGCGAGGCATGACAACGCGATGATCGAGTTTTGGGCGCTGATACGTGGCGCAATTGAACCCTAGCCCTAAATGTCGGAAGTGCAGGTATCACTTCAACTTGCCTTTTTCCGCCTGTATCCATAAGCGCTAAAGATTATACTGGGAACTCCCGAAGTATGAGGGGTGGGCAGCTCCCAACGGATTAATTGCGTGTAAGCGTAACCTGGTACAACCTTCGTGTCACATCAGCTTTTGAGAGCTCCGCAACATCACCATTCTATTGTTCCGACCAACCCACCATGGCTGGCACCATGGCTGCAAGTGGCAGCTGCAGATGCTGTAAGCATGGAGGCGCCAGTTCCTGGTAGGAATGGAACGTCGTTCCTACCATCCTCGTTCTTCACTCACAGCAAGCAAGTATCGAAGAATGCCATCGAAGAAGACGAGAGCTCGTCCCCCTGGTGCCGAGGTCCCAAGCAGGTCCAAGGCACGAATAAAGTCTTCTAAGAAGAGAGCTCCTCCTCCGGACGCCCACGACACGGGTGGAGCTGGACCCCCGAAGCGACGCAGACCCGACGTAGCGAAACGCAAGGCGGACGCGAAAACCGTTGACATTGTGGCGCGGAAGGTGACGCTCAAGAGTTTCTGCACCCCGGAGGCGCAAGCTCTCCACTGGGACGACGTGATCATGACGATGAACCACGCTGCTGCCGAAGGCTGGCTCCTTGCCAACTTCGTCGTGATGCACACGATTGAGAACCCCACGGGTGGTGGGGTGCTCCCCCCTATGGACGATAAGTTTTTTCGTAGGTGCATGGCTACCGTGTCGAAAACGTCCAGGCCTAAGAAGACGTTCAAGACCGTGTTTCAGAAGTCAAAAGAAAAGAGGGTCCAGCCGGACCTTGCGTTGAAGGAGTGGAAATGGATCGACTTTGAGCGTGCAGCAGATGAGTACCTGAAGCATCGCGGAGGAGCTCGACGGGGTGGTTCGAGCAGGCGGCTACACAGATGGCGAAGAACACCGAGACCTCTATGTGGAAGAACCTAGCGCGGCGCCTCCGGCAGTATGTGAGGGTGACGTACCCAGAGCATCGTGCTGACGCATTCCTGATAACGTCTTGGGTGCTGGACGAGGCGTGCGACTGTCGGCATTGCAAAAGCTGCCGAACCAAGAAGCGCCAGAAAAAACCGGTCCCAACCGAGAGCCAATCGTGTGACGCCGTGAATGACATCGTGGGCGCTCTGCGAGAAGATATACCAAGAAATCAGAACCAGAAAGTAGACTGGAAGTCCACGGACGTGTTGCGATTATTTCACAAGTACCTGAAGGCTGTGGAGGAGTTCAACGAGACCAACAAGGATAACCCGAAGATCCGACAGGAACGTGTGGACAGCATCATCCCAACCAAGCAGGGTTTCCGGAGCTCTTACTTCAGCATGACATCTACGGGGCTGTGGGACTTGTTGCGGAGAAGTCGGGACAGGCTGGATCTCGACACTATCGTGTACACGGAGGGTGGTGGAAGCATCTCGCTCGGAGACAGTATTAAGAAGGAGAACTAGTCTGGGGTAGCAGACATTTGGTGGTGCAAGCTATTTCGAGTAGCTGACCTCGAAAAAGGGACTCGACTGGTGTTCATGGCCAAATCTGCACGGATGGCATCAGTGCAAGTGTCTTGCTTCACAAACCCAAACGAGAACCGAAAGCCGAGCCCCCGCTGCGCAAGATTGAGAACTACGACGAAATCAAGGGGGCGGATCCGGGGTTCACCGACATGTTCGTAGCATGCATGTACAACGTCCGCTCGCAAACCTTCAGCGACGACTTTCTTAGCTATCCAGCCAAGAAGTTCTACAGCGACTCTGGTTACTCGAGTAGTAATCGTAAAATTCGACGAAAACTCGGTCTCAACGCGGAAATCAAGAAGGTGTTCAAGGACATGCCGACAAGGAAGACAGCTTCCCTTACGAAGTTGATGGAGTATCTCGACTACACTGTGCCCAAGATGGAGAGACTCTTTTCGTTCTTCATGACCAAAACCTGTCGTGACATGCGCTTCAGCCGGCAAGTGTTGGCTGAGAAGAACCTGCGAGATATTTGTCGGGAACTAGCAGGAGAGCCTGGCACGCGTACTTTGATCGCGTTTGACAACTGGGAGTTGAACAACAGCAGCGGCATCATCAAGAAGAAGACCCCGGGTCCAGTCATGAAGCTCCGGCGCATGCTCACGGATTATCGCGGCGTCGACGTCATGATTGTGGACGAGTATCTCACTAGCAAAATGCACCACGGCTGCTACTCGCTCGCTCCAATGGAGAACCAACAGGTTAAGCACCGATGTCGCGACAAGGTTGTACGAACTGTTGGAGTGCACAAGGTCTACCACTGTCTTAAGCGGAATGGCGGTTGTGGAGCGACCGTCGAACGCGACGTGAATGCCTCCAAGAACATGGTGGAGGTGGCGCTGACACAGATGCGTGAAGGCGAGGGTGTGCGGCCGGAGCGTCTTCAACGGCCAAGTTGATATGAGAATCACTGATCATAACAGCGTTTATCCCAAGGCTTCCTCCACGGGTGGGTGGGTGGAGGGGGTTGTGGCGGTCACCAAGGCGGCCACCACTTATTGGACGCCAAATCGCATCGACCATTGCGACTTGGTAACTAGGTTGCATGTTTTGTATCTTTAGTAGTTCTGTAGTAGATAGTAGTATTTTTGCTGTATAGTTACGGTAATTTTCACGGAGCTTCCGCGAATTCCCAGGTAAGCGCAGCAATCTAGTCTCCATATGTCAGCATGAGCTTGGTTTGGACGAGTGCAACCACGCGAATTTGAAGCTGAAGTCAGCACCTAACATAAAAGTCTCATAAGTTGTTTTTTTTCGCTTCAGCACCCGGTTAAGACAAGCATCCCTTACCCAGATGCAGGAACGAAATCTGCATCGCGTAGAGGAACGTGACCGTCAGTTTGTTTTGAAGTTTCTCAGCCTGCGTCTCCAACACGAATGCGAGCTGCTGCAGCGGCGAGAACCCCACGGCATGCTTTAATACGATGACGAACACGATCAGAGACACAAGCTCGAGTAGAGCGTAGACCAACACATTCTGGATTGACGACAAAAGATCGGCGCTTGATAAATTCTTCAGCGCAGGATAGTAGGTGCTGTTGGGCATGAAAAATAGCGCCACGTCATGCAAACCTAGAACAAAGTAAGTATGAGTTAGTTTTGCCAGTTCCCCAGCCAACATTGCTGAAAGTCATCGTGGTCTTACAGTAAATGACTGGTATCATCACTTCCGTATACTCCATCAGCACTAGGTATTCCGTAATGAAGAGCACATGTGTGGCTTTGTCAATAAAGGCTGCTCTTTCAGAAAGAGAAAAGATGGCAGTAATATCCACCCTGAACTGGTTGAATGACTGGAACTCGGGCTTTTCAGCTGCGCTCGACTGCTGATCCGACTTGTCACTTTCGCTTGTAAAAGTTGGTATTACTTGAGCGTTCTGAAATGCCTGCCTCATAGACCTTTGAGTCCTGCTGCTGTCTACAATGACTGTTCCCAAGTGAATGGGGGCACGAGCGCTGTCCGGTGCTTTCTCACTTAGAGCGGAACAATTGTTTGGCGGCTCACCATTCTCGATACTCCCTCGCGTAATTCTTCGATACTTGGCTTCCCTCCATGTACCGTCGATAGCGAGGATCCTCATCGCAATTTGAAGAAAGTTATCGTTTGCCATGGGGTGTCCCGGTGGGATTTTATTCATCAGGATGTTCACGTCCTTGAGCAGTGCTACGATATCTAGCAGCGAGGAGAAAAATAATGCCACGTCCAGAATCATCACCGTCCCAGTCAAAGACCACGATGGTGTCAGCTGCACAGCGTTTGAGACGTACAGCGCATTAAACACTTCTACTGTGAAGATGACAGCCTCAGGCTTCATGTCATTGTGAGTGGTAAGTCTGCGGCTGATCCGGTTCTTGGCGACAAGTCTGATGATCGGCAGCGTTAGCACGAAGATCCCTTGCGTGATGCCCGTGAGACTCACAAACCCGTAAATGTAGACCGGATACACAAATGTGAGGGACATTTGGGAATGAACCACATCCAATTGTTGCTTGACTTCCGTCCATACGTATGGATCGGATCTCCACAGCGAGCGTGTTATGTAGATAAAGCAGGCAACAAGCACCCACGCATCGGGCGGTCCAAAGACGAGCAAACCAAACGGCAGAGGGAAAACAGTCAACGCAGAGATGGCGAACACGACCACGGTTGAAATAGCCGCAGTAAACGCACCGACGAAGATAATCTGCCCAGCACTTAGTTGGAGACGCCGTATACACTGATTCAAGTGGACCAGCACAGATCCACCGATGTAGGTGGTTACTGCCCAGGAACGGAGAAAGAAGACCCAATTTGCGTAGACGCCAGCGTCCGGTGATGCTAAAGGTGGGAGCTCTTTCACTAAGCTTACAACAAGGCTTGGCAACGGAGTCAGCAAACAAATAGCAATGAGTCGACGTTATGAAAGGCGATTTGAGTAGGTAGCCAGCTGCCGGAGCCGGTCAACGGAATAGCAACCATGAAGCTCTACTTGCACGGACACCCACGCTGCCCGCACCAGCCGACCAGCACTCCGAAGACGCTCCAATATTTTGCACGTTGTCATTGAGTCCGACCCGCGCTCACGGACAATTTTGTGATGTCCAGGTTTAGTGACGACGGTGCAGATCAAACAGAAATAACACGAGCAAAATCAACATTCCGTCTCCTCCGTATTAGTCTTCGCCGTCAAGTTCTTAAATTGCCATGCTCAATCTGTTGGTAGCCGCCATGCTCGGTATTGACTTGCAACTACAGTTTGGCCTGGGCGCTTTGAAATCTGTGCACGTGAAGCAATAGAGCGTGAGTAAATTAGGGAGTCAACCATACCCAAAGCACAAGTCTGTCTTTGAAGCCATACTTAGTGCTCGCTTACTCTTGCAGCAGCTTTTCGAGGCGGATCTTGGTGATCTTGCTTTGCTCGCGTGCTGCGACCGACAGCTCGTCTTCGGGGTTGTTGTCGATTCGGGACGCCAGGATACGAAGCATCTCGGGCGCAGACTTGCCAGTTGCGCACACAATGTAGATGTATCTGCAAAATCCGCAGTTAGTCCGCACAGTCTCGAATCAAGATATGATAAGGATAAAACTCACCCGAACTTCTTGAAATACGCATCGTTGAGCTCCTCAAGTCGGTCCAGAACGGCCTCATCCGCGTTCTTCGTCGCCTGCATCATCATACCACACTCGTCAAATATTCCGTCTCAATTGTGAAAGTTTGCCGCCAACAACCTTTTGCTCCTGGGCTTCCCACTCTTTGATCGGCTTCTTCGCCCTCCCAATCTGCAGCAATAGCGCAAGCCTCCGGTCAATTATCCTCTCCACCACCTCCAAATCTTCAACCTAATTCAATGCAAATACAGTAGCGGACCCTTGGGTGCGCTGCAAATGCCTCGAGCCAATCTTGTCGCGTCAACGAGGCGTCCGCCTCATCCGCCACCTGGCAGAGCTGCTCGAAGTCCCGCACCGGGAACTTCTTGGCCATCTCTTCCGTCCACTTCTTGGACCCGCAGCAGTGCAGCAGCTTCTGACGGAACGCCGAGTCTTCCTTCTCGGCCCCGGGGGCGGCGGCAGCGTCGTTGAGCACGGAGAGGTCCATGGCGTTCTCGGCGAATTGGTGAATGAATGCAGAGTGTGGAGAGACGGGGGAGCTAATAGCATCTGCATTGATACTTCTTACCTACCTGCTCCTCTTCCTTCCTTCCTTCCTTCTTCTTATAATACTTACTCAAAGTTTCTTCTTGGCTTTGGGCACAGAGTACCCGGTGCTTGGGGGTTCACGGTACGAGCCGCACAGTCGGTCCCAGAGCGTGAAGTACTGTCCGTAGTTGTAGACGAACAGCTCGTGGTGCACCGAGTGGTGCAGCGCCCCGTTGACGACCTTGTTGTGCGAGAGGTAGAGCCCGTCGTGGATGCTGATGGTCCAGAAGTTGACGGCGGCGAAGAGGGCGAGGAACAGGCCGCGGTGGATGGGGAAGAGCATGATGTAGAAGTGGTAGGGCAGGCTCTGGATGTAGCCATCTACCGGGTGGAAGGCGTGCGATGCGAACGGGGAGCAGATAATCCACTTGTGGTGCGGCTTGTGCAGCGGCGCGTAGATGAGCGGGTGGTGCAGCCAGCGGTGGAACCAGTAGATCAACATGTCGGAGAAGAAGACGAACCAGACGACGGCCATCGCTTCGAAGCCGTAGCCGTACTTCCCGAACTCCGTGTACGTCTTGGAGTAGCCGCGCACATCGGCGAGGAACCACGGCAGCGTGAGCATGACCATGACCGGGATGGACTTCAAGGACGCCACGATCTCGCTCTTGACTTGGTCTTTCAAGAACTTTGGATGTTTCATCAGCTCCTTGTCGAACCAGAACTGGTACGCAAAGCCGGCACCAATGAGGTAGAGCAGATACCCCCCGACCAACGTGATGCCCGTGATCGATGCGATCTGGCGCGAGATCGAGTCCCGCGGCATGTCGGCGGGGTACACTGCATCCAGCGCGTAGTAGTCGGCGTACTCCAAGATGAGGTCCATACTGCAACTTCGATTCGCGTCCACGAAGACGTTTGCAAAGTGGCCGATGGTGGTCGATTGGCCTCAGGAGTGAGTAAGTAGCAGCGGATCTGCTTGGTAGGTACCGTATCCTACCTGGGCCAGGCGACGCACGCCGAGCTGATCGCAGTGCTTACGCTCAAATCGGCGAGCCCTGATTACAGTCTCCGGCCTCAATTATTCCTGCTAGGAATTCGGACAATACCCGTAACAATACATTTTATTCAGATTTAAATAATACTCACCATTATGTTTTGTTTAAATCTAATTACTTATTTTGTTTTTCGAGTACAGTATCTTGAAGTTTGTATGGCGAAGTGCACTTTCCATCAGTGATGTCCACGCGGACGTGCGTCGCTCTACGGCGGTGGAGCTGCGGCGCACGTCCGACGACTGGCTCAAGCTCGTGTTCTCCACGCGCAACGGGCCCGTGGAGAAGGAGGCGGCGTGCGTCAACAGCCGCGAGGGCTGTCGCTGCGACTCCGTGCGCCTGCTGAGGGCGCTGGTGGTGCTGACCGAGCGGCAAATTGTGTCGGTGAGGGGCGTTTACGCAATCACAACAATTGACAATACCCCCGTGGCGACGCTCGAGTTCAAAGTGAAAGTGTGCAATAACGCCCGCAATTACGTCGGTGAGTCATTAAAAACCTTCGAGTTGGTGCTCTGCCACCTCCAAAGTGACGCGCTGGCAATTGCAAGGAGAAGCGAAAAATCGAGAAACGAGGCCAAGAATTCCGAACTTTTGGACGCCACGTGCAGCTCCTGCCATGTCGTGGGGTGCCGTCTGCACCAATGGCAGGTACACGAAACTCTGGGCCCCAAGGCCAAACTGCACCTTCCCGACGTGTTCCAGAGCCTCATGGCGCACATGGAGGCGGAGCAGAGCGAGATCCGAGACGACGTCGTTTACCGCCCGAAATCTAACGGCTCAAACGTGAAAATTACGGACTTGCCCAAGAACGCGCTGCATCTTGTGGTTTATTTCATGGATGCTACCGAGTTGGGGGCCGTGAGTGGCGTGTGCTCCCTGTTCCGCCATTTGGCGTATGCAGTTGTACCCGGACTCAATTTGGTGCTGTACGAGCACCAACGCAAAGGGCTCAAGTGGATGTTGTACCGCGAGACGCCGTCACTAATTCGTAGCTCGACGTCGCACCCGTTTCTTTTCCCTCGACGCCCCGGGCGGAGTTCAAACGTTGCGATTGATATGAAGGTGGTGAAGGACGTGGATACGACGACGAGAGATTTGTGCGGAGGCATGTTCTGCGACGAACCGGGACTGGGGAAAACCATCACGATGCTGGCGTTGATTTTACGGACGAAAGGACAATCCACTCGGAATGCGAGGCTGCGAGCGCAACTGGCAGAGAAGCCACTTCTACCAATACTAGTAGATACTCGTTGCGCCCTCGGGATCGGTCTGTAGCAGCAGAGGATCTGGTGAGTTCGGGGGCGTCGCTTATTGTTGTGCCGGACCCGTTGGTCGAGCACTGGAAGTATCAGATTGAAGCCCATGTCGAGTCTGGAGCGCTGCGGACATTTATTGACGAGACTGGCGAGGAGCTCCCGAGTAATTTAGAGTTAGCAGCCTGCGACGTGGTCGTCACCTCGTTCAGTCGATTGGCGCGAGAGTGGAGGCGTCATCGACCAGCGTCCGCGCTGGAAAAGCGAATGCCCGAACGATACGGCTTTGAAGGGATTCAACGGTATAGTGATGGCACGATCCGAGGCGAGGTGTCTTCTCTTCTGACTGTTCGCTGGGTGCGCGTTATCGTTGACGAAGGACACGAATTAGGTGGGCAAACGCCAACCAACTTGATGCTGATGGCTCGAACTGTATCTGCTGAACGAAGGTGGGTCATGACTGGAACACCAACGCCCAACACGCTCCAGTCAGCGGATCTCAATTACGTGCATGGCCTTCTGCTTTTTCTTCGCAACAAACCGTACGGGCAGCCAGATGCGCGTACGTGGACCAAGGCAATCGCTAAACCGTTTGAGCACAACAAACCAATTGGGTTCTACCGCTTACAGAGTTTGCTCAGTCGGATCTTGATGCGTCACACAAAAGAGTCCATTCGTGAAATCTTACCGGAACCAGTTTGGCACACCGTATACATCGACCCGACGCCGAGTGAATACGCCCAATACAACGTCGTTGCTGCTGCAGTTCGCGCAAATCTGGTGATCACGAGCGTGGACCCTGAGAAGCCGGGGAAACAGCATCTCGATAGCCATTAATCGAGCAGAGACCTTGCAGGTGGTTGAAAATTTGAGGTTCGCATGCTGCGGTGGTGTTAACAGCGAGGTTGTGCTGCCCACGAAAGCGCAAACGGAAACGATCAATATGCTTTCAGACCTTGAGGTGGATGACGATAATATCGCCACCGTGATGCAGTACTTGCGAAAAGTCGTTCAGCCAGGAGTGATGACAAAGTGCGAGAGTTGCGAGCGGAAATTGCAGTTGCTCATGGTTCTTCCCTGCGGTCACCTCTGTTGCGCAGACTGCGTGGAAGATCGCAATATCCGAATTGGCCCGAGTTGCTATCTCTGCAACGAAGTGTTCGACCCAGAAGTTTTCATTGAGCTTCAGCCAGGCTTCGAGTTCCGTGAGATTGACGACGCCAACGACAAAAAGGCTGGTGGGTCTGGTAAGAAGCAACAACAAGGTGGTCAGGGGCACCAGCACCCCCCTTCGGGTGGCCATGTACAGCATTACGGTCAACCTCGACAGCTAACTCAAGCGCCACTATATGCTGGGGTCATGCCTAGAAATCGGCACTATTGGACGGTGGATGCCAGCAAGATTTTTTATGCAGCTACTAGAGTTCGCGAGCTGAAAATGGAGCTAGCTCGCCAGAGTGCTCTTCACGGAGCTGGTGGCGACCAACGTTACGTGAAGGTGATTATTTTCTCGCAATTCACGGAGATGATTTGGCGTGTAAAGCTCGCGTTCCAGCAACAGAAGATCCCGACGGCAGATTTCATCACCCTTATCAAACCTAAATTGCGGATGAGAGCTTTGAGACGCTTTCGCGAAAATCCTGCAGTAAACGTGCTGTTGCTGTCTGAAGAGGGGTCACACGGACTGGATCTCTCTTTCGTGACGCATGTCTTCCTGATGGAAGAGATCTGGGATAAATCACTTGAGACTCAAGTCATTAGCCGCGCGCACCGAATGGGAGCAGAGCAAGCAGTTGTGATCGAGCGACTATGGATGCGAGGCAGCGTGGAGAGCGACATGGCGAAGGTGAATGAGTTAAGTGAGAACGAACCAGACCCACCTCGCGTAGTTCATGATCTTGGCCCACCTGCTCGCAAGTTTAAGCGGAAACATACTGGAGGTGATGATACGTTACTGAATGTAGCTGGCAAGAAGAAGCACAAGCACGACCGCAACGATGAGGTGGCCAAGGTACCTGGAAACAAGAGCAAGTTCCTCCAACGCAAGCTGGACTACGTGCTAAACCACTTAAAGCTGCTCGATGAGAGCATTGCCGCGCCACCTCGACAAGTCCGGTTCTCTGTCATCGATGAAAAGACTGGCACTACAATACGACAAGCGATCCACACGATTCTCAGCTCGGACGACCCCGCACTAACAACTTCAACGAATTCCTCCAAGCCACAAGACAGAAGGACGGCACCACAGGCCATACCCTCCGCTCGTCCGACGGAAAATAGGGGAGCAAATGGCGCAGTGGTAACAGCTAGTCAAAGAGGGGCAACGTCGAATCAACACCAGTCACGCGCTTCTGTTGGCACGGCGCAGACTGCGAAGCCTGCGGCGGCGACTACAGTGGTAAGACCACAGGCAGCACGAGAAGCAGTACATTCGTCCAGAAACTCTACGACACAAGCTGTGGAATCAGCACAGGAGATTAAATCAGAGTCGGCACAGGTAGCGTGCCAACGAGCTGCAACAGCGACGACCCACCGCGAACGTAGACAGAAGCGACGACGAAGTGACCCCCAAGACATTATTGTGATCGACGATGAACCCGAGACGGTCGAACCTCGCCCTCCTGCTGCTATTGCAGTGGCAAAGCAAGACAACTCGAATGCAGAAGTGATCATGATTGATGATTCTTCCTCTTCGGAGCCTGACCAAAGCATCGATAACGATAAAGAAAGCCTCGGCGGCCGTGATAGCGATAGCGGCAGCGGCGGCGACAGCGATGCCAGCATGGCCAGCAGCAGCAACAGTTGCAGTGCCGACAACGAAGATCAGTCTGGAAGTGAAGACAACGATAGCAGCAGCGACGAGAGCGACGAGGAAGGCAACGAGTTAGTCTCTCAGCTGATCACCGTTGCTCAATGTCACTTTGCCCAGCACACCGTTGCTCAACGCCGCTTTGCTCGGCATCGAGAAGCCTCGGACAAAAAGGCTGCTGCAGCTGCGACTTCGTCTACGCGAACACCTGCATTGGACGATGAAGAGACCGAAACGGAGTCGGAGTGAGCTGTTGCGCGAAAGGAGTTTGAGTGCCGCCATTACCTTGTAGCTGTTCAAACCAAGGGCACGAGCGAAGGATCATTTTTATTTATGTTACGACAAGCACGAAGCTGACCGTCTCTATTCCACTCGGAACGACGTCAGCTCACCATGGTAGGCGTGGAAATATAAAGCTCTTTGAATTCATGTCGGGTATACAATTCGCGCATGTCGGTCCCGCAGACTTACATGTAGGAGAGAGGCTCGTACACGTGGGCCTTCTTCGTGGCGTCGCTGTCCGTCAGGTCGAGCTCCACGTTCACGCAGAAGAGCTGGCTGTTGCTGTTGTCGTCGCTGGTCAGCATGATTTCGTAGTTGCCAGCAGGCGCGATGATCGGCAGGTTCACGTCCACCTTCAGGTCCGAGAACTTGCCCTTCTTCATGGGGCATGCGAAGCCGTGCACGTCGATGTGGCCTAGGCCAAGCGGAAGTGGCACGTGGGTGTCGCCGCACAGCTTGCCCGAGTGTCCGAACACCTGCGTGCCGGCCAGCTTCACTCCCAGCTTGAAGTTGGCCGAGCTGAAGTCCTGCTTCGCGTTGCCGTTGCCGAAGAAGGACACCGGCTGGCCGCGCTGGGGTGACGTCGGGGTCACTTCCAGGTCGTCGAAGTCAATGATCGCACTGGAAACGTCACCGCACTGCGTGATCTTCGCCGACGAGTACAGGTCGGCCAGGTTCTTGGGCCGGAAGTCACGCTCCGGTTCGGCCGGGAACGAGTCCACAGGCTTGTCAGCGGGGACGGATCGCGGCTCCTCGACCACCTTCTCCGTTTCCTGCTCGTCCTTGTTGATCAGCGTCGCGAACGGGTAGCTGGGCACCGAGGCAATGCCGCACTGGCCGGCGGGTCCGTTCTCCTCACGGGCCAAGCGGATGTATCCCTGCTCTCCCCACGAGGCTCCCCACGAGTTCTTGACCTTCCAGAACTTCTGTCCGTTGTCGTTGCCGTAGCCCACGGCCAGCACGCCGTGGTCCAGCCTCGTGCCGCACGTCAAGTTGAACACCCCGGACTTGTAGAACTGGAAGGCCTTCTGGTCGGCCTCAATGGCCACCGACACGGGCTGCTGCGCCACAGCCACCTTGAGCGCGTGCTCGTCCTGCGGGTTGACGTCCTGGAAGCCCGTGACCTTGACGACGCTGTCGCACTTGCGGCAGACCTGCGCCTTGGCCTTGTACTCGTAGTCGTCCTCGCTGCAGATGCCGCCGTGGTCCTCAATCCACTGGAAGGCGTGGTCCATGAGGCCTCCGTTGCAGCCCATGTCTCCGTTGTGGTCGCAGTCCACAAGCTCCTGCTCCGAGAGGCTCAGCAGCTTGCCGCTCGACACGAACGTGGCGCCCTCCACCGCGCCTGTGGTGGAGAAGGCCCAGCACGAGCCGCACATGCCCTGGTTCTTGACGGGCGTGACGCCGCCCTTGTCCACCCAGTCCACGGCGCTGGGCACCTCCACGTCGCTCCAGAGGCCGTCCACGCGCGAGGCCAGACGCTGCTCCAGGTAGCCCTCGGGCAGCACGAGGCCCGTCATCTTGAACTTGAACTCGTCGAACGACATGTGCGAGAACGCGTTGTGGCCCAGCTTCACGCCCGTCCACGCGTTCTCGGCGTTGTGCTCCAGGATGTACATGTCGTTGGCGATGTAGTTCTCCAAGCGGCGCGCGAACTCGAGCGCGTCCGAGAACGTGACGCCGTGCGCGCTCATCCAGGCCGAGAACTCGTGCTCGTACTCGAGCGGCGACTTGAGCGCGTCCGCCAGCGCCAGGCTGGCGAGCAGGAGGCCTCCGACGATGCGCATACTGCGGCTCAGAGAGTGATGGTCTTGGTCTTCTCGGGGCGGAATGGATAATGAGAGAAGGCGGCGGGGCGCGGAGCGGTTGAAGCGGCCTTTCACTTGGCCTTTGTATACCAAGATCGGGGGACAGATCTGATGGGACGCAGCAGAATCAGGTCCCGGATGTGGCGCTGACCAATGAGCAGCGAGGAAGTGACCGACGCACTTTCAGCCAGTAGACGACGGCTTACGGGATGTGTTTTGACCAATCCACGGGCGGTTAAATGGGAGCTCAACGTTCAGCCCAAGAAGAAGGCTCACCTGCGCCGCCGAGGCAAGTTCAAGGCTCGACTGCACGACCGACGCTGGCGTGCCCGCGTGGAGCGAAGCAAACCGGAGCGAGAATGAGCCTTGGGGGCGTCTTCGTCCGTCGAAGCGGCGCTAGCGTGGCCACCTGCGCTCGCCGTCCGAAGCAAGTTGAAGCTGGGCTCAACTGCTCTCTGTCAGCGCGAGGCAAACTCAACGTGATCGGAGCTGTCCTCAGGCTCGGACATGGCTCTTGTCGTTGCTGTTGAGTGTGTGTGAAGGTGCACGCGAATGTTGAACAGCGATTAAAATCGGTCAGACCGTTGCGTTTGCCGATACCCCCAACCTCCTACGTGCTACTAAACTCCTTGATGTCCACTACTTCGGTTGACCTACGCGGTCGATTCTTTGGTCACCGCGAGTCGGAGCCAGCAGGTTGACTCAACCGTTGAGTGGGTGCCATGCGCCACTCCACAGAACTGGTGCCGCGCAGCGAAATTTGCTGGTCGAGGTGGTGCTACAAGTCAAAGCGGGCTTGCTGCAAGGTCGATCTTTACTAAGTTATCTAATTGACACTTGCGCTTAGTCATAAGTGGCCATCATTCACCCGTTCATCATTTTGCACAATGCCCCCCCCTTGAGGCGGAGACAGCAGTGAAGAGGACATGCAACCAGAGGTAAAAATGATGCTCACATGGCGGAGACCGGCAGGTGCGCGCTATACAACTATATGGTCCAGAAGATCGAGGAGCCTTACCACAAGCTACAGCAAGCTAAATGCATTCGATGTGTGTTTGTTGTGTCAAAGTTGAAGTTGTTGAAGTTGTTTAGCCTCTACAGTATGGTAGTGTATTTCTTTCGAGTCGGGGAGCTACAGCGAAGAAGACAACCCGGGTACTTGTAGCGTAATGGTGGATGCCGTCGCTAAACGGCCAACCAGGCCCTTCACCAATAATGCTGCCGGCATCACGAAAAACTTTGACCTCGAACTCACCACTCGGTCGTGTGGACCACCGCGGGAACGCTGATGTGATATTTTCCAGCTTCAACTCTCTCATCGACGGCACGAGCGTTGCGGAGCGATGTCATCAACCACGGGACTTCCTTTGCTACGCCCGGCAGCACCATCGACCGGAAAATGCCGCTGTGAGTAAATACATGTGCAGGGGTAGCTGGCGCCTCATTTCAACGAGCGGTTTCCGTCCAAGCGGAGAGGACCGAAGTTGAAGCGGCCGTTCAGTGAAAGAACGCCCGCGAAGCATCCTTCCTCTTTCTGTCGACGCACGCAGCCTCTGATGATGGCGTGCAAACCAAACCCATCGGTGCCGTGGCTGCATCGGTTGCTACACCATTTCCGGGTCGTTCTGCACAAATGCTCGATTCAAAACGATCACGTAGAAAAAAGGGCAGTATACACGTCCGACTCCGACCAGAACAGTACACGGATTCAAAACAATCACTTTCATTTTCTAAATGAACATGTGCCATTTTTCTGGTACGTTGTGGGAAAGACTGATCAACAATTGATACTGCGTCGTATTTATGTTCTCAAATCAATACTAAGATCAGCCAGAATTTTCTCGAAAAGGACAATTGTTGATCTGCTTCCCTCTGTGATATCATAGAAAGGGCAGCTGATCGTTTTGAAAATGGCTGTGGTCATTTTGAATCGAGAAAGTGATCAGAAGTCGGCCAAGTATACGCCATAAGTATACGCACCCTTTTTCTACGTGATCGTTTTGAATCGAGCATTTGTGCAGAACGACCCGGAAATGGTGTACTTTGACCTGAAAAGGCAAATTAATGCAATACGCTAGCTTCGAGCCTACCGATAGATAGCAAGCAGCGAGCGAGCGAGTCCGTATCGCATGTCTGCTTCGGCGATCGCAGCAGTTATATCGCTTCTTTCGTCTCGCTTATGCGCCGCGAACAGTCGGCCGCGGTTTTAACGAACTGCAACCCACCGAATAGGCTCCTTCTCTTTCGCGCAACGCCGGGCGCTTCACTTGGTCACTGTATGTCTGCATTAACATGCCACTTCAACATCTACAATTAGATCCACCAAGGGCACGATTTAGCTTAAACCCACGGGCGATCGTGTGGCCGCCTGGCCGACTTCAATGAGACAAGGTTTCATCCAATCACAGCTCTTAAAAGTCCTTTTCTCGCACGCTCATTCGCCGAAAAGGCGGCTTGCCTCTTCCTCCTGCAACAACGACTTCGCGCAGTTCCCGATTATCAGGCGGACGCACAGTCACAGGCTCAGTCTCAGGCCTCATGGACGCCTCCGTTGCCGTCGCCAAGCGCCTGCCGCGGCCGCTGCAGCTCGCCATCGCGGACGCAGCGCGTCGCCGCCGCCCCTCGCTGGCCATCACCACCTCCTGCTGCGCGCGCGTGGCCCACGAAGACCTGCTCTGCTCCATCTGCTTCGACATCCTCTGCTTCCCGGTCACTCTGCCCTGCGGGTGCGTCACCACCGCTGCTGTAGCCACAGTCTGTGCCCATTGATGTGTGATGACTGAGGATACACTGCTATGGTTTTTGTGTGGCTGCAGACACAACTTCGACCGTGGCTGCATCCTGACAGCCTGGGCGCACGACGTTACTGCTGCTGCATCGCCTCGTGCTGCGTTGCCATCACCTCGACGACAAGGAGATGATGACGACGACGCTCCAGTTACACCACGCGAGCGAGTGCAGCGAACTACTCAGCAGCAGCAGCAGAGAGGACACTTGTGTCCGCTGTGCCGCCAACAGGCGGGTATCCACAAGGTGGAGGAGCTGCAGGTGAACTTGCTGCTCAAGGACCTGATCACGTCGCTGTACCCAGCCGAGACTATGAGTGCCGCCACCTCTGCTAAGCAGCAGTGTCCACACCTGACATTGCCGTCGTCACCTCATGGCAATGGAGCGGCGTTGACTACCCACACAGCAGCCTCGGCGTTCCGACGCCGACCGAATTTGCGCACCTTCTCGTCCTTCGTCTACGTGTGCGCGGCGTCTGTGACGGACCCACCGGGTTTCGTACTTGCGGTGCTGCTGCTTCTGGTGCTGTTGGCGACGGCGTGCAGTCCGCAGCCTGCGACGGCCCCGCCAGCAGCTTCGGCGATGGTCATGTTCGACACCATGGACCGCGTCTGCAACGGACTCTCGCTGCTTATCCACCGGATCTCCATGCAGATGGACCAGATGGATCAAGTCTCGCCGTGGATCCGCATCATCTCGTACCTGATCTAGCTGCGCTGCCTCGCTCCGCTCTGCTCAGCTACCATGTTTTTATTCAAGTTATGACGACCACGCCAACGAGACACTCCACTCGAGTTGCATTCACTTCACAGCATGCATATATTTATGTCAACCAAAATAAGCTACACATCAACCAGCAAAATGCAGTTCGCCACTGGCAACTTGGCCGAATAAGGAGAAAACGAAGCACTTCTGCGTCTCCTGCTAGCAATGTCTGCTCTGTATTCTGCTACTTAGTACCGCAGGCTGCAGAAGCAGGCCACGCCGGCCTTGATCCAGTACTCCTGGTCGGCGAAAAGCACCTGCGCGTTGGTCTCGGATACGAGCGAGTTCCGGAAGATGTTTGGCTTGTTGGCCGGAATCTCGAGCCACATGACGAAGTTCGTCGAGTGGCCAGTAGTCGACAGCGTACCAGTGCGCGTGAGGATCTTGTACACCGGACACCGGTAGATGCCTCGTTGCGGGGCTTCGCGATTCGGTTGCGGGAACAGGTGAATGACCGGCATCTTCGCGAAGAGCTCGCGAGGCAGCGGGTCGTCCAGCGCCTTGATCTCCGGGTTCCAGCGAGCTCCTTCCAAGAACAAACCGTAAGTGTAGCAGCCGTCCACCGGCCGCGTCACGAGCTGCTCGACGCTCTCAGGCATCATGATGAACTGGAACGACAGCGAGTCGATGGGCAGTTTGTATCTGCGCGCGTGGTTTTGGATCGTGCCAGTCATGAAACCCTGCGGGAAGAAGAAGCCCGAGATCCAAAACACGGCCGGGATACCGTGCGCGATCCAGTTCGAGATGAACGCCAACCGCTCGAGAAGGTCCTTGACCCAGGCACCAAGCGGCTTGAGGGACGGATAGGCTTTGGATTCCCACACGACAGGCACCTTCTGGTCATACAGCGACGCCCCCATGGCTTCAAGCTCAGTGGACATGACTACCAGACCCTTCAGACCTTGCTGCACCAGATGCAGAGTGCTCCTCATGACGGCCAGGAGCTTGTTGAATCGCTCCACCTCCTGAGCCAACACCGTGTTCATCGACTCGTCATATGATACAGGGTAGGCCGCTTGGACGTGCTCCAGGTCGAATTGAGCTGGCAACTGAGACGCAATGGCTTGAGCAGCGTCGGCGATGATTTCCTCACGACTCTTGCCTCCACCGGAGCTCACGCGTGGCTGCAACGACAGCAGCAGGTCGAAGGCCTCGTACGTCTCAGCTTGGGCACTTGTAATGTTGGCGTTCTCGTGCATGCCAAACACTTCGGGTTCAGGGTTGATCGGTAGCGTGTTGATGTAGTTGACGTAGCTCTCGTAGGCATTGCGGGGGTCGCAGTCCAGCGAGTAGTAGATGCCGCTCCTTGAGAACGCGTAGTCCTTCTGCAGGATGGCCTGCTTGAAGAACGTCATGAGAATGACGTCCGACGTTCTCATGTCCTTGTCGTCCGTGATTCGCCCGCCGTAGTTGATGGTGGACGTCATCACCTGCAGCACGTCAAAAGGCACATGGTCGTACGTGTCCAGGAACATCTCGAGCTGCGCGACGCTGATGTCGAGGTCCGTCTCGTTGAATTGGTACGGGATGTTCCACCCGAGTGCACCGAAGCGCTTCCGCTCACAAACTATGGCATGGTAGAAGCAGAGTCCAAAGAGCAGCTTGCGGAACACGTCGGGCTTTCGCGTCGCCCCGAGTCGAGTCTCATCCAGCTTGTAGTACGTGTTCTTGAGGTTCGCGCGTAGCCCTTTGGGCGCCTCCTTCGTCATCTTGACTCCGTCCTGCAGCACTGACGCAGGGAAGGCCGGGGTCGGCATACTCGTAAGCCACAAGCGGAAGTTCTCGTGGAGTTTGGTCGGGTCGAGCTCTTCGCAGATCCGTTCCAGCTCGGGCATCCAACTCAGCGCCAAGTGGCAGTTCTGTAGCAGTACCCACTCGCCCTTGGTCGTAGCACCTTCAATAAGGCGTGCGGCTAAAGTACCTTGACCCTGACCCAGAGCGATCGACTTGAGTTTGCTTTCCATCCCGGTGCTAACAGCGAACCCGTGCAAGTCCTTGGCTGGATCGGAGCCTTGAGATAGCACGAAGATCAACGGCGTGGTGGGGCTTGCATCGTCGAACGTGTTGGCGAGGTCGAACGGCGGAGGCTCAATGAACTCCTTGCCCAACTTGGAGCACACCAGGTTTTGGATCCCCGGCATCATCTTGTCAGGCCGCAGGACTCGCAGAATGCACAGCCTCTGGAACTCATCCAGCTTGGACAGTGATTCCCCAGGCAGAGGCTGGTTCTCGGGGTCTGTCGAGTCGAAGATGGCGCGGAAGACAGCTACATGCTTGGCGAAATCGACCTCCAAACCGCTGAACGAAGGGAAGCTCGCGAGCGCGCAGATTTGCTGCCATGCGTAGGCTTCTAGCCACCGACTAGCCGGGTTTTCCGCTTCGACAGGCGGACTAGAGCCAATACCAGACAGCAGGAAGCGCCATTCACCGGCATCCACTTCGTTGTTGCCTTGCATGATCTTGATGGTCAGCAGGAACGAGATAAGCAGCTTGTGCTTCTCAAAGAGTGAGCGACACACGTTCTTGTAGACCGAGTACGTGAAGTAATCGTTCAGGTTTGTGAGTCGAGTCTCGAGTTGAGCACTGGGCTTGGCCGATTGGATGCCGCGGATGAACAGCCCCGTGAACCACGTCAGCGAATACTGGTACATTGGATCCACCAGTGCGAGGTCGGCGATGCAGAAGAACAGCAACGCCGCACGGAAAGCCACCGGACGGTACCCGTCACTGCGTGCATCGATCTCCTTCTCGGTCTCTTCCGCCTCTCGCATCTTGGCCATCACCACAGCTGAAGTCTCTTTAGCAGACGCCAGCGTCTCGATGAGGTTCGTATCATCCAGAATATTTCCCTCAGAGTGCGACAAGAGGTAGAGGATTTGGTTCTCAATCTCGTAGAGCTGCCGTTTACCCTCAGCATTCGATACCACAAGCTCGTTCTTCTTTGCTGCAAGCTCAGGTAGCTCCTTGAGCACCACCACGCCCAGCAACTGCTCCTCGAGGCCTTTCATGGTGATAGTGAAGTTCAAGAGACTCACCTTCACACAGACTTCTGGGGCGTAGTGTGGGTTGGCGAGCTTTGTCGTGAGGAAAAAGCGGAAGCTGTCGTTGTATGGAATCACGTTCTCACCCAGACGAATCATGTCCTGACCGCCTTGTTTGAATTTCTGCTGCAGCAGCACAGGCTCCAGAGCTGCATCAAGCTCCTCCCCCACGTTTTCCAGCAGTACCCACTTACCGAACCGCAAGCCATTCTCTAAGGCACGGAGGAATCCACGGTCCGACTGCTTCACCACATCCATCCCATTGTCGCAAAGCTTCTTGTCACGACCAAGATTCTTGATGAAGCGGTTGGCTTGGCCCTGCGGGTCGATCAGCAGCGGCCATCGTCGCGCACGCCCCATAATAATACCATTCTGCGTCGACACGGTATCCGTCGGGAGTCCAGCGATCTGCCACGCTCGCAATTTTACGGGGTCCTGTAGTGTACGGATCAAGTCGCAACCTGGGGAGTGCGGTACTTCGTGCTTCACCAGAGCCTCGTGCCAGGATGCTACAAGCTGTTCGCGGAATTCAGCCGTGAAGGCACCCAGGTAACTAATCGTGCCCGCAGATACGAGCACGTCTCCAGTGAGGTTAGCGTAGTCGAGAGTCAACTGCGCAACTGTCTCCTTCCAACGTGCTTCTTCGCCACCAAGTCCACCAATGAGTCGCTCAGCATTCTGCAGCTGAACTTGACACTGCACCACTTTCCTTCCGAGCTCCTCTTTCTTCGCCACTGCTCCATTGTACGACTGCTCCAGCTCCGCCAGTCGATCGCTCACCTGTTGCAGGTTGTCTTGAGCACCTTTGAGAACTGCTAGAGTTTCGTCGAGCTCTTTCTGAGCCTGTGCGAGCGCCTGCTTCTTGGGCTCGACAGCTTTCGCCACGAAGTGATACGTGTACATGGCTCGTGCCCACATACAGATAGCAGTACAAGCTTTCGAGGACTTCTCGATAGCCTCCGGCGTGAAGTTCGGATCCTCCATACTAGGCGCCACCTTGGTGATGATGGCATCGGGGATGTTGTCCTTGTCGAAGCCGAGCAGATTCTCCAAGAACTTGTTCGCGTTCGAGAGCACCACCTTCTGTGCTACCTCCCAGTAGTCATTGATCTTTTTACCAGGTCGATCCGGGTCCGGTTTGCTCACAGGTTTCTGACCAAAGAGGATACACACAACTTCCATCGTCAGCTTGACACCTGCAGGTGGGGTCTTGAGTGCTTTAACCTCATCAATATCAGCCTTTTTCAGACGATTCAGACATTCCACAGCCGACTCCAGAGCTGGTAGAGCAGCGTCGAGGTCACGTTGGGCTGAGTCTGCGATCTCCTTTGTGGCGCTGGCTTTGATACTGGCGGCCGCTTCCTCCTTCTCGACTGTGGCTTTGGTGATATCCGCTTCAGTGCTGTCTTTCGCGATCTGGACCATCATCTGCTCCACCTCCAACTGTGTTGCCGCAAGAACGGGCTGAAGCTCCACAAGCTCCGTCTGCATAGTGGCAACAATCGACTTGGTTTCTGAGAGTTTGTCCACACCATTCTGCAGCCGACTTCGCATCATGTTCACCTCCTCGCGCTTCATAACGAGCACGGACTTGAACGCAGACAACAGCTCCAAATAACTCGTCGGAGTCACGTAGAAATATCGTCGCAGAGTGTTGTAAAACTGCTTCGAGGCTTCTTCCACGCTTTGATGCACAATCTTGAAAGCCTCCACGAGAGCGGGGAGCTTGTCACCCAGCGCTAGATTTCCATCGCTCAGGATTGCCGAAGCCACGGAGTTGAGAGCTTCCGCAGGCCATTCACTGAACCAGTCGATGGTCGAGCAATTCACCAGTGACGGGAACATTCGCAACCGATCGCGGAACAGCCCACCCAGGGGACTCATGCAGATCACTAGGTGGATGTTACGCCGCACACGGTTGATATACTGCTGGAAGATGTTGGTCTTTGTTGGGGGAAGCTGCCGCTTCTGGCAGTCAACTCGACACGCAGTGATGATTTGGTCCAGATCTTCAGGTCCGTACAAATTGGGCACATTGCCAGCATTTAGAACGCCATTGAGATCTTCGAGCATTGTCTCGTTAACCACTTGGACGTCTGAGAAGAGGAACACAACCGGTGTGTCCTTCACACCTGCAAGCAGCAGACATTTCTTGACATCATCTCGCCACTCCGTGAGGCCGTAGCCCTTGACGATCTCCACCTGGAAACACTTGTAGCCAGCCATGAAGGTCGCAAGCTTCGTGAGACTCTGGCGACCACTGCCACCGACTCCGAGGAGCAGAGCGTTGCCCATAGGCTGCCGAATAATGCGCGAGATTCGAGACACATGCTCCACGGCGTCCATGAACAACACCAGTGACATGGGCGACTTGCTCTCCGCGTTGTAGTCGAGCAGATACTCGTCCATGATGTTCAGCACCTTGTCCACATCAACCACTTCCTCGTAGATCTTCGGGTCCGCCCCGGGCACCAAATAGTCGCCGTAGATCAAGTGCTCGTTCGTCACGACCTGGTCGTACTCGCGCTGGAAAAACTCCTTGGTCGACGAGCGCATGAGCTCGCGGAACCAGTCGTGGTCCTGCAGGGAGATCATTCGGTCTTCGTAGACGCGCTTGCACTCGTGCACCCACAGGCGAATCAACGAGTCCGTCTCCGTGATGCGTCGACTATCGCCCATGAGCATGCCCTGGAACACCTTGGCCAGGTCACGGAGGTTGAACGTATAGTGCGACTTTGCCGGCGTGGGGAGGAGCTCGCGGCAGATCGTATTGTAGACGCTAATGGAGGCACGGACGACGTTGTCCGTGAGCCGCCCGATCTCCGGGGGGAAGCCGGAGCTCAAGAAGTTGCCCAGGATCGTACTGAAGATGATGGTCTTGCTGTCATCGCCGAGCTCGGCGTAACCCACCACGTTGAAGTGACGAACCAAGCGTGGGGTGATTGGATTGCGTCCACCACCAGGAGGACCCATGGAAGCCACGAACAGAATGTCGATGATACTGCGGAAGACGAGCAGCTTGCGGTCGTACCAACCACCTTGGTCGAACCATTGGCGTACCAGTTCCAGCGGTGGTTGGGCGAAGTACTTCTCGCGCTTAGGCATGTTCAGATCATCCACGTAGATAATGTACTTCTTGCCTGCTGGTGGACCGTACACACCTTTCCGTCGCTTCTCCATCTTGGCGTCGAGCATATCCTGCGTTTGGTTGGCTGATGTCTGAGCCGAGAAGGAGATCGGAATGGGGATGTAGACATCAGCAGGCAAAGACTGCAGGTAGCGCGTGATGTTCACCGTCTTGCTGGTACCCGTACCGCCGACCATGAGCACGTGCTTACCCGCACTCATGAGCTCTTCGAGTAGATAGTTGTTACGCACAGAGTCGGCTGTAGGCACGACAATCTCGGCGAACGACGAGTTGGCTGGAACCTTGTACGGATTAACCGTGCTCATCCAGGGAACCCACTTGTGGCTGGAGAGCTGATAGCAGTAGTCGTACACTAGCCCACTGGGGGGAAGCGAGGGCTTGCAGTTGTTCGCCACCAGCTCACTCCGCAGGAAACTATCGAATCGCACCCGACCCGCATCATTTGTAGAGACGCCCACAGACCAGATCAACGCGAAGATGAACAGCGGTTCGATATCGTCTTTGAACTGCAAGTTGGGAGTCTTGGACGCTGGTTGTGGCTCACCAGTGCCATCGGCCGATGGTTTTTCACGGAATGGGTCCAGAGTACAGTCCAGGATGTTCATGAGACTCTGAGCTAGATTGTTGTCCATGGTGGGGACGAGCTCGCCCAGAAAGGACCGAATGAACGTGACGGCCGAGTACAAGTACACGTCAAAGAGCCTCATGAAGACATGCGCGAACGGCGCGACTGATTTCGGGAGGTTCTCGACCCACGAGTCTACAAGAGGACCGAGACCTAGCGTGCTGGGCTCCATGTACACCATACCTGTCCGACTGACGGTAGCCGGGGAAGCCACCGATAGATCCTCCACCTCGAACATCATCGTCATTTGCTTGGACATCTGCAGCATTTCGCCACTGTTCAGGCACAGCTTCTTGTTGTCGTCAAGCACCGTGTTCATGTTTTCAATCCAGATAGCATCTACAGGCCCGTCAAAGATGACCCACTTGCGGTCGGGCTTTGTGTCGCTGGCAGCAGCACGGTATAGTGTGGATAAAATACCGTCCTGCCACTCGTGTGTGTTGGCGTCGAACTCACCGTAGAGCTGGCCCATGGTGATGGATTTGGGGTTCAACTGGTATTTGATCACCTTCTCGAACGCGAATCCAGACTCCCCTCGTCGCCTCAGTTCTGTCAGCGCGTCAGCCAGCACAGCAATGTTGCACGATTTCCCACCCCCAGTAGCGCCGACAACCATTAGACCATGTCGCACTACAATCGTTTCGTACAATTGGATGCACTTTGTAAGGAAGTACGGCACGGGCTGTAGATTCAGGCGGTGGGTTTGGAGCTTTATCACGCTGATAAGGGCTCCGAGATCCAAGTTGGGGCGGCATTTACCCGGGAACAAATCGCTGATAATACCGTTGAACAGCGGGATATCGTGTGCCAGGAACTTGGGCAAGTTCACATCCTGCAGAGCACGCAGCAGCAATACGTCTTCGTCCATGTCGGGGTCATCGCGCTTGAGGTTACCAGCTGCCGTGATCACAGTCTTCACGGCGCGCATACCGTAGTCGTAGTGGAACTGCGACGAAAGCTGTTCCGAGCAGAGCTTGAACGTCGTCACCATCTTAGCGCCGAGCGCGCGGGCGTCCGAGAACCCGTAGGCGAAAAACATGATCTCTCCGATCAGGGCGTAATCCGGGACCATCATGGCCACAGGACGGAAAAGTGCCGCAAGCGAGTCGGGCAGCTCACTACGTCCGGCGTAACCGGGGTTCATGGTGATGAACACGCCGAATTGATCACTGAGCTTGATGTCGGAGCCTTCAAAGACGATTCGTGTGTCACCACGACGAATACCGAGCTGCAGGGTCACGACTTGTTGCCCGACCACCGAAAGCACTTCGATGTCGATACGGTTGAACTCGTCGAAACATGCCCAAGCTCCACAGGATGCTAACCCTTTGAAGAATTTACCCATTGCGATGTAGTCCAGACCATCTGAGCAGTTGAACACGACGCACTGCTTGGCCAGCGCCTTGGCCAGATCTTTCGTTGTCTCGGTCTTCCCAGTACCGGCAGGACCAGCGGGGGCCCCACCGAGGATCATCTGCAGCGCTCCCATCAGCGTTAGATAACATTTATCAGTCAGCGGCGTGATCACAAGTCGGAACGAGTTTCCGAGGTACTCGTAGCCATACGGACGCCTTGAAGTCACTGCTTGCACCCACAGGTTCTTGTCTGCCCAGTAGTACTTGAGCTGCGAACTCCACAAGAAATCTCCCTTGGACTCGACGTTTTGGGCCACGAGTTTGCGCGTCACATCTCGAGCGTGCACATCGATAACCGTCAGAGCACCACACGTGATGCGAGCCATGTTGTCAAGGTTGCCCCGCACGAGCGTGACCATATCCGCCAGTTGTCCGAGCTGTCGAGTCATCATCTTCTTCACACCTTCGCGTCCGTCAGCATCCATGGCCTCCTCCATCTCACGCGTCCAGTGCATTTGACTGCCGTTGAGTACGCACATTCCCGGCCACTTTTGAATCCAGAGAGACCGATCGATCTGCGTGTAATCCGCGATAGCGCGCTCCATGATGTCGCGGATCGAGAGCTTCATCATATCCTCGACCTCCATCATCCAGTGCTCCACGTTCTTGCCCTTAGGGTCCACCATGGCTGAGAACGGAACCTTTTCGCCTTCTGCGGAAATCATGGCGCTAATGTTCAGGTCGTCTTCGAAAGTAACTTGGACAATACCTTCAAAGCATTTCTTCAAATGCGGCTGCACAAGCTTGACGTCCTTAGACTCTGACAGGATGGACAACAACTCATCGTTTGAAAGGAAGTAGAAGCGTGCGAATGCTGAGCGCTTGACCTCGAGGTAGTCGCTCAAACCTTTCTGAACCAGCTCCAGGAAGTGATTCGACTCTCGGAATCTCTCCAGTAGCTTGGTACTCCGACAGAACTCGACGCACTTGGGTTTAGCCTTAGCCGACGCAAGAGTCTGGCGCCAGTTCTTGTCCACAGACGCAAACCGTTTGCCCTCTGCGGGGAGCTGCTTGTTGATGTCTGGGGACTCGAAAATGGGCTGCAAGTACAGCCAGTTGCGCTGCACTGCCAGCCACTCCTCCAGTACCTCCGAGATCAGCTGCAGGGTCGAGTTCCACTCGATGATCTCCTCCTCGAAGGGACCTTTAAACGACGAGAACATCATGGCCTGCGTCATGGTCACGTGTTCGTCCAAGATGGCCTGGATCTCGTCCACACCTTTGATCACATATGTGCCAGTCTCACGATACGCTATGATCTGTAGATCCACACTCTCCCAGGCTGCCTTCATCGTTCGCAGGGCCTGTTCAACTTGGTATTCCTTCCCTGCAGCCTCGGCCACCTTGACGATGTCGTCGATACGGTCCAACAGATTCAGCTGGAAGATGTTGGTAAGGGTGAAGCTCTCGTCGATCTCCAGCGCGAAGCCTAGACTCTTGCTGAGCTCCTCCCAGTGGCGAAGACGCATTCCTGGGTTGCGCAGAGCTACAATGAGTGGGACGTATGGCTTGAATACGGAGATCTGCTCCTTGACCGTCTCTGCGATCTTCGAGCACGCCTCGTTGCCGCTGTTGCTGAAGAACTTATAGGCTTTCTGAATCCCCGTGCTGTATGTGTCAACGAGCTTCTCAACCTGCTCTGCATCAATGTCAGTGAAGCTTCCTTGAATCCATGTCTTCCGACTCTGGATCCAGTTGTAGGACGTGGACCAGAGCTGGTGATACGGCTCGAACGTCTTCTTGGCGCTCGCCAGTGCATCGTAAGACGTGACTTCGTGACCGAAAAGCGTCTCCCGACTATTGAACAGCATCGCGTCTTGCTGGGCTTGCTCCAGCTTCCGCTGAACGGACATCGCGTGGTGGGCGACGTCGTCCACAAAGGCTAGGTTGTCGTAGCGCGAGAAGGTCTCGATCTCATCTTGCAGCGCAGCCAGCGTCTTCTCGAAGCGTTCCTGTTCGGACTCCATCTGCTTGGCGAACTTCCCCTTGCGCTCCTCAAGTGCGTGCTTGAAGCGTGAACTCTGTGCCAGCACCTTGCTAGGCCAGCCTTGCACCTGCCACGTGAGTCGGAGGTGCTCGTCACTGACGTAGTGGCGGAAATCGTCGATGAGCGTGTTGTCGCGCATCATTTGGGAGATTTCTTCCTGCAGCGGGGCCAACAGAGCAGGCAGACCAGCGATATACTCCTGAAGTGCAGTGAGACTCTCGATATCCTTCGGCGTTGACGACAACGTCTGGTTAATCTCGTCGAACTTGCTCATGATGCGCGTCGCCACTGTGAAACAATAAGTAACTTGAGCTTCCAACAACCGCGCAAAGCTATCGCGGTGCTTCTTCGCCAACGTAAAGCGAATGTTCGTAAGATCGACCTGAAACAGCCCCAGGTTCACTGCACGAGACGGAATGGTCTCCATTAGTCTCTCCTCTTCATCCCGGTGATAGGCTAACAGTCGACGGAGTTCATTCAGCTCAACTGGGGGGAGAAGAGGGGCAGGTTCGCCGTCTTCGCCTTCTGGATTCCCCTCAGGCTGCACACGAATGATCGACTTCAGATACTCGTCGACGTCCAGATTGAGCAGTGGGATGTACTGATCGAACTGGCGGTGATAGTTCAGCAGAGGCTGCGAAGCTCGCTCACCGATGTCCCCAACGTGCTTCTTAAGGCCAGCCACCGACTGCGCAGAGTCCTGTAGACACGCAATGCTTTCTTGATTCGGCCAGAAGATGCGATCCATCACCAGCCTCTCCACCAGCTCCAGCGACTTCAGGCGATCAAGGACGACGTCAAACTGGCCAGAGAGGGCACCCTTGAATTCGTCCGGGCTCGTCACGTACTCGAAGCGGTAACCTTCACGAGGCTCCACTGGTTCGATTGGGCACTGTGCTGACCGGTCTTGCACGTTGGCTAGGGACCATTCTCGAATCTCTGCGGCACGTTTATCTACTTCGCTTTGGTTTAGAATGTGCTTTTCGGGTGAGATGATCAGCTCGACACGAAACAATGGTTGGTGCGACGACACAGATGGAGGTAGAGACTCAACTTCGGGCTTCTGCTGGGGGTCAGTCTGCTCCGTCGTCAACACCCGTTCGTGGATATCGCTGGGCCCCCGTATCTCCACTTCGTAACCCGCCATTTCTTCGACAAACTGCGCGTAGCCTTCGAAGTTGTGCTGAATAAGCAGGCGGAGTGTGTCTGCGACCATATAGTTCACACGCCGCAAGAACCGACGGAGTGGCGTCTCCAAGTACTTTTGGCGATTCGGCTCCGCTGGATTATAGTGTGGATGTTGAGCTTGAGAGAAGTGCAGTTGGATGCGCTTGGCCGCCAGTCTCGTCCAGTAGTCCCGCATGAAGCGCAGCGCCGTGTGGCTCATTTGCGCATGCAACGAATGGAACTCGGCCAGCGTGATGCTCTTGGGCTGTGGTCGTGCGCCACCACCGAAGCTGATCTCCGTAGGCTGCTGCTCCAGCAAAAGCTTTTGCGTGCCCACATCCACGCAGCTTCGACGTACATCCAGCAACGCATTTACTGCGAACGGCAGGTTCACGAACTTATTTGTGGCAATGTCTAGGAACCTACGATTGAAGTCATATACTGGAACAGCAATGACGCCGCATTGGGGTGGAGGCGGTGGGGCGGACACCTTGGGCAGTTTGAGGCCGGAGAACTCGCAGTGCATATCGTCCACATTGGTCTCGAAGATCAGCTTGTTCATCGTGTACATGTAGTCAGCATTAACCTCCTCCAGTAGCGTCGACGTTCCGATGTTCGTAGGCACTGATGAAGAAGACAGCGTGAGTTGGAGAATGTTGCCGATCGTCTGGGAATCCAATTGAGTATCCGAGCTAATTGGCATGCTCTCCACGTAAAGCGACTGGCGCAGCGCCGCCTCCGCTTGTTCACGCCGCTGCACAGCACGCTGAATGCGCTGGCCGAAGGCTTCACAGTCGTCTTTCTCGAGACACAGCAGCCCACGATGCATCACAGGTGATCCCACACGCTTTCCAGCCGACCACGAAACAATAAAGCGACCAAGTGAGGCGTCAAATGCCGTCACCATGCAGCTGGACCAGCTTCCTGCAACGCCGGTGCTATCATCCAGCGGCAGACCCACCGCCTTCATCGGCAACCGCTTCGCCAGCTCTGGACGCTGGCCGACTGCTCCTGTGTCTATCTCCACGTCTAGAAAGCACCACAGGGGAAGAAATGTGCCCGCGATGCATGCATAGGGATCGCCGTCACCGGCGTATGAAGCTGCAATTGCTGGGTGTCCGAGTCCCTCGCGCGGAACCTGCGACTCAAGCCATTCTGCCAGCGCTGCCCCTGTCAAACTGCCAGGGGCAGCCTTTTTGGAGCGCTCTGCTAGCTTGGAAGGCGTCTTGCTGACCCTATGCTTACTGAGTCTGCTCGCTGCTTCACCGCTCGCGCCGTTCTGGATCGGATAGTTGACCGGTTGGACTTTAGGCGGCAGGTCTTTCGTGGAAGGCGCTTTCCCTATGGTCCCGATGAGGGATCCGAACGCTGACTGCATCGAGCTCGTATCATCCTGCTCGTACTTGTCCAGGGCTTTCAGTACGAGGTTGAGCGACGCCGCATTTGCTGACTAGGGATGGAAAAGAGAGCCAACATGTCAGTGCGTGTCAACAGTACTCGTGAGGGGAATGGATATCCCTTACCTTCTTGGAGTTGCGCTTGCTCATACGGCACTGCCCTCAAGTCTACCTTCGCGGCAGCAAGGCTCGGGCACTTCCACTTCGTCAAATACCTGGTTGCGGCTCTTCAAGCCATTTCCGTTTCACGACTTTTCACAACAGAAACAAAACACACCGCGCATATTGAGAATAGTTACCATTCACTGTCAATAGGCGGGTCGAACCGCTCAACTAGGCTGCCGCTTCTTTCTTGGCACCCTCCACCGCTGCTTCGTTCGGCTTGTCATTTGCTGTCCCCACCGCAGACGTCACTTCATCCAGCAATTGCTTCAGCTCGTGCTCGAGAGCCTTTTGCCGGAACTGCTTCGAATATTGAATCGCCTGCTCGATGTACGTCTTCACCGCTGTCGGACCGCCCTTCATCGACCGAAGACCGCTGACAACAAACTCTTTTTCCTATATAACCACAAACACAGCAATGGGTTAGCAAATGCACCAGTGGAAGATTATACACGGACAACCGCTTTCGTACCTGCTGCGTAGTCGTACGGGCCTTGATAAGGCGGATGATGGTACTCCATGACTCCCAGTTCTCCGCTAGAACGCCGTAGACCAGTCGGACAAAGCTGCTGCTCTTTTCATCCTCCACGAAGTCGCCATCGTGGAGCGGGATGCCCAGCATCTGGGCAGCCTCTGCCTTGACGGAGTAGTTCGAGCCCACTGAGCTGTCCGTCATGACAGAGTCGCCGCTCTCGCTTCGTCCAGGAGACGAAATAGTCGACAAGGTACTGGAAACAGGGGAGCTAGGTGAGTGCGATGGTGACCCCGGTGACGACTTGAACGACGGCGAGCCGTGCATTCTGTGCGAGCGCTTGGAGTGCTTCTTGTCTCGCTTCAGTTGCGAGGACCGCTTGCGCGTGCGCTGGCGCTTCGGAGACTGGCCTCCCAGAGCAGCAGCTTCATCTGCTGCTTCACCTTGGTACACGTTGCTCGCCTTGGACGAGCTCTTCTTGTAGGGGTTGCCCAGATTGAAGCACAGTTGGCGGCGTCGCAATCCTGTGGGCGTATCTTCGTCAGGCTCAGCTTCAGCCAGAGGGTTGCGGAGCGCCTCTTTCTTGACCAACCGAGACTCGTAGTCACTCATGACGTCAATTGGCTGGCGATGCTTTTCATCTTCCTCCACAGCACGCCAACTTGGCGCCAACTTCAGCGGCGCCGCGTCATCCTTCGGAGCCGTCACGCGCGGAAGAGCAACCTGGAACTGATGCTTCGAGGACTTCTCGAAAAACAGCGACTTGCTCTTCTGGTGGGCGGCGCGCAAGTCTTGGAGCGACATGCTGGCAATGGCATCCAAAGTTGCGTCGGCTTGGTTCGATCCAGTGCCATCCCTGTTAGCAATGGGCGAGGCGGTCGGGGACGACTCCGGGATGCCGCTGCTGCGCAGGCCTGGCGTGGAGCTGTTTGCGTCGCTTCGGCCAGCCCGGGAGTACAATTTGTTGTTGCTGTCGCTCTCCGCAATTGCCTGCTCCCGGAGTCGGTTCAAAAAGTTGGAGATCTGGTAGCTCCGTCCGGAATCCTGGACTTCAGGAACCATGTCGTGCAGATTGTACTTGCGCAGTGCCTTCTTCAACGGGGCGTAGTAGTAGAGCGGGCAGCCGCTGAGGTACGACGAGAAGGACTCGCGCCACGAGGACGGCATAGCCTTCGCCTGGAACATCCACGTCCCCGTCGCCGAGTTGATGTTTTGGCCACTAGCCTGGTACACGCGAGCGACTTCAACAAGCAGTGAGAAGAGCTTGGGGAAGTTGTAGGGAAGCAGCACGAGCACAGCGTTAGCCGAAGGAACTCCAGGCCCAGACGTAGGCGCACGCAGCATTCCAATCGGGTCCCCGAGCCGTCCGTCTCCCTTGCTGCCTTGGACGTACACCAGCCAGCGTTGGCCGCGACTCGGCGTAGGACTGATGGACGTTTCCAACAGATAATTGTCCGCCGGGAACTTGAGCGTATCCAGCAGCATGTGGCTCGTCGCCGCCTCGATGGCGTTCTCCACGGTGCGAGAGTACACGAGCGTCGGATGCGCCTCGCGCGTGGGCAGCGCGACGGTGTTTCTATCTAGCCAGAAGGCTTCGGCCACGGGCCAGCAGAACTCCTTGCCACTTGGCAGCGGCGCGATGATGTTCCTTGTCGTGGGGAACTCTGCCTCCCCGTCCATAGCCTCGCACTTGAATTTCACCACCGCGCCGGCCTTGAGCTTGAGAATGATCTGGTCGATGCTCTGCTCCACGGCCGGCTTGGACGTGGGCATGTAGAGCATGCCGCCCGTGGCCTCACTGAGCGCCATGAGGTCCGCGGGCACGCTGGACTGGCCCTTGACGCCGTTCATGGTGGCCGAGAGCTTGAGCGCGACCGTGAAGAGCCGTTGGTCCCACCTGTACGGCTCGTACGTGAGGTCGGCGCCCACGGCGCTGGACGGCGCGATCGTGAGCGCGTCCTGGATGAGGCCGTCGGCGCTCGAGAGAGTCGTGGCGTCCGTGAGCAGCACGCAGACCGACACGTTGGTGTTCCAGGGCGCGCGCCCCAGCCCGTAGCTGTCCCAGTTGAACTGCAGGCGGATCTGGTTCATGAGCTCGAAGGCCTGCTTGAGCGCGGCGCCCACGTCGCTCAGGTCCGTGGCGCGCAGGTTCTTGAGCTCGCGCAGGAAGGCCTCCTTGTTGGTGGACTGGTCCCAGCCCACGCGCACGCGGCCGTCGTAGGGCACCGCGTCTGCCGAGCCCTTGCCGCCCCCTTTGCCGGCATTAGAGCGCGCGTCGCGGCCGCACGAGAGCAGCATGAAGTGGTGCTGGTAGCGGCGGCTCGGGTCGCGCACGCGCTTCACGAAGCGCTCCACCGCCGACTTGGCGTAGTCCAGCAGCGTCATACCCGAGCTCGTGCTCTGGTTCATGGACGCGCTCGTGTCCAGCACGAACGTCACCAGCATCTTGGCCCCCTCCCTGCCTGCCTGCTACTGCTTGTGCTCAATTGCGGAGTGGAAGAGTGATGGTCGATTGTATCGTACTTAATGAGGTGTAAGTAATTTATTTATTTTACCGAGACGTCCTCCGACGTCCTCCAGCGTCTACAACAACGGGACAGCAGCCGCCAGTTTTTCAGGCGCGGAACTTGCGCTTCTTGTGCGAGCGCTCGACGACGGCGGCTGTGGCGATGGTCTCGGCGTTGCGGCCCTTCCACTGGATGAAGTCCTTGGCGTCGCGGATGCCGGCGTCGAAGAGCTTCTTCTCGTCCTGCGTGAGCTTGCGCGTGAGCTCGGTCGTGTCCTCGTCCAGCGAGCTCATGGCGTTGTTGAGCAGGTCGCGGTAGCGCTCGCCGCCAAAGCACAGGCGCAGGATCTCGTCGATCTCCTGCTGGGCCGCGGGCTCCACGAAGGGCATGAGCTGGCGCCCCACCTCCAGCACGTACGTCGAGAACTCGCGCAGGTTCACGCTGGACGGCCCGGCCTTGAGCATGCGGCGGAAGCGCTTGGTCAGGAAGTGCGGCGGCTCCACCGACACGTCCCCGCGCCGCGCCAGCATCGTGGCCAGCCACAGCGGCAGCTCCACCACGGCGTGCTCCGCCAGGTCCGGCCTGCGGCAGCTCGGGTCCAGGTACCCGCAGTCCAGCGCGTCCGTCTCGAACGTGCACTTGATGCGCTCGTCGCCCGCCAGGATCTCGTCGATGTCCAGGTACCCGCCGCTCATGTTCATGCTGGTCGACGGCGCTAAGTGAGCTATTGGCGCCAAATTTTGCACTCTTCTAGACCTCGCTCAATTTTGAAATAGTCGTGAATAGTCTCTTGTGTTCTAGATGGACGTAGAAAGGTCCAGTGTAGCCATATCTTTCTTACGGTCACAGGATGACGGACGAGCACCACGTCGAGGAGAAGCTGCGCGCGCTGGTGCGGTCCTGGGGCGTGTCGACCTTCAGCGAGCGGATCGCACTGCAGTGGCTGGAGAGATTCTTGGGCAGCGACAAGGACTGCGACGACTTCCGCCGCCTGCGCAAGTGGATCGTGCTGCAGCTCAACCAGCGCCGCGTGCCGGACGACTGCTCCAAGTGGCAGCGCGGATGTCCTGAAGTGATCCCACTGCTGCGCGCGACGCCCGTGTGGGACTGCAGCGAGTTCCCGTGGGTGCAAACGCTCGAGAGCAACTACGCCGTCATCAAGGAAGAACTACTGGCGCTGAAAGACTGCAGCAAGTCGGGCTTCCAGCCCTACAGAGCACCGACGTGGGCGAGCGACATCCATGTAAGTTGCTAGCTGGAGATTTCATTGCGTTACTTCAAGCAGAAGTTTGATCGTTTAGATGCTGCCTGAAGGCGAAGGATGGACTGGGCAGCGCTGGACACGACGCGGGGGACTGGAACGTGCTTTACCTGTTCCTGCACAACGTTGACTTTCAGACCAACAGAGCGCTGTGTCCCAAGACTGCTGCTATTATCGAGTCCATCGACGGTCACTACGACCACACCTTCTTCTCGGCGTTGGCGCCGCGTACTCATGTCAAGAAGCACAACGGGCCTACCAACAAGAAGCTGCGATGCCATCTGCCGTTGGTGGTGCCTGGAGGAACTTGCCGACTCCGCGCAGGAGACGAGGTGGTGTACGCGCAAGAGGGAAAGTGCTTTGTCTTTGACGACTCGTTTGAGCACGAGGCGTGGAACGACGACGACTCGCGCAGTCGCATCGTGTTGATCATCGACGTGTGGCACCCTGACCTCAGCGCTCAGGAGAGAAAGTTCCTGGGCTTCCTGCGTAACGCGCAACTGCGAATGGACAAGACCATGTGCCAAGACTCCGGCGACAACTTCTATTCCATCATCAAAAAGGCTGGCGAGGCCAGTATTTCCCCTCACGAAGCCGTGTGGAGCTGAGCTATCTAGATAGTGTTCGTTCTCGTTCCAGCTCTATTCACATATCCACATCAAAAGACGTACCAGCTCGATACTCTCGTGCAGTTTTGTGGCCAATTCATTCAGACGCAGTATCTGAATCATCGTCGTCGATTATCGTGAAGGACACAGCTTTAGCCTTCGGATTCATCTTCGTTTCCAGCCGCACAATACCGTTTCCGTTCACTTTTGCACTGATGGCTGCCCTAGTCTTCAGGGCCGGCGGTTTGACTTCATTGCCGTCGTCATCGTCATCGTCACTCGAGCTCATAGCAGCAATGATACTTCTTCGCTTTGCCCAGCGCCGACGAGCGTTCTGTACCATTTTAGTTGCCTCAATGTCATCTTGCTCATCATCCTCGTCCTCGTTTGCCTTCTCCTTGGACTCTTCATCATCCGAAGAACTGTCAATCGATATGATATCATCCGAAGCGGGACGTTTAGGCATTGGAACGTGAGAAGAAGAACTTGACATGGGCTCGTCTTGAAATGTTACAGTTCGCCTTGCCGATGAACGCGAGCGCGCAGAGCCATTGAGTGTCGAAGACGGTGGAGCGACTGACACAGTCTGTGTTACTGTCGGTGGCGGAAGGGGTGCTGCCGACGGGGTGACCCCGTGAGATCCTCGATTAGGCATCACGTGGACTGCTTGGCGGATCACCTCCTCATGCTCATCCACGACTCGGAAACGCACTTGGCCAGCTTCCGCGACTATGTTTTCTCCCAGCAGCCGTAAATTATTCAGAACGTAGTCTAGTTTGCGCTGAAGGAAAGTGTTCTTGTTGCCCTTTGCAGCTTTTCGTGCATCGCCTGGCATTCGATGTCGCTTGCGTTTCTTGCTTGGTGCGGTAAACATGGTGCCTCCTCCAGTATTAGGCTTCTTCGGCGATCTACCCGGAGAACCGCCCTCATGTACGCTGATCCTAGTAGGAGAGGCGAGCATTTCTGGTTTCTTTTCCTTCAGATCGACCTCAATTTCTTGAGGTCTCAACATTTGACTCTCCACGCTGCCTCGCATCCACAACTGCTCCACCACCACTGCTTGACTTGCACCCATTCGATGAGCGCGGCTAATAACTTGCTGCTCCAGCGACTTATCCCAGATCTCGTCCATCAAGAATATGTGAGTGACAAAGGAGAGATCCAATCCATGGGAGCCAACCTCTGTTAGTAGCAGGACATTCACGTTAGGGTCCTTGCGGAAGCGCATTAGCTGCTTCATTCGAACTTCTGGACTGAGCCCAGCAATGAAATCGGCCGTTGGAACGCCTTGCTGAGCAAACGCAACTTTCGTGTGCCAAATGTGCTCCTTGAACTGCGAAAAAATAATGGCTTTCAAATAGCGCGCTTGGCGTCGCGAAGAACGAATGCTTGGTTGAACGCTGCCGAGCAAAAACTCCTTCTTCAGTTCTTTGATCCGGGTGGCAGCGTAAAATGCCTTGCTAGCGTCAATGAAATGGATGTCGCGAGTGAGATCCAGCGCACGACGGGGCTGTCGAGGAGCATGTTGGCCATTTTCCTCTTGACCACGCTGGTTCCTTCCGCGCCCTCGGGGTGCGCCTCTTTCACCCGCTTCTCTGTTATGCCGTTGATCTTGGTTTACTAGCTGCTGAATCTGGTTGACGCGTCCTCCTTGACGACCATTTTGATTCAGATCGAGATTGTTAGTTTCCAGCGCTACTGCTTCCACCATCTCAAATTCAAACCCCGGCTGAAGCCGTTGAAAGGCCTCACGGTCGAACACCGCATTGCAACGAAAACAAACGGGGCCCACCCTTGCCATGCGATCTTCCACACAGTCTGCACAGCACAGATGACCACACGGTATGATCATGAGTAGCTGCAGCTTGCGCTTGCAGCATCCACATTCAGTCACCATGCCCTGAAGCTGCACCTTGCGAAGATATTCAAGCACCACCGTCATATTTTCCCCTTCAACGCGAAGGTCGTTCAGCATGTTGATTGTATCCAGTCGAGATAACTCAGCCAGCGAGATTTTTACGGCAGATCCACCGCAGCACGCAGACCGAAGATTGGACACGACGCGCAGGGCGTCCTTCCGATTGATTGGGTTCAAGAGGCTATCTGGATGCTGACAGCCAGGCGTCTTAGGATCCATATTCGTAATAACCAAGTTAGCTCTGACTGCCGCAGCAACGCCGTTGTATTGGGCGTATTCACTTGGTGTTGGGTCAATGAAGACTGTGCGCCGGACCGGCTGAGGCAAGATCTCGCGAATAGATTCTTTTGTGTGCCGCATCATGATTCTGCTCAGTAGGTGCTGTAAGCGGTAAAACCCGACAATTTCGTTGCGCTCGAAAGGACGAGCGATCGCCTTCACCCAGGCTTGTCCATCTGGGTTCCCGTAAGGTAAGTTGCGTAGAAATACTAGGAGCCCATGCATGTAGCGGAGATCGGCCGATTGAAGCGTATTCGGTGTCGGCGTTCCAGTCATTACCCACCGCCTTTCGGCACACAGCAAGCGAGCCAACTGCATTAAATCTGACGGAGTTTGGCCACCCAATTTGTGACCTTCATCAACAATCACTCGCACCCAATGCACCGTCAACAGAGAAGAAACCTCTCCACGAAGAGTGCCATCAGCATACCGTTGCGGACCTTCAAAGCCGTATCGTTCAGGCATACGCTCCTCCAAAGCCGAGGTAGGTCTGTGAAGCCTCCACTCCCGCGCCAGTCTTGTGAACGAAGTGATCACAACATCGTACTCAGCAAGGTCAATGTTGAACGGCAACTTGTGCTCGACGCCAGGATCAACAAACACACGCAAGGCTCCAGGAGCGACGTGAGTTTCGACTTGGTATTTCCAGTGCTCAACCAGCGGATCAGGCACCACAATCAGAGACGCCCCAGAGCTCACCAGGTCTTCGACATTCACCGCCCGACCTCGAGACCGTGCAGACCGCAAGCCTGGCCTGTTCACATTTCCACCAGGACCGCGAGTATCGACTGGTGTGTTATCTGTCGTCTGACCTTTTGTTCGTAAGATGAGTGCCAACATAGTTATCGTTTTGCCAAGACCTGGCTCGTCGCAGAACATGCCCCCGCAGGCGTCACTAGCTGTCACGTGACGATGTGTGATGACTCGGTCCTCAATCAGATCAACGGCCGTTGCCGACTCACTTTGAGATTCGGAAGATAGGATAAATGGGTGTGGCTGAGGTATGCAAGTCAATGACGGGGTCTCGCGGCGCAGCATCCACTTGAGTCCTCTGCGCTGGTGTTCGTAGAGTACGAGGTTCAGTCCTGGAACCACTTCGTACGCCATGTGCTGAAACAGCGAGCACACTCCACTGAGCGAGGCGAGGTCGCGTGCGTTCATTAGACACACGATGTTCTGCAGCACGTTGGTCGGCAGGTCGGTCATGAGGACCTGCTTGTTGATGCGCGTCATGCGCGCCACGTACGTGGCGTCGTCGCGGATCTCCATCTGATCCACCTCCATCTGACTCGTCAAGCTGTGGAACACGTCGGGCAGATTAAGTTTCTGCTTGGGTGGCTGCGTCTGCTTGTCCGCGTCCCAAGGGTGCAGCCTGCAGCCCACAACATGGCACGAGCTGTTCTTGGCCTGTTCCAACGACGCATTCACCGCCTCTTTTCGAGCCTGCTCGTTGCGCGGCACAATGGACAGCACTGTGGCCTGCAGGTGGCACAGCACCAAGTCGAAGTCCTTGAGCACTGTGCCTTGTTTGGCCTGTTCGTGCACTCGCACGCGCAGTTGAAGCGTCGCCACTGGCGCTTGAGTGGCTCCCGAGGTCTGAGCAACGTCCTCGTGGCCGGCGGCGCGGGGCGTCACGACGTACGTGGCATGAACGCGCAGCACCAGCCGCTCGCTGAGCAGCAGCAGCGCGCGCAGGAAGCGCACGAAGTCGCAGCGGCAGCCGCTGGCGCCGTTCACGCACGCCACGTCCTTGCGCACGCTGGGGCTGTTGAAGGCGAGCTGGATCCAGTCGTCGGCCGTGCGCTGCAGCGTGACGGGGACGCGAGTCGCGCCGTTGACAGCTGTGGGGCATAGGTCCTCGTACACTGGCGCCAGCAGCTCGATGGTGCGGTCCACGCCGACGGCAGCGCTGGCGCCTGAAGCCGCGGCGGAGTCCGCCATCACTTGGGTCGGAATGTCACCGGAAAGAGAAAACCTAGCGAATGACATGGCACTTCAGTTACATTCTGTTCGATGGGTGAATAATGCTGAAAGCGCGTCTCGCTGTTGACTTGAATAGGCATGAGAAATATGTGTGTTGGCATGGTGCTCTACATCGTGCTCCCAGCAACCGATTTTATTCACCAAGCAGCCAAGTGCGCTGCAACGTCTGCAAACTACGTCTATAGACGAACCTGCCGGTAAACGTTACCGTTTTAAGCGGTGTTTGGCCTGGTTTTCATATTTTAACTAAAGTGTTTGTCGTGAAGACGTCCTTCGCCACGTGCACTAACATCCTGGCGAGCTGGGTGCACGTACATGCACGATGTGAGCGACCGTGGTCCGACCACACAGTCATTATCGTCGCGGCGACCGCCTATCGGTCCACCCTTAATAATGTGGACACTGCAACTTGCAGTGCAAGGTCCAGGCGAAGCTCTCGATCATTACCTGTCGACAATACCCAGCTGCACCATGGAATCCTTGCCGGAAGAAGTTGCAGAGTGCTGCATGCGGACTCTGCTTTCGAGTCGAATGTTTCGACGGGAGTGTGACACGGCGCTACTTGCCGATGCTCGCTCGAGTTCAGGGATTGAATGAGTTTCATAGACATCTGCCGTGTAAAGCTACCGGGTAGATCGGAGTTTATCCTAGAACATGCGTACATGTATGTAGAGGTTCTAAGTTCCACAGAATACCGAAGGTAAAATACCCTTGGTTTGTAGAGGACACTCGGTCGTCCTCCGCGTAAGCCCATTCAACAATTGTTGTAGTTACCAGACCACTGCATCCGTCAATTCTTACTTGCGCAGAAGTTAATGCGACCTATACTAGGGTCCTTTGCGAGAGTTGTCGGTCCTCGCCGATGGCTTCCCGAGTGCTCTTGATGTTGTTGAGCTGCCTTGGGCTGAAACCCCGAGCCAAGCAGCTCAAACAGCACTCGAAATTATACGTGAACATTGCGTCATCATTCATACACAACGAGGCAAAACTCCAAATCTCGAAAAAAAAACTCCTCCATCTGTCAATTGCCGAGCTTCCGACTTTCCCCCTCACAACTCAATTGCACGCGCAAGGCACAAGTTCCTCCGCAGACAACCGTAGCAGCAAACATGGTGAAGGTGACCGAGTTCAAGGTGGGCATGACGTGCGACGGCTGCTCCAGCGCCTGCACGCGCATCCTGACCAAGATCGAGGGTGCGTTCTCCCTCTCCGCCTCCTTCTCTGCTTGCCTGACCTGAGCTGTCGCTAGCTGCTTGCTAACGTTCCTCTCTCCTATGTCCTCCTTGTTGGCAGGCGTGACGAGCGTCAAGTGCGACGTGGAGAAGCAGCAGATCCTGGTGGAGGGCGACGCCGACGAGAACGCGATGCTGGAGGCGCTGCAGAAGTGGTCCAAGGCCAGCGGCAAGAGCGTGGCGCTGGCGTAAGTCCATCTCGCTGTCTCCTCCGTCCGCGAGCCCTTCTCCTCCTTCTCCTCCTTGACGTCTCAAGTGCTCCGACCCCCACTCGTTGAATTACCGCGCCGCGCCTCGCATCGCAGCAAGCGCCGAAGCTGAACTGGGGAAATTAAGACAATCGAAGAGTTTTTTTTAGCGTGCGAACTTGTGCGCTGGCATGAACCTTGTCCTCTGACGCAAGGATCCCTCACTTGGCTGTCGCTGGCAGCAGCGCCCTGGAACTGTCCGCGTGGATAACCCCCATACATCTTCTTAGTAGACAAGGGATTTCTGATCATTGAAACGACGGCACGGGGCTCGCCTTGAGGCCGCTGCAACTTCAACGGCGGCCTGGGCGACGATCCTGGCTCAGCCGCAACGCCGGCACCGCGTCTGCCGCCCAGCCCGGACGGTAGCCAACGGCTATGCGAGCCGCCAGCCGCTGGCTGGCAGGAGCGCACACGGGCTGTGCAGCCGCCGAGTGATCACCGCTTGCGAAAGATGACGACGCAGCCACTGCCGAAACGCGGCGGGCCCGACCATGTGACTCGTGCCCCAGATCGCCGGGATCACCTCCATGCAAGTTGCGAGTTGCCTCGTGCCAGTGGTTGCCCTCGTGCGGACGACACTTCGGGTGTCGCGCATGATGAACCCGGCTTATGGACGCGGCGGGAGGCCATGCGTCAACCGTAGCGCAAGATGGAGACGTCAACTTGGGCCGCAGCGCCGCCAGACGGTTCCGATTCTCCCCTCGGCTAAAACCGCGCGCAACTCACCGCTAATTCGGGCCGTTCACCCCTCCCCACACAGAAGTTCTATCGCTCTGCACCCACGCTATCGCCCGCCTCGTCCTTCCTAATCCGCCAGTCTCCGATATCAACCGTGGAGGTGAAGAAGGGCCCAACGTTCCGCGCTCAGTGCGGAAGTTGCCGTCTCCGCAGCAGAGCTCACCCGCCCACCCGCATCCAGGACGACGTCGATGCTCTCGCCCTCGGCGGCGGCGCCTCCGCCGTGGCCCAAAGCGGCCGACCGCAGCGCGCCCACGTACGAGCTGGGCGACCTGCTGCTCTCCGCCTTGAAGCTGCTGCCCGTAGACCCGACGCCGCGCCGCTCCGCGCGCTCGCGCAGCCGCGGCGTGCTGGCGCTCGAAGCGGGCCTGGCGCTGGCCTCGTGGCTCGCGCTCCAGCGCGGAGGGCTGTCGCCGCGCGTGCACGACCTGGTGGGCGGCATCCTGCTGGTGTCGAGCGCCGGCGTCTGCTACTTGGGCGTCTGCCACGCGCTGGACAAGGGCGCGCACACGCACAGACTCGGCGCGCTGCTGCTGGACCGCTCCAACCCGCGCTCGTGGCCGCGCGAGAAGCGGCGGCTCTTCCTTGAGGCCTGCACATGGATCGCGAGCGTGCTGTCGCTGTACATCACGTCGCACTCGGGCTGGGTGGCGATCTTGGCAGGCGCAGCGGTAGCAGGCGCGCTGGCCATTGTCAGCGACTTCTTGGCGGCGTATCTGCACCTGCTGGAGACCAGACTGGACCCGCAGCAGATGAGCGGCATCGGAGGCATGCTCTGGCTCAAGGTGGCGCTGTCGTACGCCTGCGTGGGCTACATCATCTCGGACACGGGGCGCACGCTGCACGGCTACGTGTTCGGCGAGGAGGACCAAGAGGAGCAGGAGGAGACCGAGCAGCTCCAGTCCGTGGACCAGTTGGTGTTCAACTACTTGCTGATCACGCTCGTGGGCACGTCGCTCATCATCGCCAGCGAGCTGCTGCTGCTCTGCGCGCCAACGCGTCGAGCCGGCATCGTACTCCAGGGCCGGATCGTGGACGCGCGCAAGAACTGGGAGCTGCACTCACTGCGGTCGCTGGTCGAGGTGGCCGGCACGTTCGGCGCCACGACGCTGTACTACAGCTCCACCAAGGATACGCTGCTCTCTCTGCAGCTCGGCACATTCTGCGGCGTCCTGCTGATTCTCAGCAGCGAACTGCTGGCGTCGGCTAGCAGGCCGCGGTTCGTGAGCCCGCTGAGCCCGCAGGCAGCAGTGGAGATGCCTGCAGACCACTGGGTCAAGCTCATTCCGGTGGTCGTGATGATGCTATACTTTTGCTCTCAAGTGTACGCGGCAATTGTCCGCGCTGCAAGTGTGCCCTCGAGTTCCTTGGCGTTGATGCTGTGCTTCATCATGGTGGCTGCTATCACGCTCACTGGACTCGCGCTCTCAGGCAGAAGACCTTCGTTGATGGAGCTTGGGCGGTTTGGACGACGCCTGGCAGCCAAGATTTGCGTGGCGGGGATCACACTCATTGCACCAAAGGTTTCTCATGGACTGCCAGGTGTCGTGTTTTCGTGTGGATTGTCGGCCTTTTGTATCGCGTTTTCGCGCGAGTGCTGGGATGATATTGAGGTGAACGAAGGAGGCGAGCTCAAGGAAATTGCGTGTGCTGTGCCCGATCCGTCACATACAACTGAGGCCTGTTCGAAGTCGAAAGATGACGATAATTGCCTACGGGTGGGCAGTGCTACGCAGCCCTGGTCTTCTCGTGCGCTACATTTCGTCCAAGAGCGATACCCACACTTTTACAAGAGGGTGAGGTGGACGTTCGTCGGCATTATGATTGTGTCAACTCTCGACATGTGCTCGACGTTCTTCACGGCGATCAATCAGGATAAGTTGGCGCTGTCCCTATCTCAGTATTCCGCTATCAACGTCGTGATTTCGGCGTCTGTCGGGTACCTAACAAGCCCAGCGCCGTACGAAGTCCACCCTGCGGTTGTCCTCCAAACAGGCGCTAAGCAGTTCAAGAACAAGTGGGTCGTCTTCCCACTCCACATGTTCGTCGAGACGCTGGTCTTTGCCGGAGTTTTTGTTGGCACCTTTGCCGCATCATCGACGGTATTCAGCTCTCTTACGCTCGCAGCGCTCTCGGGAATTGTGGTGTCAGTCGGTGGTCACTGGGTGTGCTCGCGACTGCATCTTACGGTCGGTACTCACATGCGCATGCAGCTGACGGCGACGTGTGCACTTCTTTTCTGCTTATTCCTGATCACCTATGCTTCGATGGTGTCGTTGCTCTCCATTTATCATTACTTTGATAGTATCGAGGCGGCATTTTGCCTAGCATCGTTCGCTGGTATCTTTTTTCTCGCGGCGAGCGAGCTGTTTTTAATGTGGGAGCCAACACGCGAAGTCGGACTTCTGTTGCAACGCCGAGTTACGAACGCCAAAGAGAACTGGCAGTTGGAGCCATTGCGCTCCTTCCTGGAGCTTTTCACCTGGTTTGCAGTTATCTGTGGGTCGTTTGCGATGTACGACGATCTTGTGTTGGCTCTTCAGCTGGGCACGTTTTCTGGAATCGCAGTCACGCTATCCGGCGAGTATTTCCGAAAGAACCGATCCAAGCTAATTCCGTGGGGGAGAGGTCTGCTCACGGATGGTGATGTAGTTGTTGCGCCGATATCTCCCATCGGAACTCCTTGTGACGATGTTGCGGAGCCGAATCGTGCTCGCCCGCTTCCTGTGATGCTCTTGTTCGCGTACATTGGCTCGGGTACATTTCAGTGGATTTTTGAAAACATGCGCAGTCTTGAAGTCACAGTGCTACTTGCCACCATCGCCGGGATCGCGTTCTTGTGCTTCGCTGACATACTGGTGCTGTTTAAGCCGACACGATGGGCGGGTGTGATTTTGCAGGACCGCTTCATCAACGTGAAACACAACTGGGATACGTACCCAGTACGGTCTTTTGTGGAGTTTGGGTGCTTTATGGGTGTCATCTACGGAAGTTATGCAATCTACCATGACCTCATCGTCGCAGTCCAAGTGGGCACGCTGTCAGGAATGCTGGTGACACTCGGTGGTGAACAAGTGCGGAGCTGTGCGCGGGCGCTGCCTCTGAATGGTAAGGATGCTACTAGTATTTCATTGAGTGATCTATTGTGTTTTCAATCTAACTGGCTTTCTTACTATTTGCTCTCGTCACGCAGAAGCAGCGAAGAAAGAGGTGGAAAACACACAGATTCTCCCACTCCCAGTAATGGGCTTGCTCGGGCTTGTGGGAGCTGTGGCGTTTAACATCATTTACACGCACCTTCGCAGCATCGAGGTGGCGTTTGTCCTCGCCACTATGAGCGGCGTCATTTTTGCTCTTGTGGGAGACATGTTCGTCATCTGGAAGCCGACACGCAAGGTTGGGATGATTATTCAGGAACGTATATTGTACTTTAAGGTGAACTTCTCCAGCCACTCGCGCCGGTCATGGATGGAGGTGATCTCGCTTTGTGGTGGTTGGTATCTTTCCTACGACTTTTTGTGGCCTGGAGATCTCCTTGTCGCCGTCCAATTTGGCACTACTGCTGGAATCGTGGCATGCGTTTGTGGAGAGCTTACAATGGAGTACGTCGCTGAAGCTGAGCGTCGCTTGGTAGCCAGTGTCTCGGCCAGACTATCACAAGAGTAAGTTTGCCTATGCCTATCTAGGGTGGCCGATGATATTCACTGACAATGCTACTTGTTGCTGCAGCTCGCAGAGGGACAGTACTTTTCTCAATTTGCCGTACGAAGTTCAGTTCGAAGTGGCTCACTTCTTGACAGCGGAAGATCTTTTGGTGGCGCGGGCTACATGCCACAAGGTCAACAACATGCTGAAAGCGGAGTCTGCTCGATTTTGGTTGCACGCAAGTCTGAGGCGAACACATCGAGACCACTCTACCCAAGAGCGCTCTCGAGTTCACAGCATCAGCCATCGGATGGGAAACCATGCCCGATCGCTCGTGTTTGAAGCTATCACGCTTGTGCTGCCCAAAATCGTAGGAGCCAGGTAAGCTTGGTGAGAATACTGTGCTAGCTTTGCGGTTTTACTGACTTCAACGTGTGTTCCTGCTGCTGCAGAGACCCGGCCCAGGTGCTCACATCAAGCAACGAAGTCAATCGTGCTTTGAAGTGGGTGTACCTGAACGCTGATTGGATTCGGAAACAGAGCCTCCCGCCGTTGGCAAAAGAAGGCGATGGCCAAGATCGCGCCGTAATTTCGTGAGTACCCCGTTAAGCTGCTACTCATCTTCGAGATGTTCAACTGGCTTATGTTTGCCTGTGCGTTGTTGTGAGCAGACTAACCGCCGGTGACGTTGCGTTCGATGTATTCCGTCACATGCCGGACAAGGTATCAACGTTGTCGAGTCCTACTGCCCCTCTTAAAACTCGGTCTAACTTGCCACTCACCTCTGTATATTTATGCCTAGACCTCGTTGGGTATCATTGTAACTCGCAACGAAGACTTCGCTATTGAACGCGTAGACGTCCCCAGGGGGATTTACGACACGATCCAGCGGGACCCTTTCAGCTTTGTGGCTGCCGAAACGCTTTCAACCTTGGCGGTGTTCTCACATTGGCACCTGACGCTGGTGGCATTCGCTACGATGACGCTCATTTTCATCGGCCAGTTCTCCAGCGATGTTCTTAGAGCGTACGTGTTACCGGAGTCGTTCACGTGGTGGGGCGTTCGATAAATCTGTACTTGACCAAGCCTACACCGCGACACATTCAATTTAAATGGTGAAGATTAATATTTACTTATTGCTAACCTTCTTCGGCTCTGACTTTGCTTGGTAATAGTGATATCAAACTCCAGACGACGGCGTACCTCACTCTGATTCTGTGTCTTCGTCCTTGATTTCGATATACTCAGGCTCCTGCTTGGCATGCTTGCGCATCAGGACGACTGGTTCATTCTTGATAGACACAGGCTCCTGCTTCACGGGCCCCACTGCGTTCTGCTGTGGCTTGCATATCGGGATGACATGTGCGTTCTCTTCACTCTTCTCTTCAGTGTCACTGTCGTATCCGCTGCTACGCTCGTCGTCAGAGGAATCATCGATCACAATTACTTCGGGAGTATCCGGCTTCTGTCGAGCAATCCTCGACGCTCGTGTAGTAGATGGTGAACCCTGCTGTGGAGATACTGAAGGCCTCTTGGAAGCTGCAGCTGCTGGCCGAGGTGGCAGATTAAGCAACGTCGACACGGTAGTAATCTCTCCAGAATCCGAAATCGTGTGCACTCCTTGGCGGATGATGGTCTCGCTTTCGTCTCGGACGGAAAACCGCACCTCGCCATCCTTCCCGACGACATCATCTCTGAGTACTCGCAAACTATTCAGAATGTAATTCATCTTCAGCTGCTGGAAACTGTTCTTATCGGCGCTTGATGCTTCTTGAACCTCCTCTCGTGTCGGTTGATGTGGCGAGCTTTAGCTGTTCTCAGTTGAATGTTCGCTCTTGAAAGTTGCTGGTTTGTGGAGCTTAGTTGGCACTCCACTGTTCCTCGCATCCACAGTTGCTCTACCACCACGGAGCGCTTTGCCCCCATGCGGTGAGCTCGGCTGATGACTTGCATCTCCACCGATTTATCCCAAATCTCCTCCAGCAAGAAGATGTGTGTGACAAGGACAGATCCAAGCCATGCGAACCCATGTTCGACAGCAGTAGCACATGCACATTTGGGTTCGAGCGGAACGCCTCCAGGCTCCTAATGCGCTCACGAGGGTTGATGAGCGCGATGAAGTCAGCAGTGGGGATGTCTTGCTGCTGGAATGCGACCTTGGCGCGCCATATACTTTCTCGAAACTGTGAAAAGATTATGACTTTCAGGTCACGGTCTCGTTCACGGGCAAATTTTTGGTTAGCTCGCGAATTCGGGCCGCCATGTAAGAAATCTTGCTGGAGTCGATCTTCCAATAGTCCCGTTTGTAGTTCCCAGCCCTCTTCTTTGCGGCAGGTGCCGCTCGCTTCCGCTTCTTGATGGTGATGACTCTCGGCTTCTTCCTTCGAGCGGGCTTGTCGTTGTCTTCTAACGCTTCGGAGCGAATTCCTGGCTGAAGATCTCTAAATCCTTCTCTCGAAAAGGATTCATGGCACAGAGGATAGCTTGGGCCGGCCTGTTGATTCCACTGCTCGACACAGTCGGGGCAGCTCAAATGGCCGCACGTCAGGACCAGTAGCAAGTGCAACTTGCGGTAACAGCCTACGCATTCCGTCGCTGGTTTTGGCTTGAGAGTGTCCACATAAGCGGCCACACCTGCAAGCTTGGCCTCGCTCACTCCATACTCTCGCAATTTCCTCAGCGTGGACTGTCGGCCACGCTCCGTCACCTCTCCAGTTAAGGTAGGCTGCAAGTAGCTACACTCGTCCTCGTCGTAGGGTTCATCGCAGAAGTTGCACTGGCACTCACCGATCTCCTTCTTAAGGTCGTCGACGCAATACCCACAGCACAAATGCCCACACGGCAGCACCATCAAAACACGGCGCTCAGACCCGCAGTCCCCACATCTTGTTTTCTTGCATTGCAGGACGTCCTTCACGTACACATCGGCCGTGGACAAATACTCCACTACTGCAGACATACGGGACTCGCTTATTCCACATTTGTGCAGCTTTTCCAGAGTTCGCATTTTGTGCTTCGATTTCATGGTCCAATTCACAGCATACCCACCCATGAAAGCGAACGCTAGCGCAGTTTCAATGTGCCCAGCGTCTTTGTGGTTTTTCCGATTCATTAGACTCTTTGAGTGTAGGCTGCTCGAGGCGTCAGCTTTGTCAGTTTTGCCAGCTTTGACAGCTTTGGCAGCTTTGACAGGCACGTCAATGGCAGTCACGCTCGAACACGCTCGGCAATGGCATTGTAGAGCTTGAGCTCGCTCGGTATCGGGTCGACAACTACTGTGTGTCGAATCGGACGCGGAAGTTTATCGCGAATTGAGTCTTTCGTGTGTCGTATCATGATCCGACTGTCAAATGCTGAAGGCGATGGAAGCCCACGGGCTCGTTTCCCTCAAATGGCCGAACAATCGCCTTTGCCCACGCGAATCCGTCCGGTCGCCCAATGTACTGAAGGTCTGCAGACTGGAGGGTATTGGGCGAGGGTGTGCCAGTCATCACCCAGCGTCTCTCGGCGCACAGCAACCGAGACATCTGCATAAGCTGAGTGGGGGCTCGACCGCCAAGTTTGTGCCCTTCATCTACGACGACACGCAGCCAGTGAATGGACAGTAGAGACGACACTTCACCGCGGACACTCCCATCCAGATAGCGATCTGGCTGGTCCTCAAAATCAAATCGCGGTGCACGCCGGGCTTCCAAAGCAGAAGGAGGTCGGTGAAGCTTCCATTCCTTGGCCATCCGGGTAAACGAAACGATCACCACGTCATACCTAGCCAACCTGTTACTCTCCGGCAATGATCCTGCAACCGCTTTGTCCACGTAAGTTCTTAGTCCTTGGTTCACAATGTGAGCCTCGATCTGTTCCTCCCAGTGATCGACCAGCGCATCCGATACAACTATAAGACACGCTGATGAGCTCACCATGCTGTCAGCCTGAAGTGCTGGACCGCGTGAGGACGATCGAAGCTGAATGCTAGCTGTGTTGACGTCAGCGCATCGACTCGGACTGGCATCTCGCTTGTAGATTGGCCCTTAGTCAGCAAAATAAGTGCCAACATCGTGATTGTTTTGCCGAGGCCAGGTTCATCGCACAGCATGCCTCCACATACATCACGCGCGGTGTCGCCGAACTCGGACTCGAGCAAGCGATCGCTGGCGTGACGAAGCCTCCCAGGAACCGAAAACGGATGTCGTAAAGTGGTTTCCCACAGTGCCGCCTCCTCTCGTTTCATCATCCAGCTTAGACCTCGTCTCTGGTGTTCGTACAGCTTGAGGTCCAAGCCGGGGATGTCTGGACTCCACATCTCTGACTGCGCCGCAATTGGCGTCATCAAACTGTCAAAAACGCCGCGAAGGTTGAGCTTCCTGCTTGGTGCAGGCTCCATTATCGTTCGGTCACCAGGATACCCCACATTATTTTCTTCAATGCCTGGCGTCGGTGACGACGCATCCCTGGTAGGTTCTTGAATCTCCGGCGTCGACCTCACACCCCTTTCTGATGAATATGAGCTCGGTGGCGCCCTCGTGACACGTGATGCATGAGCGGAAGACGGAACGGAGCTCGGACTCGGAGCGAAAACCGGTAGTCCATCGTGTACACGTTCGCCTCGCCCTTCAGTTGCGAATATAGTATCAGTATCGGAATGTCCACTGGAACACAACCGGTGTCGGAGTTAAACTGACGCGCTCTGGTGTCATCACCTGCGTCCTTGGCGGCTTCCACTTATGCAGATTGCACCCTACTACGTGACACCGGCTGCGCACTACAGCAGCAACCTTATTTTGCTCTGTTTCATCTGCCCGTGCGGCATCCTCCAGCTGCAAATGACATTGAACAAAGCTGAATTCCTCGATAGCGGCAGCTCGAATGTCATTTACGCCTTCAATCTGGAGCCGAAGTCTGGCGAAGTCGCTATCCCCCACGTACGCTCCGTTGATATGCAGCGCCCTCCGACGCTTCAGAATCACCAAGCCACGTAGAAAACTCGCAAACTTGCAGCGAGGACAACCTTCGTCCAAGTTGACGCACTCCAGCTCTTTCGCGACCCCGGAGCGCTCCCAGAACACCAACTGCACATACAGAGAAGCGGAAAGGTCGAGCGCCACAGGGACACTACCTGATACGTCACCCACGTCGTCGAAGCGAGGCACCACCAGCTCCAGCACGCGTGGCGCAGATGGCTCTGCCTTGACACAGGCCATTTTTTTACTACAATAAATTGAGCTTTAAACAAGAGATCCACCAATCATGTGCGTCAGTCCACCTCAATTTGATTTTTTCAAAAAAGTAAATTTGTCAAATTGAAAACTAGACGCCCAGGCGTTCAAATAAAATAGAACGCCTAGTAGGCGGTCTATTCGAATACAACGTCTAGGCGTTCTAATAGTGTGAAAAACTACCATTGCTACGCGTGGGCTGCGAGAGGTTTTATTGCAGAAAGGAGGTAGCAGTCACAAGCGGTTCACCGTAACCTTCTCCACCACTGCCGAAGGCAAGTTCCTCAAGCCGCACGTATTATTTTCAAAGCTGAAAAAGAAACCTAAACTGGGTGATTTGGAGAAGAAGATTGTGGTGGGCTTGAACCCAACTGGAATGTGGAACGACAGCATTCTGCTCGAGCATGCTGAAGCGGTGATCTGTAGCCGCCCACAGACGCGGTTTTACCGACGTCCTGTGCTCTATATTATCGACTCGTACGGGTGCCATGTCGGTATTGGATAATGCACCCCGAAAACGCCCCAAATCCCAAAGTTTTTCCCAAATGATTTAAGACCATGGGAACGTTTTGGTACATATTTAGGACAGACTAACCTTCAGTATGAAAGAGCAGCACAGGGCGGACACTCGCGCGTTGGCTCTCGTCTGCGGACTTAGCGACGGGTCTGCGGGGGGCCCGCCCCTCTCTCGCTTCGCTCGGGGGGCGCCGCTGCGCGGCCTGCCCCACCCCCTTGTCCCTTACGCTAAGTTCCTCGTCTCGGCCAGGCGCGGTGTCTAGAAAAAAAAAATCGGGTTGCAGCGCTCGCGTTCGCTCGCTCGCACAGACACGCCCCCGCCTAATCGGCGGGTGTTGGCGATTAGTGAATGCATCGAGTGAGGCTCGCGCTCGCGTCCACTCGCCCTCGCCCATAGACTATAGACCATAATCAGTCAACTCCGTTTTGGTACATATTTGGGATAGTTTTACGAGAAAGCAGTCATATACTTGGCCCCAAATATGTACCTAAATGTTTTGGAGACAATTCATTATTTGGGACATTTGGGGCGATTTGGGCACATATTTGGGATGCATTATCAGCTTCCGCCATGTCAACATGTTCAACCAAAACCTTTTGCAACGGTACAACATTTTTGCCTCGATTGGGTTAACACTCAAGATGCTGACACAATAAGTAAGGCGTTTCGTGTTTGCGGACTCACGGTCCACCGGACATTCGACATGGAAGGACTGCACCCTTCCCTGCGCGACCTACTCAACTCGAGCATTCAGCTGGACGAATGGTATCAGAAGTACGAGAATCTTCGCGATGAAGACGATGGTGATGACCGCGAGGAAATATGCATCAACCCCCCTCACTGGTACATTCCTAGCGACATCCCCGCAAGTCTGTTCTTGTGTCTCTACTTCAGTCTGGCCAGTGCTGTTTACGATTACAAGACCGTGCTGACCGAGTTCATGACGACGTTGGAAGACCTCGCAGGACTTCTCGATGACGACTACCTTGACGCAATCAGAGATGGTAGGCAAGCGATTTGGGAGCTGGAACTGTTTGCAGCCTTAAGGTTCCATAGCTGCAATATCGATCTCAAGACCCTCAACTACAACTGCAGGGTAATCTCGACGTGTACCTACACCGTTCCTGACGCTGCACGAACTATCAACATGGCCAGGATCGGACTAATGTGTGTGTTAAAAGTAGATGGAATGCAGGTATCGCTCTGAACTATCCGTATTCAATCCAAAAGCGATGATAAATGAGCCAAAAACGATGATGAACGATCCAAAACTGATGATACATGAAATGGTTTGGTGGAATGGATTTCTTCCGTGATTTATTTTGTAAAATGATTTGTGTCAGTTGGCTGATGCTTGGGGTCAGGGCGTTTGCATTCTTCAGAGAAATATCTGGGCACTTGATCCATGTTTATGATGTTGCTGGGCTCGATTTTGTGTTCTTGGATCAGTTCTTGTGCTTTCTGAATGAATTCAAGGCACTGAGCCTTTGCATCGTCAGGCAGCGTTCGCGTGGTCGTTTGTCGTCTCGATACGAGGATGTACCGATTTTTAAAGTTTTCTAGCCAGCCGGATGATGCTTTGAAATCTTGGTACTGGTTGCCGGCGGCCAATTCATCACACAAGGTGCGACTGATGTTGCGAGCTTGGAGTTGGATGTATTTATCCTCTACGCGCAGCCCCTTCTTTGTTTCTGGCCTCCACCCACGCGAACAACTCTTTTTCGAGGTCCTGGAACTGCGGTTTCCGCCCTGCCCCCGGGAATCGACGCATCGTTCGTTTCTTGAGCTGTCGGTCCTTCGCAGCCTCTTTCGGTTTTGCCTCTTGCTTGTGCCAGTCTCGGATGATAAAAGCGTAGTCACTGAGAACTGTGCGCTTTAATGCAAGTGTGTAGCTACCTAGCACGCTTCGTGTCGGCTGACATGCTGGTTGGGCTGAGTGTGCTGTCGGAGTCGGTTTTTAAAGTGGAAAGCGTGTGGCACGTCTTGGACGTCTAGCAAGCGAGTCAGCCAGCACGAATGGTTGGCATACGGCGTCTGCCAAGTACGCAAGAGTTGCTGTAAAGGCGGACATAATGAAACGAGTGAGGAGTAGCATGTGGTCAAGTGGGCGTTCTATTTATCTATGTGTTTAAATCGAGGGAAAATAAAATTTGATTTTGTTGCTCTACCTTGAAATTAACGCCTAGGCGTCTGGTACGGGGTAAGACGGTAGGGCTCCGCGAAGGCTGGGATAGGAGAATTTGGTATAACCCCTTCCTTTTATTTTTTTATTATTAGCTACGGTCATCTTCTGCGCCTGCTTCGCAGCCGGAGCATCTGCCCGGAAATTTGCCAGTTCAAACTGCCTACCGGCAATACTTTACAAAATTGAGCAAGCCTTGGTTGATATCTGTTTAGAGCTTGTAGAAATATCCAAATGCTTACCTTTAGTTCGCAGTTCGTAAGAACTGTCGCTACTACCTGTTTGATGTCAGATACCGGTATCGCCAGAATTAATGACTTGACTTTTGTATTGAAATCTAATATCTTGAGTTTTGTATGCATTCGAATGACTTACTGTTGTATTGGGCCGATTTATCTGAGCAGTTGTATGCGGATTAACTAGTGTTGGACACATAATTCAGGGGAGTCCCCTGAGGGGACAAAGAGTAAAGGTATAGGCCATGATGTTCCTGATCCGAGCGGGGCCGGCTCGCTTAATGTCATTTTAGAATTTGCTGAACAGGAGAACGGACATGAACTGGATGCTCGCATAAGGGCAAGAAGGAGCAGCAACCTCCGCTTGAGTCTTCAGGTACCCCCCCATTACTCATGACCAGGGCTTCATCACTGACGATTTGGATGGTATCGATGATCTTGATCCACCTACAAATGTGAATGGGGCAAAGAGCAACTGATCCTGATACTTCGTATACCCAGTATCAATATGATGTCAATACAATGATACGTGTATTTGATATAGACCAGTACCTACTTCTCTTCAAGTTCGCGCGGGTCATCACAAAGACTGACTCTCCTTCTCCAACTGCTTATACTCCGACCAATTCGCCTTCATCAAACACAGGCGCTCAGCTCGGTCATCGTCCAGGGAGCTACGAATATCGCTTACAACGCAGCCACTCAGGCTAAAAAAGCGCTCTTGTGCAGCAGTTGAGAGTGGTTTGCAGAGGTAAATTCTTGCCAGGACTGCGATACCAGGGAAGGCTTGGTTGCCGTGGTCTCGAAGCACGTTCACTTCACGATATAATTGTAGCAAGTTGTACTTGCCTGCCGCTGAAGTCGCCGTTGGCCACTTGACATTAAGGGTTTTCCATTGATTCCACGAATTCGCGTCAGTGTGAATGTCGACAAAGTCAGATCGTTCAGAAGGGACGTCCACCTCTAGAAGAGAGCTCAACGCGTCGCGGACAGCGCAGCCTCCATTGCTTGGCGTCTCGCTCGGCGTCGAGCTGCTCTCCTCGCACTCCTCCTCGACATCCTTGTGCGAAAACAACTTCATGTACACCATATCGTGCTCCAGTCGCAGCTCCTGCTCTGCTTGGGCAAGAGTGGCAGGATCATTTACAATGAAGCCCGCTTTCGCTTTGATACGTGGATCGAATAGCAATGCTTTGATGTCGTTGAGATTTTCGACCGGAAAACGGAGTGCAAGCTGCTCACGGAGTCGATCGCGACAACGGACCCCTCCCCGTGAAAAGTGACAGGCTTGTTTAGTTTCGCGACGCTGTGTAAACTCTGTTGCTTTTGCATCTGGACGGTGGATCACCAAGCAGCTCAACACCTCTGAATCAACCGCTAGGCACAGCATTTTACGGAACAACAGTGCAATACGAGCTTGCAACACTCTCCTTCTGAACTTCACCGAGGCTAAACTGTGCAAGCTGGTCCGTGACAGCTTCCATCTCAATTATCAGTTTCCAGTCGTCCATAGTAATGCTCGTCCAGACATCCCGGTCGCTAGCTGGTGCAGATTCGAAATATTGCGTGAAGGCGTAGTGGTTGAAAACACTTCTGCGCATCAGAGTGACAGCATAACCGACTCGCGTATTCACATCCACCTGAATATTGACGGGGGGGGGGGGGGCAGATTGTAGAACTCCTTTATCTGCTTCAGCTTCAATTGTCGGAGAGGTGAGTTGAAGTAGGTGGCTAGATTACGCAGCTTCTCAATGACATGCAGGCCTTCGCGGAACTCGCCACCGGGGGTAACAACAAGCTGGCCGTCGTTCCTGGTGTTCTCTTTGAGGCCAAGGGCATACAGCAGACACTGGCTAAGTAAATGCATCAGACAATCCACTTGGTCTGTGTTGGTAGAGTGGTCACACACATTCCTTGCGCTACCGGTGGTGTCGCTCACAGTAAAGCGCGCGTACTGGTCGATGTCAAGTTGATAACGAGATGCGATCTTGGCCTTTATAAGCTGCGACACCGTCTCTGCTTGCGTGGCCAAACCGATTTGGCGACGCCAGCAACGATATCTTAACTAGACGCCACTTCGAATCGATGAAAAAAGCGGTGACACCGATGACATTCACGTTCGCAGCGTTAGTCCACAGGTCATGTAGAACCGCTACGAAAGGCTGATGTAGAGCGTTGGCGAACTCAGCCTCCAGGAAATCCGACACCCATCTCGTGAAGATCATGAATTCGGCGTCCGCGAAAGAATAGAACGTATCTCTAGCAGGAACAATAAGCCGCGGCTGATTCGATAGACGTCGAAGCATGATCAACAGCTCGGTTGACGAAAGTAACCACCGCGTAGCCAAAAATCCTCACTTCATCAGCATTGACTGCCATCGCCTCCACAATTGTGCGCTGTTTCTTAACCTTCGGTTCAGTTTGCTGCTCGGCCGACGTGCCCACATCGTAGGCGACTATCCTGTTCGAGACGGCACCGAGTTTAGCTTGAATTGCTTCTACACTGAACGGGTGCTCGTCGTGGGCACCAACCATGTACTTCTTTGCGTTCGAAGACGTACTCTGTCGCATTAGATACGACCTCCACGATGTTGACGTTGGGTCGGTGCTCTTGTTCTTCTCGCAGCATACTAGACAGATGTGCGTGTATGGGAAGAACACTGATCCTGCGCCTAAAGTTAGATGGTATCGGTTGATCCAGTAGCTGATACCAAGCACATGGTGGTTTCTTGTGAACGAATAACTATTTTGGTCATGGTGCCTTCGCAACGCATAGCTCACTTTGCAACAGCTCTTCGACTTGCAGCCAGCGACCCTACCGCGCCGGGATGGCAAGCAGCACACACCACAAAGCCTCAGGGTTCTCTAGCAAACACTCTGGTGTCCAGCGACGAGGACTCGGTTGGCGAGTACGGGATTCCTCGCTCTGTAGTGCATGCCAGCCAGAACATGTTCACTGCCGTATGGAACTTCATCCACAAGCTAGCAGAGCCGATTCCATGCTCTTCCGACCCTCGTTGGATCCCACGCCGAAGGCAATATCACCTGATATTGATACGGATATTCCATTGCTCAGTATCAACGTATCAATGTATATCACACGATGCTATTAAGCCCTGCTCATGACATGGAAACTTGGCCTGAACTTAATTTTTCACTGGTTGTACTGTAGAATGCGACGCGTTGGACGTGCTGGTGCTCTAGGGGGTGATTCGATGCCGAAAGTAGCTAGAAAAGGCCCACTCAGGCCACAAATACGTGCAGCACGAATGTGTTCGTCTACAATTGCTGCGGTATCGGCAACTTCACTAATATTGTCTGATCTTAATGCTAGTCAGGACCAGGGGTTCATATCAAGGCTGATACCTGTAATAAATATCGATACTGTATGGCCGGATACTTGTATCAATATCACCTGATATTGGTGATGGTGCTGTATCGAGATCCAATGATACTTCGGCATATAAATATCGATATCCTGCGATCTAGTGTAGATTTCACCAACCAGGTTATTTCCATGTGCGCTACCGCACATAGATATAGCCACTTCTCCCAACAAGCCCACGGCAAGTACAAGTCTACTACTACCATCTCGGTTCGGTTGCGTGCGCGCTCTCTAGAGAATGGCCGACGAGGATACGTCGCCCTGTGATCGTGGCCGTAGAGATAAAGAAGACGAAGTTGGAGTCAAGTTGGTATTCCACTATCTGTGCGTCACTCAAACCAGAACATGTTTGTTCTTGTCTGGGAGTTCATCCATGTACTTGCTACTCCGATTCCTGACACAAAGAAGAAAAGCAGCTCGTTCACCCACATCTGTCTCGTGTGCGCAGCACACAAAAAAAAGCACGGACCCGACCTCTTCTGGACGGAGACCATGCTTAATGCTACTGCTAACCCCAGGAAGCACATGCTCAGAGCTCACAAGAATCATCCCTTTTCGGTTGAAAATAAGCTTGAGAATGTGTCTCGCCCAACCACTATCTACCGTGTGTCAAGAGCGATGTTTCAGTCTTAGTGACTATGTGGAGAACGAGTTGCGAACCCACCTTGATAACGACCGGGCGGAGACGATGTGCTTGATGAAGGCTAATTGGTCCGAGTACAATGAAGTGCTGCAAAAGAATAGGAGACGGCGACATTAGCCAAATTACTGCAGGTACCATTTTTATCAATATATTCATCGTTATATATTGATGTGATATTGATATTAGTATCAGTATCGCTGATATCAGCTCCGTCAGAAGGCCGAGATACCCGATACCAGCTAAACTCGCGCTGGTATGAGCCCCTGGTCAGGACATGATCGAGGCGTTCGTTGCTGGAATAGTTCACGACTCTGTATCACGATCTCAAGGACGACTCGAAAGGACAAAGTTTAGTTGGAAGGGTCTACCAGCACGTGTGTAAAGGCGTCCGACTGAGAGAAAGTCTACTCGCTGCGAACCCGGATCCTGTGCAGGCGCGTCTTGTGACCGAACCCGAAGAACGCACTGAGCGTTAAAGTAAGCTGAGAGGAGATGTGCGACTGGTGCGCCGCAAGTGAGGCGCGCCCAAGTCGCTTGTGAGTTTTTTCATTTGGAAATAAATATATCTAGTTGCCCTGCAGGGTTGTTGGTGTGATAATCATTTAGCTAAATCTCGACTACTACAATTAATTGCGCATTGAACAGCTCGATGTAAACTTAAGGGTTACTAAAAAAATAGTCTGTCGATGTGTTTGAAAAAGTTTGGCCTTATGGATCGAGAGCTATACTACATTCATAAAGTGTCTTTGCGGTCGCACTTTCGATCTTGTAGCTACTACGTTTGTGCTTCTCTTTCTTTTATTATTTATAATTAGCTTATCTGTATAATATGCCCCCAAAAGAGCCGCCTAACCTATTAAGTCGAAACATGCCGGAGCGCTATTGTGGCGTCCAGCCTCGACACGATGACCTGATAAGCCTACTGTGAGGACACCATACTCCCACAAACGTTCTAATCAAAAGTGTGCGACCAGTGCCTCAGATAAATTCAGCATGAGGTACAATCGATAACGCAAGACTGATGTATGTCTACGCGTCATAACCGAGAGATGGACAAGTGCTGTCGCATATTGACAGATAAGCTGGAAGTTCCGGTTTATCCGGTCGGTAACATATCTGCATCTGGTCGAGTTAAATTTCTGTCATGCATTATTGTCACAAGCATTTTTACCCAGCGAAGAGCTGACGAAACACCCAGGTGGAATACTTCAGAAGTATTCCACCTGGGTGTGCTTAGCGACAAGTAGAGCTTAAAAGTTTATACACAGGGAACTTGCAACGGTCATTTCTTGTTTTAGATTCGCGTCTTGATGATCAAGGCCTTTGATCGTATTTCACTCGAACAGGGTTTTAGAAAATGCTTACGTCTTCACAGTCTTTTGTGAGGAGAGCGTGCTAACGATAATTTTAAGTTTGGAAAAAGTATTAATACAATTAACCTTTCTTAAGCTCCTGCCTAGTGAGTTCTGTCTTGCAAGGATACGTACATATAGTCGCTTACTGCGGCTAGCACTCAAAACACCACAGCTAGGATAGACGCAACTAATACACCACAATTAACCTTTCTTACGAACTGCGACCCTCCTTCCCGGGACCCACGGGCTTGACCCGGGGCCCGGGTAACCAGTCTTTACTTCATTTCGTTCATACGTACCCACACATACATATATGCTGATTCATACCAGTGTTGTCGGTAGTGCAACGGTTCAGTCTGCCCACGCATATAAACCTTTTGGAGGGCCAGTGCGGCACCGGAGTCGTACCGGTTTCAAGAAAATATACCAGTTAGATGTCAAGAGGGGTCATCGTTTGACTTGACGTACCGCGGATGTAATCCTATTTGGTCTGCGATAGCAGCACTAACGTTACTTCCTATCCCAGTAAACTACATTATCATAACCGGGCCCGGACGCGGTCTTCGTCGTGGGGACGTATAACCGATGTTATTGCCCTAGCTACAGGTATTGTGCCTTTCACTTATTGTTCCTTTCACTTATTCTGCCATGACAATTCTGGCATAACTCTAATCCCTTATCGACCTTAATTATGCCCCGAATTAGCTAATTCCCATGTTAATTCCGGGTCGCCCATTCGTGGCCGAATTAGGAGCGGCGATGGTGAGGCCGAGTTAAGGCAGAATAAGCTAATCCAGCCTGCGTTAGGCGGAAACAGTGCGATTGGCGGTTTCCTACCCACCAATCCATGCCATTCTGCTCGTATCTCCGTCGATTGGCTCGCAAAGGCTGATCGGGGGTGTTAGAGGAAGCACTCACAATCTTAGGCTCTAAATAAGCGTTTCTCGCCTGCTTATGGATCTACAGACAATGAGTGGTTATCTCCTTAGAACTAGGGGTCGCTGTACTTGGCTGCACTATGATACGAGGACGTCGTCCCTGGCGGCTGATCAGCCGTCGCTGATAGGAAATGTGTTTTTAGCAATTTAATATAGTCGATATTTCACGTCGAGCTACAAGCGTGCAATGGAGCCACCCTGCCTGCAAGTGGAGCTCGAAGAGAGCGCAAACACTTGATCGTTGTCGCTAGGCGCGTACGCGCCAGAGCAGCGAGAGTTCAAATCATGGTGTGATCGGAAAGGTTTCCATGAAACGACTCGCTACCAAGTTACCGCATCAAAGCTACATCTATTCCTCCAAGACGAAGTAGTCGATCGTGAAGTTCGTGTGAAAAACGCAACGCGTAAGATTGGCATTGCCACTGTGGAGATGTATGTGAACGTGGTTTCGGACCTGTACAACGATCAGCACAGCCGTGGTGCAAACGCACATCCTCACCCTCGCAACAGCCTCATCAAATCTCTCCTGTCTACACTCAAGCGTGCAAAACAGCGCGAATACGTCGATAGGGGTGCGGGGTCTCTACTAAATGGGTACTGCACTACGGATGATCTGGTTGCGATTTCTCGGTATTACATGAATCTGAACACCGGATGTGACTTACGCGACCGCATGATCCACTTCTTGTGCCATGCATGCTTATTGAGGAGTGAGGCGACGCGAAATCTTGAGTTGTCCGACCTATTCAGCGTGATTCTAGAACATGAAGGCTACACGGACTGTCGCGCGCTTGTGATGATAATGGAGCAAGGCAAAACCAATCCGTTCGGTCGGCGCGAGTTCGGTTCATGTATCCACCACCGCAACGTTGACCAAAAGAACGGTACAACATCAACATACTCGAGTCAGGCAAAAGCTCCACTACTGCATTGACATACCGGGGTCATTCTGACGCTACTATGAAAGCTTTCACTGGCTTGGCATGCACTCCAAGGCCAATACGCATGCCGCTCGTGGTTCCGGGTCCAGAATGACCGAACTAGCGGGAGAAGCATAGTCACAAATACGTAGGTTAGGGCGGTGGAATGCTGGCGCCATGGGGGGATGTTACCTGACTGTGTTGCCGCGGGATGCTATGCGCTCACTTGCGGGGTTCTCGCCAGACCGACGATCTTTTTTCTTGGAGCGTGCTGCCTTCGTTCCGCCTGAAACGCTTCAGTTGGAGCTGTTTACCTTCGTAGAAAAATACGTGGAAGCGTCCATAAAGCAAAAAAAAAAACATGTTGCAACTGGTGGGTTCTTGGAGCTGTTGATTTACCTGCGCACCGTCGTTCTCCAAGATGCCGTACTTCTGCGCGATGTGCACCCCGCACACAAGTTATGACAACGCCCTTTGTTTAACTCCAGCGGTTTCAACGCATTTGCTTGAGGCATAGTGCCCCGGGCTTCCGGAAACCGGTCGACCTTGGAGATGCATTTCCCCGGAGAGTGCACCCATCCCAGGGGTATCAGATGTATCCTACACAGAAGAACCCAGGGAGCCAGCGCGGGGCGTGCGACGACGTCAGAAGAGCCGACCCCGGGAGTATCCGGACCAGCCCATAGTGGGTCCAAGTGATTAGCAGATATTAGTAGGAAACTCATAGTTAAGCACTTCCCCCAGGGCCACTGGCCCTGGGGGAGTGCGCAATTCAGTCTAACTTTTCCCCCAAAGAGCTCAAGTCACCTCAGCTTCAGGAGCTCCAAGGTACTAAGGCCGCGGTCACTGGGACCCGCGCTAGTAGACTATCCCCAGGTAAATCGATAACATCTTTGCCAGGGTTTCCCTCCAGGAAGCCCCAGGCATTTCATGGAGTGCGGTCTAGCCGGCACGGGTAAGGGCATTCCATATTCACAGGGTCTCGCCCGTGGGGTTTCGCCCGAAAAGTATTGCGGCCGTCGCCGAGGGAGTCTTGCTCCGAAAGACCTGATTGCGTGTTAATTCCGCCCCGGGAACTAGGTAGCGTCCCCGGGCGATTGATTGTATTGCTACCAAACCAGCGTACTGATAAGGTCGGGACTCCCAGGAGGTCCTCAGTGGTTGACCTCCCCTCTGATCCAAACAACCGATTCGAAGGGGGTACACAAGGTGAGGTTACTGCCCGAGTCCCAGGACCCCTTGCTTTCTCATAGCGAGTAATGGTTCGGGAACTCACGGACCTGGATAAATCCCTCGTCCGGGCGGGCCATCTATCTACTAGGAGATCCGCTCTCTCTAGTGCCCTAGATCCTTGCCCGTCGGTTGCAGTTGTCCAGGCACCGGCCGATGCTTCCACACACCCGGCTACTTCCAACATGGTGCGCGCTTTGAAGACAGTAGCGCAAGTTCGGCAAACGTGGGCGCTTGGAATCCATGGCAGGCCAGTGGTGAGGAAAAGATGTTGCAAGGTTAAATTAGTCTTGGGGTAGGAGGCTGGCAGCTCAGCCAAGGTTGATTTCCGTTTTTGCATTGCTCTCGAGAACCTCGAAGTCTCCCGACCTTTCGCGACCGCCTTCTCGGAGTAAACTATCCGTGCCTAGGAGAGGATGGTCTCAACGAACCTTTTCGCCCTGTTCAAGCCTGATGTGCTGGGCACCGCCGGGTTCGCCTACGGCAGGACGACGTCGGAGCCTCAGCAAGGCTATTTCGACGTGGAGCGGGTCGCTAGCGGCAGGTGGAGCGACCTGGGCGTTCAAGTAGCTCGACGAGAAGTGAGCGAGGTGAAGTTGCGAGAGGTGACTGAAGAGGAAGCCATGAGCGGGGTGGGTACCTATGTTGGAAGCACCTTGTGCGTAGCTCGGGTTCTGCAGGGGAAGCCGAAGGTGTGGGAATACGGCACCGTTGTTGGTTACTCGTGGAGAGCCGCGACGAAGGAGGGCGTGTTACACGTTACCTTTACTACGGAAACCTGCGACGATCCGTTCGTGATGGAGGAGCTGCACGACTTGCCGCTCGAAACCTATGCCCTACGGCCCTGTTTTCAGATAGGCGTCGCGGACGTGATGCCGGCCGAGATGAAGTCCATTCATACCGCGGTGCACGCCCATTTCAACGGTTCCGGGCAGACCGCGCGTCGAAGTTCAGCCACAATTCTACGCAAGGTGTCCATGAATCTGATTAATGAGAGTCAAGTTGTGCCTTTATTCAATCTGGCAAAGACCCGTGTCGATTACCTGGAGATTTCGCATATCCTGAATTTTGTCTTTTACCACGAAGGCAAACGGCGTGCTCCTTCAGGCCTCAGCGTGCCAAAGCCGCTATTTGGGGACGATGAGCAGGAATGCAACGTCGTCCAGGCCGGCCAAGAGGCTAGGGATAGCGCAGACACTGAGCGATTGCAGCAATTGTACGACTCGGACGATGACTTGGGCTCGGCAGAAATGGTGCGGGATCTCCCGCCGCCGAATAGCCCAAAGCGAACACGAGAACAGCGGATTGAAACTCAAGATGGGGACGGAGAATCTCGGCTTAGGGCGTTGCGGCGGAAGCTCGAGGACGATCCAGTCATGGTGCGAGACATTGACCAGCTTATATCGCTACGGCAAGCCAACTTGAGCGGCGTAAGCGCAAGCTCGTTGGTGTCACCAATGGCACCTGAAGCCAACTCGCAGTTCAAGCCAAGTCGGCATCAAGTGGTGGTTCACACAGCGATGGTAAACGGTAAGTACGCAACACTTGATGTGCAGTTGTTGTTGAGACGATGCAGTCTCAAGCAAGGCTGCTTGATTATTTGCCACACCCTGGTGTTGCCCGCGGGTTTTACGGCTGGGACTTTGGTTTTCGTGGGCTCTCCTCAATGCATTTTGGAATGGTGGATGTGGAAGAAGAGCGCGACTATCGCCGACGTAATGATTTGAACGACTTCTCTTTGAAAAACAAAATCCCGGTGGCGCTAAAGGCCACCACGATTGAAGATGTCGTCGCGGCTCTTGAGATGCTGTCGCTGTTAGTGAATGATATATACGCGCCCTTGGTAGCCGAGCTGGTGGATGCTGCCAGACGTTTCTTGCTCGCGCAGCGCAAAACAAAGACAATGTGTGGTCCTGAAGCAGTTGTGGAGCTTGTTGTATGGATCGACGATTGCTTTGAACTTTTCCGGTCCTGTCTGGCTCGAGGGAACAGCGAGGCGGCAGCGTTAGTGAAGTCGCACTTCCAGTTCAATCATGAATCCTATGCTAGGGTGGTCCAGCGAGTCACAACTTTGAAGTTGGAAGCCCTGAAGAAACCAGCGGGACGGAAACCAGTGACGCGACCGAAGTCTGAAGCTCGTCGTGCGAGTGGAAACAGCAGCGGAGGTCGCCAAGCGATACCAGTTCATCCGGCGGTAATAGCAGCCCTGCCAATTCACAGGGGCAAGAAGCTCTGCATGAGATACCTCTCTGTAGATGGATGTCCAGGTGAAGGTGACACCTGCGTACTCGACTATCGCGAGCATTTTGTACCTAACCGGCTTCCACCAATAGTCAAGAACTTCATCGCGAAGTCCTTCGGTGGGTTGCGCGTGTCGGAAGCAGCGGATGACGAGCCCAAAGCACCAGCGTGAAGGGGCCATGAAGGAGAACAGGCGGCGTCCTCCTTCAGGCCACCCGAAAAGCCTCCACCTACAATGGGCCCGGACTCATTAAGGCCCGGGGCCGACTTCGAAGATGACGAGAAGCCGCTGCTGTGCGACGGCGGGCAGGTAGAATCCCCGAGGAACGACGATCTCCGTGTTTGGGAGAGCGTCGGGCCGCTGTCCTTGAAGGACAGGCAGGTTTTGAGCGCTGAGAGCGTTGCTGAGCCGCTGCAGGGAAGCTGCAGGGAGGTAGAATTCCCCGACGCGGAGTCCCCTCGCGCTCGGGCGGATGTTGAGCCGCTGCCAGACGATGGCAGGCAGGAAGTCCGCCGTAAAGGCGTTTGTGTGCCGCTGCCCGGTGACGGCAGGCAGGTTATGCGTCATGAAGGCGCTTGTTTGCCGCTACCAAATATTGGTAGGCAGGTGGGGGGTGTCACGGAGATCAGTTGCGGTCCAGTTGAGATGCAGTCGCTACTAGACGGGGTACGAAGATCGATTGCAGGCACGCGGAACAGCCGCAGTCAAGCTGCGGCCAAATACGAGTGCTCGGCAAGCGACGAGGCTATGAATCGCTACAAGAGAGCAAACTGCAGAGCCCGCTCTCAACAACAGCGGATGACTTCACGTTAGAGTCCCCAGGTTCCTTACGAATTTACTTGGAGGGCCAACGTTATTTGCTGTCTCAACGCGCGCGAGAGAAACTCTTGTCTCTCCATCAAGGAACAGCCCAGTCTGAATTGGACGCGGTGATGAAACATTACGGCGTGCCACTTCGCAAGGCATGCCCTCCCGCTATCACATTGGGTACTCGGACGAAGTTTCAGATCGATCGTGCAAAACAATTTGCATACAGCGAGCTTATGAGGCGGTCCAAGCTCAGCCTTCCAGACATGATTCGCTTAGTCCGAGGCGAGACGTCTCATGACCCGCGACCAAACAAGGCGCTAACAGTACCAGATCATCTTCCAAACTGGAGCACCTACAAGTACAAAGCTGAGTGGCGGGAAATTGTGACTCGAGGTTCGGCCAGCATGGACCATGGATTTTCATGAGCAAGTGTCCCCACCTCCTAATCATGGTTCAGCCCGCCGAGCACTAAATGCGGTGGCCAAGAGTCTGCGCAAGGGCCAAAATGACGGTCGCTTTCTGATTCTCGACATCAGTTTGTTGCCGCAGCTCAGGGGGGTGACATGCAGCCCATTTGGTGCGGTCCCGAAAGGAGATAGGCCTTTGGAGGAAGAAGCCCGGGTCATACATGACTTGACGTGTCCGAAAGGAGCGTCGGTCAATGGTCAAGAGCAAGATCGACAGGTAATCGAGGTAAATTACGACGGTGCTGCTGTATTAGCGCGTCTAATCCTTCACGTCGACGCGGAATCGCCCGGTCTGGTTCGTATGTCGACTGGAGATGTAAATGGGACATTTCGAAACATTCCGCTGGCAGCGGAGTGCGCAGGACGATTCGCAGGGACGATCCCAGAACTGGGAATTTTGGTGATTGACTTAAGCTGCCCATTCGGCTGGACAGACTCTCCGAGACAGTACTGGGTTGCAGGAGGCGCAATTGTTCACTTGCGCAAGCATTCGAGCCCTCTTTGGCCGGGGCAGCCTCGCCAGGGTGCACTTAAGTTCGATGGTAAAGCGTGGTGCGATGACCACGTTTGTATTGAGCCCGACATTGGTTCGCGTTTGGAGGAAGCTACTATCTCTCTGCGGACGGCAATGGTTACGGTTCTGGGGCCGTACGCATGCAACAACGAGAAATTTACTCCGTGGTTCACTGAAGGCAAGGCACTCGGCCTCCAGTGGAATCTTCGGGAAATGACACTGTCCATGCCAGCAGAGAAGGTGGCCAAAACACTTCGACGCGTTGGCGAAGTGGACGACTCGGCGGTTGCATCCCGAAAACAGTTGAATAAGTTGCTGGGGAGTTTGCGGCATGTAGCTACCTGTGTGCACACGGCTGCTCCATTTTTCCAGAGGATAGCAGCGCTGGCTCGGGTAACTAGCCTTTTCCATCCTTCGGCGATTACGACCGAGGTCCGCGAAGATCTCCGGTGGTTTGCAGCAATTCTCCGCGTTGGACGTCTCAACTCGGTGCCACTGTCTTGATTTGTGGACTCACACGAGCCTGACTATCATATTTGCATGGATGCGAGCGATCATGGACTATGTACACTATGGCCAGCTCGAAAAGAATACATTCAAGTGGAATTTGACGAAGTCGAGCGTCAGCTGATCGCGCATTTCAACGAGGCATCCTCGGATGATCTCAGCATTAACATTCGCGAGCTTATGAGCGCAGTGTTCGCAGCAATTGTATGGTGTTCTCAATGATCATCAGTGGGGCCTTGCCGAGCAACACACGTTAGATTTTGGATCGACAATTCTTCAGCTGTGAGCTGGACAAACCGACGATCGAGTCGGAACCCATTTGGTCAAATACTATTGCGCCTTATTGCACTTCAGGAGGTGCAACACAATTTTTACACTTCAGCGAACCATGTACAGGGTGTTGAAAACACAATGGCGGACGTCGGCAGCAGGGTGTGGCAATTCAAGCGCTCATCGGAGTTATTTGCTGACATGACGTTTGCTTGGACACAGGTCAGAGTGCCGGAGAACTCAAGAAAACTCTCGAAGCTTTGGGAGCAATGCTCCGAGCTGGGGCTTTAGCTGACACATCGAGGGTGCAATATCGTCGGGCGTGGAATCAGTGGCGAAGATGGTGCGAGTTTATGGAGTTCACGCCTTGGCTGGATCGTGATTCTATCGACGCCAATGCTGCTCAACTAGGTGCTTTTGCAGTGTTTTTATGGTGATTCGGCATGAACAAGTCCGGCGCTGGAAATACGTACTCAACGATATGCAGCAAATTGTGTGCGATCAGGTGGTTCCAGAAGCACACGGCAGGGTATGACCCCGGTGTCAACGCTGGCCACGCCATTTTACTGCGAGGAATTCGACGATTCACTGAACCGGTCGTCAAGCGACAGCCAGTTACCCCCGCACTGCTTCGAACAGTGATGCGGTGTGTTAATCTGCGGGAATCGCGGGGCCAACTACTGTGGGGCAGGCTGTTGCTTGCATTCTTTTTCTTACTTCGCAGGTCAGAGTACCTGTTTATCACCACCAGTATATCCTCCGGTTGGGTGACCTCAGCTTTCAGGACCAGCAAGGTAGTGCGGTGCGACCTAGTGATGCAGATGTGGTGGGCATTCGATTGTGCGGCGCGAAGAACAATCAGTATGGCCGTGAAGAACGGCGCTACCATCATCGATCTGGCAACAAATTGTTGTGTCCGATTAGAGCAGCAAGGTGGATCCTAAAAGGGGCTCGCGGTTTTAATACACCTGCTGATCAACCAGCGCTATCGACGGGCCCAGGCCGCGGCATCACCTCTGACGAATTGACTTCAATCATCAAGAGAGCAGCAGCCGAGGCTGGTCTCAAAGCCAAGCAGTATTCGACGCATTCAGTACGAGTCGGTGGTGCTACCGAGTTGCTGAATGGCGGAGCAGACCGGTTGGCGATCAAGCTTATGGGGAGGTGGCTCTCAAATGCCTTCGAGAAGTACCCCGTGCTGACCGCTGACGGCTCAAGAGACCTGGCCAGCTTAATGTGCGGTACACAGCACGCTGCCGCTCGACTCGGCTAGGTTCAACGTTTCTTGGGGAGTGCACTGGTGGAATATTGAAGGGGCTCACCACTCCACACCCGAGATACGTTCAATGAGACCTTACATTCCCCACAAGATCGCGATCATTGAAAATGGTCAGTTTCCGCGGACAAGACGGCGGAGACGTTGATGGCGAAAGAGGAAACCAAGTTTTTCCGATCGTGAGATGATACAAGGATAAAATAGTCTTGGGGTAGGAGGCTGGCAGCTCAGCCAAGGTTCATTTCCGTTTTTGCATTGCTCTCGACCCACCACTCCACACCCCAAATACGTTCAATGAAAACTAACATTCCCCACAAGATCGCGATCATTGAAAATCCATTACAGTCCGTCGTGGTGAAATTGCAGTGTGGAAAGTGTCATTAATAACATAACGCCTTCCGATTTTGTCATTAATTTTAGGACAACAATCACGGTTTGACTTGAGTTCAGTATGACGATTTAGCCGTTACGTTACTCGTACATTGTTCGTACCTGACATAGATGACAGACTCGTACTTCCCGGGTCAGGCCATCCTCCATACAAACGGCTAGTCTATTTTGGTCCTTTTCTGTGCTTTAAGAATACCCCCCCCCCCCGATAAGTGCCTCTTACTTAATATAAATTTTGTCGTTAAGTTAAGGACGAAATTGATTGGGTTATGGAGCTAGCTGACCTTCACTCGATTGTACTACAAAACGAAGGCTATAGTGCTTCCAAGCGCTGGTGATGATCACGACGCAAGGGAAAACCAACCAAGTTGGTCGTATTGAAGTGGGTTCATGCATACGCAGTAAGAACGTGGAAATTTGTGTTCATGGGTTGCTTGATTTCTACCTGTTTTGGCCATGGCATATGAAGCGAATGGCGGGACCCCGGCCCCCCCCAATACGCTCGTACTGAGTGATGTGGTGATAACAGAAAATACAAACACCATGTGCTTTTGAGCGCTCTATTATAGTCAATTGAAGCTTGGAACTGCATTTTTGCATGCTTTTGACGGGAAGGTGGTGCGTACACTACCGGCTATGATCCAAAATAAACGCACCACGAAGTACGAGCGTAATGGGGGACCCCGGGGTCCCGCCATTCGTTTCATATAAATAAAGAGCCGTTTCCTGATTTCACGAAGTCGGAGCGATGGTAACCTATAAAACTGCTGAAGACTGGGAAAGATCTAACGAAGTCAATGTCAAAGAAGTTTCATCGCGCAGCTATTGTTGACAGCCTCGACCACATCGGTATACACAGCAGGACCAAAATCCATCTAGGCAGAGGATCGGGCAGACCTTGGGGGTGCCAGTGAAGCTCACATATGGCGACTATGGAGGTGGAATACTAGAGCGATGGAAAAATGTTACTTAACTTCGCTTCCCCGTGATGCAATGCGAACACTTGCGGGTTTTGAGCCAGAGAGGGGTAGCTGTTTTCTAGCGCGTACTTGCGTTGATCCTCCCCCAAGCTCTTCAAAAACGCATTTTCCCGATGGTTGAGGAGTGGCAATCGAAGATGACTTCAGGTGAATGTGAACAGTCCATCGCAGCTGGTGGTGTTCTCGAGCTGCTTCAGTACCTTGCGCACTGTAATAATGCAAGATGCTGCAATTTTGTCCGAACAAATACCGGGGCATTCGATTTGAATCAATGAGATCGTCAAGAGTGGTGATTTTATGCACTTTCAGGTGAAGATGATGAATGCAATACCCGTAAAAGCGGCCTCACAGAACGGCAGCTTGAAATAGCCATGCCTGCGCTCAAGTCGACGCTTTATGGTGTCCGACAGGAAATGAGATCTTCATTGTATGAGATTCAAAATAGTCTGGGTGCGGTTGGGGAAAGTGTAGCTGATGTCAAGGAAGTTCTCCCTCCACTCCGGAGCGGATCAGCAGTTCTGGTAGTTAAGATCGTGAATGATTTACAATCAACCCCCAGCACCACTCATGCTGCCACCGAGACTAGTACAGCTGACAGTACACCCTGCGATTCTTCAGCAGTTACCAGTTACAGACTCAGCCGGGGTATTCAATCAGTTCGTGAGTTGTGGACCAAATGGACATGGGTGGCTATGCTGCTAAGAAGCTGAAGCAAGCGTGTAGTACCAAGTGGTGTGACCACCACAAAAGACACTTCTTCAACCGACGAAGCAAAAATTGTAGATCTCGTAATGATGATCGCCACACAAACACGAGGCGTTTAATAAGTATCAGACAATCGAAAAGGCGATCAAGCCCGTTGACAGACTCGTCAAAAATCGCTCAACTGGTTGTCTAAAAACGTAGGTACAGTTGTACGCGAGCTTGGACTGACGGACAAGAACGCCTAACTTTAAGTACAGCTGCGACCATAAACCGTTTTCGCACTCGGGGTTAAGTGAAATTACCACAGAAAATACAGCTATCCGCAGTGTAACTGTGCGGTTGAGCTATTGTGTAGGCGAGGTGACATTCTTGATGTGTAAGGTCCTGATAGATGCAGATCACGTATAACCTGGTTTACCAATTCATGGACCTCCAGGAGGACCTCATGCTAAAGCGTTACTATTCTCATCAATATTTGAGAAATGTATACAAACAAGCTATCTATCCAATCAGAAGCCAAAGTTCTTATTTTCGAAAGGCTCCCCGCCCTTTTTGAATCAAATTTGAATCGGCTATGTACCAGACAATCGGACCGTAATCAAGTGGCTCTGACCAGTTGATGGACCTCCTCTTCCCTATACAAATTTTCATATAAAACACAAGCCCACCCACTGCGCGTAACTGCAGCGCGTGGTTGGCGCTATCGCTTACCCGTTCAGCAAAAAGAAGTGAGTAGTGGTTTCCGAAGCTTAAAGTGCATGGTGGGGCTAGCAACACGTTCTCCCTCAAGTGACACAGCTCCTTTTGTGGCGTTGCATCGTAGCACAGATAGCGACACAAGAGACGGCCCACGAGGGTAATAACACTCTACGATATTGTGCATTTCACAGATTTTGTGAGTTGAATTAATGCTGCAAAACAACCATAACTCAACGGTTTTATTGCTGGAGTCAAATCTAGGCAACGTCAACTCAATGTTAAGCCAATCGGGAACCTTGCAATCCCGATATCTGTTTATCCAGTGGTTATAGGACTGGCTGCCGTCAGTCAAGCTCTTAGGCCAGCTCTGCAGGAAGTACCTACTGCTGACTGCCTCAACCTGCCGAAGAAGCGCGCGCCGAGGTGACATCAGCTCAACGCGCCGCTGGTTCGTAGGTCAAGGACACGGCGACGGACGCCTATTAGCAAGGTGGGATTGACTATTCTATTGGTCCGACTTGACGCAAGAGCGCTAAACGGACGGGTCATGTGCTGGTTTTCTCTTTAGCCGCCTCCAGCCTTCATTGTACCTACCACTACATACCCACCTGGTGTCCAGCCACGCAATGAGCCTCTCCTTGTGGAACGACGAGACACTGAGCAGCAAAATCCACAAAATAGCTTGAAGCGCTGGTTCGTGTGATATCCAACAGCTTGCTATATCTCAGTAAGGCAAACCCATACGTATTGTTCTGGTGTTGTTTGTGTTTGAAACTGGATTGTTGAAGGTAGCCGCCAAAGCACTGTCAGCATAATTTAATTAGCAAATTCTGCTAGTAGAACATCTACACGGTACGCGGGTCCAAATACATAGCACGATTCATAGCGGGATGCTAACCTTAATTGTTATAAACGGGTGGATGTAAACCGGCATGGCGTTTGAGCTCCAACTTCGCTTCCGATCTCTCTTGTGGTGAAGGTGGGGCAACCGTACTCGAACAGCAGGACCACGTACGGCCAACCCATTCGTTCGACCTGTTGCTGCGAGATGGACACTCTGTTCTTCGCGCTAAAATCAATGGAGAGTTAGCCTCTTTTTCGGAGATCACGTGGGGTGCCGAAGCTCCTATCCTTATCCGCCCAAGCGCCAACACTCCGCAAACCAAAAGTACGAGGAACTGTCCTCTTCACAGCCGGAATTCGTGAACCAGCTCACACGGCTGTGGAAGCTGGTCAGTCGCCGTGAAAATGGGTACGTATGAGGCTAAGTGACAAATGGTCGCAGTTGCTGACTCACATGAATGCTTGGTTTTATTTTTGTTGTAGCCAAGCGGGTTTTCAGTTTGACCTCTTTGTCTACATTCAACGCGTCGGAAATGGGGCTGGGATTCGAAGGGCTACGGAAGCTAGAGTTGCAGCGTCGGCCGCAGCCATTCACGAGCAGCTTGCTCGCGAAGAGGCTGCAGAAACGTATGGGCCGGTGGCCCAGCGGTACTGGGCGATTCCCACGCTCAACAACCGGACGGAGCCCCCCCCCTCGTTCCTCCATCTAGTGCTACATTCCGCCAGCTCCAGCATGTAGACGAAGCTCAAGCAGAAATCGCAGCGGCCCAGGACCAGTTGCAAACGCAGCAAGGCGGGAGCGATCAGCGCAACTTCGTTCGCGTCATGGGCCGTTTGAACGGCGGTATCGTGTCATTAGATTTGGATATGGCGGACTTACGCCGCGCTATGGGGCTACCTAGCTACGATTTGTTTCCTGCATTTCGCCCCACCCTTGATGAGAGTAGCCCTGCTGAAAATATAGAAGATGAAGATCATGCAGATGGCATGTAGCAAGTTGGTAAACTTCAACACCCAATAAAGCTCAAAGGCGTGAAGATGCTAGTGCATTGATCACCTAAAGAACTGATCTCGATTTAAGGCCAGACTATCATACCCACAATGACCGTACAGGTTACCACACTCTTTGCTTGAAGCCTCCATACACCTTCTCATCGCAACCGCTAGTGTCCGCTTAGCGTCGAAACGAAAAGCAAGTGGGGTATGCCGCGTTAACCACCTCTTTAGAAGGCCGAAACCAACTTCAATGGGATTTAGCTGGGGCGAATAGGGTGGCAAGAAGAACAGAAGCGCTCCCGTAGCGTGCACCAACTCCTCTAACTCCCTGTGCATATGGATTTTAGCGTTATCCAGGATCAAGATTGAGCTGCAAACATGTTAGTAGACTAGTAAACCAAAACTTGGCGGAATTAATAGTAGACGTACCGAGGCAAAGGCCAAGGGTTCAGCAGTGGTGCGATATGCTTTCGAAAATCGGCGTGAAAACGATTCCTGTCGAACGTCCCGGGGGTGATTTCCCATGCCGGAAACCCGGAAATTTCCATCGCAGCTAGGATAGAAACGCGATCACCTGCATAAAAGCGTCGTTAGCCAACCTAACGAGGATGTTTCAATACGATAACACTTACCTCTGTCAAATGGTTGCCGCACAATGGCAGGGGTGTTTCGTGGCGACCATGCATACCGCCGAAGCACGTCACGTCCATCCTTCGACGTTTCGTCGAGAAAAACTAGTTGCTCGGGGCCTTGGTAGAAAGGAATAAGCTTCTTGTAGTAGGCCTCGATCTCAGCTGGAACACTTTCGCGAGCCCTCTTGGTTAAACCCTTGCGGGTTAAACCGAGGTCAAACCGCAAGGGCCTGCAAATTGTGGGGACAAAAGCATTCTGTAGAGTAGGGAACGTACGCCGGAGAGCTTCTTGAAGTTCTTCGACGTAGAATGATGGGTGCTCGACCACGTAGCCCATGATAAACGCGATGCACTCGGGCGACCAGCGTTGTTTCCTTGTAATACTAGCATTGGGGATGACATTACCACGCCGTCGAAACAACAAACCCCACCGGTAAATTGAGCGGGTCGACACGCCCATAACCGATGCAACGGCAGACGCGTCAATATCGTAGACGCAGGTTAAGACAATGGCGCGCCAGCGCATATCGATAGATACAGTCATGGTGTGATAACGGTACGTGGCTTGGAGGTGGAGATGTGAACCTGGGTTTGTCGCTTTTGCTCCAGCCATTCCACGATACCCAGCGTAACCCAAGTCTAATTCAAAACCATAATGTGGAATAATGATAAGTCAATGATAAATCTAACTCCATGGGTGCTATAAAACAACGACTTAGGTTAAACGGTTTGCGTATTCAATGAATTGTCCGTTGATTTGACCAACATTTGTGAAGGGCACAATACTTCCTTTTTACATATTTCTCTATGTAGAAGCTCTTAGTTTCTGTCACAAACGTCTTTCAGTGTGTGTGTGGGGGGTATCTTACCGAGCTGAACACAAGGAATTCTGGGTCCATGATCTGGTAAATAAAGTAGCGAGCCTAAAAATAGAAAGATATAACTGGACAAAATACCGATTGGCTCATGGTCTGGTAAAAGTCCACAAATTGGTAAACCGCGTTACTTTTTAATGTATTTCACTTACCCTGTTGAGGCCCACGCGCAACTTTGTTGTAGAGTTGGGAGCGGTACGTAGCTGCTTTTGTTGCGTTAAAGTATGTCGATGTCCATTGACACAATTTGCCCTCAATAAATCGCGGTTCAGCCGCCGCTACGTGCTTCAAGGTTACGTCCATGCAATGAAGCAAGTATAGCCCACAATCCACACCGAATGATTGATGCGGCTTCGTGTTGAAGACAAAGATCTTCCATTCAAGTGCACCTTGTGAACCGAATTCCTTATCGACCGTCGACGAGGTGGAGCCAGTAAAGTGCCTCAAATGAGCGGTACTTACAGCGCGATAATACTCTTGGTCTCGATACACAGTCTCCGATTGGAGGTCTGAGTGCATGGCACTACTAACAACATTACCGAGCCCTTGGTCGGCTCTGCTAACCCGCCTAACCCGCGTCGCACTTTCCGCGATGGCGGCGTGCACTTTTTCTTCGGTGTGCATCATCTGTGGTGTAGCAGCCCGTCTATGAGCAGCAACAACGCTAGATATGTCGACAAAGCGGGCGCGATTAAAGAGGTTGTGAGCCGGTCTGCGGCTATAGTGGAATACATGGGAGCTCAGATCTCATCAGGGCTGCATTAATTGGTCGAGCAAGTGCGGTAACCTCGGCGGCGAGTAAAGCACGCACAAGCTCCCCTCGATGCGTATCCAGAATTTTATCCACAGTATTGACCTGGCCCTTGGAGCGATTGTCTACCTGAACTGCCGCCGACGGTTCCTGCACAATCTCAGGTGTTGATACGTCCGTCCGCAAGCACCATTCTAGGGCACCTCCGACGGTCTTTGCGGACATCCACGATGCCCTTTGGGGAAGTGGTTCAGTCGGAAGCTATCGTCAGGTTTGTTGCGACTGTGCGGTTCTCGACGCGGTGTTGCTTCCGCCAGACGATTCTTGTGCAAATCTCTTCCTGCGCAAGTTCGAAGCCACTTCTCATCTAGCGATTGCACTAAAACCCAAGAAGACCCTGCTTTGCTATCCAGGAGTTTAAATGCGAAACCTGTGTATGTGTGTATGTGTGTGTGAGAGAGAGAGAGAGAGTATGCAGATTAGATTTGTTGCTTTTTGGAGCGGAGGGTTGCTGATTATTCGGCCCCGTCTCTGTTGTTATTTTTGTCGCCATTTTTGAGATTCGACCAGTGTTCTTTTAGCTGCCACTTGCTGGTAACCGTCGCAACCTGTTAAACCACCTTTTGTCAATAAATCGAACGTTTAAACCGGACACAACAGTTATTCGTGTAATGAACAGTAAATATATATTGATACAGTAACTGGGTGTAAACGCTTCAATAATCTTGTGTTTTGTTGCAATTACATGACAAGAGGCCCATGCGCACGAAGCAGCTGTATTGTTGTCCACTTTCCACTTACGCAAAACTATAGTTATCCGCTGCGTTCTCGCATGGGAAGGCCCCATGGGGTCCATCTTCTGAAATGCATGGTGCTGTGCCTACCTGCGCAAAATTGCGCAGATCTGCTTTACGAGTACTCCGCGCAGGTTTGCTTGCTGTGGCAACGTGTCCTCACAACTGCTCACAACACTACCAGACACCCTCGTCAATACAAATCCTTCATTATCCTGATCTGTGTTAAGCTTTTCTTCTGTACACATATTTTTGCACAGATTGGATGGGCGCCTTTAACTTTACGGCGCCTTTAAAATGTGGACCACATGAGGAGGGATGACCTCCGGGCCGGATGGCTTTGAAAATGGGCACCATAAAGGAGTCCCTGAGGAGACGGAGGCCCTGCTAAGTGGGCACTTATACTCTGCCGATGCAAGCTAGTGCGTTGGATAGCTCTTACATATCCCCACGAAGTAGGCAGTACTAAAAGTTTGCCCAGATGCTGGCTTACGTGCTACGTAGTGTCAAAGTTAGTGGACTTTGGAAACCTGAGGCAATAGTCTAGATATTCCCCTCCTACCCGAAAACCAGCTGCTTTACTAATAGTCTTGGGCGCCTTTAATGGTGCTGTTGTGACGTTGACATAAAGGTGCTGTACCGGTAACGGTGCAGGGCCGCGCGGTATTTGCGGAGGCGAGCCCAGCGACGAGCATTCCAGCGAACGGATCCGTTGTCGCACACTCTGAGTTAGTTTTCTTTATGCGGGGGTCTGGGGGTATGAGGGGGCACCCGAAGCGGTGGAGGCGGTCTGAATTAGGAGCGGAAGAGCTGAAGCCGGCAGAGCTGCCAATACTTGGGGTGTGTGACCTGAAGACGGAGCCAGGCACACACAGCACGACCAACTTACAGCTCTGACTACCTCGCAACGAATACAGTCGCCATGGCTCCAAGACGGCCGAGTCGCGAAGGCGGAGCGTCTCCTCGCTTACCGTCGCGGTGGGCAACAGTGCTCGCGTCCCTCCAAGCCGAAGCTGGGCACTGGATGGACGACAATAGGCGCTAGAGGAGTGGAAGTGCGGTCGAACCTACTTGGGGGGCTACCATCTCGGTGAGAACGAAGCGCTCGCGCTCGACCTGGGCCGTCATCGGCACGATCCAGGCCTCCGTTTAGCCTGATCAGCAGGTTCTGATCGGCAACCAACGTAATGCGTGGGCGTGTGGTGTGGTCGACCCGAGATCGCTCTGCTTTCATGCTGGAGAACGCACGCAGTATGGTGAGCTGCTGAAGCAGGGCTGGAAACCGCGCCGTTCCATTATGCTAGGCTCATGGGATGACGAGGAGTTCGGTCTGCTCGGCAGCACTAAGTTCGCCGAAGAGCGCTACAAAGAGCTGAAGCAGAAAGCGGTTGCATACATCAACGTCGACAACACCGTGGATCTGGCCACGGGCACCCATCAATTGTCAAGTGCATCGAGGATACTGCTAAAGCCGTGCCTCCTAACGAGTTCTTCGGTAAGGGCGGCCAGCGCAATAAGCCTGGCGGCAGTCTGTACGCGCAGTGGGCGGCCCAAGGCTGCGCGTCACCGCTCACAGTACAACGGCACCCTAGCACTTGATCTAGCTCCTGGGCTTTGGTTCGGACTTCATACTAACCACATTTGCATGGAGACAGCCATTAGTAAAGCAGCTGGTTTTCGGGTAGGAGGGGAATATCTAGACTATTGCCTCAGGTTTCCAAAGTCCGCTAACTTTGACACTACGTAGCACGTAAGCCAGCATCTGGGCAAACTTTTAGTACTGCCTACTTCGTGGGGATATGTAAGAGCTATCCAACGCACTAGCTTGCATCGGCAGAGTATAAGTGCCCACTTAGCAGGGCCTCCGTCTCCTCAGGGACTCCTTTATGGTGCCCATTTTCAAAGCCATCCGGCCCGGAGGTCATCCCTCCTCATGTGGTCCACATTTTAAAGGCGCCGTAAAGTTAAAGGCGCCCATCCAATCTGTGCAAAAATATGTGTACAGAAGCAAAGCTTAACACAGATCAGGATAATGAAGGATTTGTATTGACGAGGGTGTCTGGTAGTGTTGTGAGCAGTTGTGAGGACACGTTGCCACAGCAAGCAAACCTGCGCGGAGTACTCGTAAAGCAGATCTGCGCAATTTTGCGCAGGTAGGCACAGCACCATGCATTTCAGAAGATGGACCCCATGGGGCCTTCCCATGCGAGAACGCAGCGGATAACTATAGTTTTGCGTAAGTGGAAAGTGGACAACAATACAGCTGCTTCGTGCGCATGGGCCTCTTGTCAAAGACGCCGCACCACCTAGCCAAGCCCGCATTTAACGCGCTCCAATCGCTTGTGGCCAGCGACCACCGCCGACACTCGGCCAGCCCGCCGTGAACGCCGACCGCGAAACAGGGCTTCCCGCACGAGCGAGAGTTTGCTTCCCTCCTAACTAAGCAAATATATCTCCGGGTTATTCTCAGGTTAGAAAAAACAAATAGTTCCGGTCCGGTCAGACATTCACTCCGTTCCGCATTCCGCACTCGCGATTGCAGACAGCAGCAGTGGAAAAGGTGGTAGGCCCCCTTCAACCAGATCGCTGTGGATATGGAAACAATTGACAATTGAACACGGTGGGTCTGTTTAGCAGAGGAACACATGCTAATCAAACACTCCACGTGCTGCAGCACCTCGTGAAGAAAGTTCGCCAGGGATCGGCCAAAACCCGCTGTGTGGAATCATTTCGATGGAGACAAGGAGAGAGCCATATGCCTTAAATGTCAAGGCGAGATTGTGAGCGCGAAAGTCGAGAAACTAGAGCGCCGCATCTTCAAGAATTGCCACATCCTCCAGAATTGCGCTGGACGGCTGCAGCCCCATCCGCGTACATCCAACGGCGTTCAATTCAACAGACTAAGAGCCAGTACCAGCGCGGTATCATACGGCTGGGGGGGGGGAGACGAAGTCGTCTAGCTAACGCAAAATGATCTGAACAGGCTAGTGTCAAGGTCGGTTTTCGGCGATGGGTGTGCGCTTCGGCTCGAAGTCCTTGCAAGAGAGTTTGCAGAATTCATGGCGCCCTTGATGTTGCAGCCGTGTATGGACGTCTCAGGGAACGGCTGCAAAATCGTGAACCACCAGAAGGCTGTAACGTTCGTGCTGACCGGTCCGAGATTCGAAGCGAAACTTTATACAACTAGGTGACCGGCTCATACTCGCAAACGGCGGATTACATTATTGGTGGTATAATGGGCGAGCTAAATCGCATTTGGGTTAGGTGGACTTCGTACCAGCAATGAATCCGACAGTGCTCAAACGATGTTGGCAGCTGGGGATATTATGGAGAGAACTGGAGAGAACAAGGGGTATTTGTTGTTTCCAATTGTGGCGCCCACACCTTGAATCTGCTCATCCTAGACATTTTGAAGTTGATTTCGATGGGGGAGATCCTGAAGAAGGCCCATAGCCTTGATTGCTTCGTCTTACAGTGTGCGTAGCCGTTAGCCCGATTCGTGGAGGAGCCAGAGAAGATTGATCACCTTGACGTGGCTGCAACCAAGAAGAAACGAAGCGCACCTAAACAGACACCAGCCACTGACAAGCGTAAGCGGAGTAAGCAGACAACAGACACTACGAGCCATGAAAAGGACAAGAGGACCATAACGTTCGACGAAGTCAACGCTGTTGGTCAGGACCCGCCATTCTGGGCGCACGGGAAGGAAATTATGAAGCGCTTGTCACCAATCGTCAAGAAAATCGGGGTTTTAGAAACCGACATCTGCTCCATTGAATGATGTACCAAACGTTCGTGGACCTGCTGAAAGACCAACGGTACAGCAATCCCCAAGTCATGGTTAACACGGCAATCATAATCTGCAGCTTAAATGAGAAGCGGTGGGAGTTCCTCCAGACGGTTGCGATTGGCATCGCGTTTCGGTTGGTTCCAACTGATATTCAGATGATTTCGTGGGTGATGACAACAACAAGACACTGAATTCCGCACCCGTCGTAGCGGAACGAATGGGATATAACGAAGGAATCAAGGCAAAACATATAGGGAGGCCAATGCTTTTGTGAATGTCAAGCAGGACTGGACTCAGATATTGATTACTCCTACGTAAAAGCTGGAGTTTCCACAAGTATATCCACTTGCATTTCCGAAACCTTCTAAAGCCGGAATGATTCGGAAGCTCATCTTCATCTACTCGAACCGGAATGCGGACGACGACGTTCCTGATGTCGTCTTCGGTCTCGAAAAATTCATGGGCGGGGGAGGTTGCAGCGAGCCCATTGATGACGAAGACATGACGCTGTAGAACAGTGATGGGGACACAAGCTCTACCGACGGAGAAAGCAGTGACGGGGGGGTGGAAGTTGGGGAATGAGCTCAAGCGGTTAGCTTTCATACCACGTGTGTACGTACACCCTCTCTTCTACCTCCCATACACACGCGAGATCAACTAAAGTCCGCCTTGAAATGCGCAAAGCCCACTTTGAAGTTGGGAACGTTGTTTCTTCAACACTACAGAAATGTAACGCAATAATTTAAAAGTAACACGAATTGAAGTGGCGTGATGCCGCTATGGCCCGGCAAAGGTGTAGATGGAAAAAGCTTAAGAAGTATAACTCTCGGAAATCCGGACGCGTTCATCGACCAGGAAAGGGCACCATGATGGCATAGGCCGGATTCAGAGGAGTTTGCTGATGCCCCGCACAAGTTACGGCGGTGCGTATTAGCATATAACACCAACAGGGAATGCCGTTTTGGCCCAAAATCAGTCCTAATTTTAAGCTCACTGGCGGTACAATTTACGTAGCCTTACCCATCAAGCCTACGCTTTGCTCGGACCCCATCGATCTTTTTGACAACCCTTCGTTTCTGTGAAGTTGCATTAAAGATCTCCAATTTAAATCGTGAAAACAGCTAACTAGGATTTTGTACCAGTATTTTCAAGAGGTTAATAATTTGTACTGAAACAACATGTTTGGCAGTACCTTCCAAAACAAGAACCTTTCTGGTGCCCACAACATGAACTCGGTTAGATATTGTATTGTAAAATGCATTGCTCAATATTAAGCTCCCGGAGATCTTATAGCGTGACTACTGGCGAAGTTACTGGGTTTCGACTACATGACTCGTGGATCCCGTGTATCATCCAGGAATCATCCTGAAAAAAACAACCTACATGGGTTACAGATGCTTCTCCTGTTTTTGTGCGACCGAGCCGAGCGATGTCCAAGCAGAAAAAAACGACTTTTTTGCAGTAGGTATCACATCAGTACAACTGCTTCACCAATGACAATATCAGCCTGCACGTTACTTGAGCAAAAGTGATGAGCGTCAACGTCTATCGGTATGGCGAGAAGCGGCAAGTGACGCCATCATTCCAGTATAAATCCATTACGAAATGGCAGGTCTTGCCCGGATGTCATTCAGGTAATGTCCGTGTATTGAGCGTTTGGACTCAAATTGCTCTACATTTTGTTCATCTTCTTGCGATTAGTGGTGATTCATTTTATGATGACTTGCCGCATTGCCCAGCGAGACTTGGTGATACCTGTCGGCATTACGTCACTTGAAGCAAGGCAGATCCAGAAAACGCGCTACACGAATACACCACAGCTATTACTGTCTGGTTGATGACACCCAACCACCTCTCGTCATGTCTTCTTGTAGCGCTTGCCGCTCTTGCTCTTAGGCATGTGCCGATCTATGTTGACCTTAATATGCAAGACCTGCACGGGTTGCTCGTTCTCGTACTGATACATCACAACCATTGTGATAAGGTGATAGTTATCTCATTAAAACAAGGACACAACTAGGTCAAAACCGGGTAATACCTAGCCAAAATGGCAAACGCAATATAGCGGCTTACAGGTTGGTTTGTGTGTAACCTATTTAGATCACTTCTGAACGTATATCCAGCATTGCTTGTATGTGACCATTAATAAACGATATCACACCAGGCGTGCTATGCGCTTTTTGTATGGGTAAGACTTTGATTTATTTATTTTGCCTATGTCTGCGGGTACTATGGTAGATAACATCGGCCGTCTCTTCAAAGTCTACCAGCGCTACATCCCAAAAGTAGTGTCACAGAAAGCTGTCGCAGCCGAGAAAGTGGCTGCAATGGGCAGCAAGTTTGAGGTCAATACACAGCTCACTTTTCTTCACTCTGATCGTCATAGTATAACCGCAGAACTTGGTGTAAAGTTGTTGTTGTTTCCATATCAACGCGGTGAAAAACGTTTAAGATCTTGCGAGGGATGTTCCGCGTGGGGAATACCACCTGCAGATTGGGCTAGATCTTCCTTTTCTTCATCACGCGATTTGCGATGGCCGTTTTTGCTGTCTGCGGGTCGTTTTACCGACTCGCATCGGCGCAGAGAGCAAACGGCTCAAGCTCTTTGCGCCGCTTTCTGGTGATATCTTCTACCCCGGATCGGAATGCAGCGATGCATTCTTGACATTATCCTTATATGCGTTAAGGTAGTTGGGGATGGTAGCGATCAGCTTGTCGATGTCGCGAACGTCCGAGAGCGTTACACCGTTTTGGTGTTGCTGCAGCTTATCGCAATCTCGAAATCTTTGAGCTGCACCAGCTGTTATTCTAACTTCTTTTTCTAGTAGTGGGCGGCCGGCAGCTCAGACACATCGTGGTCGGCCTTCAGAAACGCTTACAGCTCAAAGAACCGAGGACATCATCTTGAAGGCCGAGGACCAGCGTGATTCCTGGCATAGGGCAGGGCGAAGGTTCGTGTACTTATTGAAAAATAAAATACCAAAAGTATCTTAGTGGATTATAAAATATCGAAAAACAGTGAAACATGCGTAATTTACTTATCTACTCTTGACGCTTATCCAGTCTATACCACGCTTTCCCATGAAGGTAGCCACAGCCAGGTTTGGCGATGAATCCGACAAGGGGAACACCACACAATGCTGGGACCTTGCCGTGATTTGGGCACTTGTCATCGACCACGTAGATGATATCATTAGACATGGCGTGGATAAGGCCGATAGCGGTCGATAAACACGATGTGACTCTCCACCATACTGTCTTCGACCCTTCCATCGATAGTAGGGGTCATCACGAGAAGCACAGACTCGGCTCGGGAATCGTGATCGAAGACGACGAAGATACCGCCAGACTGCTCCGACGGGAAGTGCAACTGTCCAAAACGATGTCAAACTTGGCGAGCAGGGCTTTAGTGACGACTTTTCTACCTCCCCGCAGACGAGGCACACGTACTTGAATAAATTTCTGTGCAAATAGAGGGTATCGCCATGTACTTCTCATTGTCGGGAAACGATCATAGAAGGTTGCACTCGACCGCCAGGCCTAGCCGGTTGTACACGGGCTGATTGTTTGAGTTGACAAAGGACGTCAGCACTTCTGAGCAAGCGCTCGCGGCCATGGTGGAATGTAGAAGGGGTTATCGTTGCGGACGTGGTTGCGTAGATTGCTGTAACCGTCCGCCGTGTCAGCTGACGCGCGGTGCCGCATTGGCAGCGGCAATAGTCGGTGGGCTAACCATGACGAACTTAAACAAGTAGGTGTAATTTCTCTTTCTCGAGAACTTGAGATATCGTAGATTTGATTACGGGGGAGGCTCTTAGGGTTTCTTGTTAGCTTCAGAAGTGTACTGTCTGCAAACGAACACTGGGGCAGCACCCGAGAACGGTGTAGCTGCTTACTAGAGCTACTGGGCACTGCGTCCACCACCAGTGAATCCGAGCCATTCGTAATTACGCTGGTTGCAATGTATTCCAAGGGGGTATTAGCTTATTTACAACAAGCCTGGTAATATAATGACCATATTTGTTGTTATTGTGATCAGCGCCCCGAATGTCTAGTCGGTCGAGGTTCTGGCTAACTTGGACTTCAAAGTCTTATTTATTTCGACTAATCTCCTAATTTGATCCCCCATCTCTATTTAGACTAGAAACAATCTGGCCGTCAAAACAAATTCAAAAAATATCAGTTGGGGGTAAACAATACCTCAAAATAAAGGTGAGATTTGGTGTTTTCGCGTCAGCTCATTGGCTGCTTGAAAACAGCATGATTCAAGGAAACAGAACAAGTTTTCTAAACCCAATCCAATGCGATCTGAAAAAGTTGAGGTTTAATAGAAATATTGTTTCTTAAGTGGGATAGAGTAGTATCATGGCAATTAGCAAGTAGAGACCATGCGCTTAATTCGATTCGCAACAGATTTGTTTTTAAATAAGGCGGAATGTCACCGTGCAAGTCGGCATTCCGAGCTATTTGAGCTAAATAATTATAGCTTTGTAGGTATCGATGTTAGACACCAGCTTTGCAGAATGGAATATGTAAGTTGTCAAGGCTTTAGAAATAATGTACTATTTATTCAACTCGGTCGGAGCCATACTGGCATGGATGAATCCAAGGTCCGGTCTATATTGGCCGAAATATAGAAATGACTAAAAACGATATTGTCAGGAAACAATGTCGCGAAGTTACAACAGAGTTGCCAAAACATGTGCATTATCTATTGTATTGCTGTAACTTTAATATTATGCTCGAATGTGGCTGCTCCAACCGAGAATCCATTGCATGAGCGATGCTTTTTTCAAGCCGATTGCTTTATTGATGTATATACATCACCACCCAATCAATTGCCTAAGCCTCACCCGCCCAGTGAATACTCTCACCGCCAGGGCTTGCCTAGCATGATCAACTCAGTGTGATTGTCCGCTAGGACGACCGATAGCTACCGTACATGGTCGACATTATTCGTAGGACCTTGGGCTGTACCATATGAGGTCAGGTTGGGCAGCAGATCCTGAACAGCAATCAAACCCGCAAAATATTCGTCCATTTCCAGGTGCCTACCTTCGCAGGAGCGTTTACTTAAATATTCCTTATCGCGATCGGTTTGTCGTTGATGGATAAACGCCCATTTGCGCGTGACCGTTTAGCCATCTAGGAACCCAAGCGGCAAATTTACCGATGTTTACGGCTGACCAATCTCGATACGCATATTTGCTTCTCCACTCGTTGTCCTCGGTGATCTATGCCCAATTTCTAGCTGTTGAAGTTCTTCGAGTATATCGAGTAGTCTATATTTCTATGCTGAGCGACCGTTGCTCTAAACAGCTTTTACACTGAAAACATTCATAATCGGCTGGGGAAATGTTTACAATGCTAGTATGCATTCCCAAACCCCTTAAATGCACTCTTCCGTCTTTTCTTTCAGGATTAGTAATGCATCAAGTGCAATCTAGATAGATACGAGAGCAAGTGGAAGCGTAGAACCATCTTTAAACCGCTGAAAGAACCCCCAATCCCACCTAATGGTTTGTAGATAACACTTATAACAGATTTAAGAGCTTTAGACCTCTGGAAGGGCTATCCAGGGATGCATGCATAAGTCGCTGGCGGCTTGGCGAACAAAGATGACTGGTCCTCCCACTTGTCAGCGTTGATCGCATCCTTGAAAAAGTACGGCCCATATTGTCTCTGCTGGACTTAACATTAAAACAATTGGTCATCGAGTAGGCGTTGCACGATTTCCCAGCCTATGCATCAATGCATCTCGTACATTAGTCGAGTATAGACTACCTCGCCTATAACCAGATAGAGAAACGTTTTGGTAGGTATAGTATGTGTTGCTCTGGAACGCTGCTCACACGTATCAAAAACAGATGTGTATTTGTCGTTTGTTTTTAGTTTAGGAGGTAATTGTTCGAGTCAGGACAGAACCACCTCAATGGGCACCTGCTGCTTAAGGCCGAGCAAATGACAAACGTTTTGGAGATGACGAAGATGATTGCGCGAGGGTTTGTGACACTTGTCACTAAAGCGAGAGACGTTTATCATCTACAATCGACTACGCATGACCACGGTCCTAGTCGTTTCTCGCTTCATCTCAAGTGCTAGTTGCTACTAAACACGCCGCAGCAGTACCCACCGATGAAGAAGCGAAGGCCGAGACAGGCACGACAGATCCGTCTGGTCCACGGTTTTACATCATTTGAGGTGAAACGTTCCGAGCGGTCACAAATATCATCGAGTACAAGAAGGAAACTTGCTTGGAGGCCCAAGCCGATACTAAAAGCCGACACTGGATCAGTCGAATCTGCCATCATCGGATCCATCGTGATGAACGCCTCTGCACGCTTCACAAATCCAGTGCTGATGATAGTGTACATACCGTATATGGCAGGAAAAAGCATTCGCTGCTTGCTCGAAAACGCTGTCATCTAAATGTCTTGAAAATGCCGTGTTTTGTCATTCTCGACGCCGAAAACGTCGAGTTTTGTCCTGACCTTTCTATGATCTGCAGATCCAATTTTTAATCATTTGAGACCGCGGCAAACACCCGGTTACAAATCAACCTAGGTACGAATCGCGATTTAAGGGCATCTTTGCGTAGATCAGCGTCTCCTCTTTCTTATGAGCCCTCCCTGGCTTTCTAGAATTTAAATCCCATGAAGTTATGATCGTTTGAAAAGGTTATCTCTTTTTCGAAGCCGAAAACTAAAAAAAGTATTGGTGGTCTATACATAAAATTGCACGGGGGAGCCAATGGTGGCGTCGGATTGTTCAGATTCGACGTGGAACTAACCTAAAAGTTACCTTGTGTGTCTAATTTCAGAATAGTGACATTGAGTGACACTAAGTATCATTTTGATTAACAATTGGAGACAGGTAACAAAATGCTTTGCCTAAGTCTGAGCAGAAAGCTAAGCGTCCGGATGTCTTCTGCTTCTTAGCAGGTGTAGTGTCGCGTCCGCGACGGTCACGGTTTTCCTTTGCAGCCGCAGCCATAGCTTCCCGGTGCTCACGGCGCGCTTGCTTCGCCGTTTTTGCGTCTTCGCCTTGCTTCTTCGACGGGGCTGCATACATCACGTCCGACCTGAATTCCTCCGGCACGTATTTGCGAACGGTCTGGTTCATGGTGTACACCTTTTCCGGGTTGATAGGTGGTAGTGGCAGCGCCTCCAGAAACTGCGTGAATATCCGCTCGACCTTGGTGCCTTCCGTCAACACACCGTCAATCTTTCTACGGAGATCTTGTTCCTCAGTATCGCTATCAGGGCCCTTTTTGCATTGCACCACTCCCGGCTTGGACGCATCCATCGAGAAAATCTGAAACTGCTGAACACCGACTAGAGTCTTGTAGAGCTCAGAGACTAGTGGTTTGTAGCTGTAGAAGAAATCATCGCCTCGCGAGATGTGAACCGTCGCATTGGACGTGGCAGAGTCCTTCACCGCGTCGACAATGCGACCCATTGTCCAGAGATCCTGTCGCGACACGTACTTGCGGATGTGTCCAAACCCTCTGTCGCAGGAGTTCTTTGTATATCCTTTTACAAAGAACTTGAAGTCGATTCTCTCAAAGACACCCATGTGGACCTGGGTCACCAGGAATTTGATCAGGAGATTCTTCTTGTTCTGGCCCGAACAATTGTCGGCGTACACGACAAGCCGCTTCTTCCCTGCTGGCACCAGGACCGTTCGGATGAAGTGATGAAACATGGAGTTCACTTGGTCCGTGTAGTGGGCCTACTTTGGCTCACTACTTTAGCTTACACGTGTGCGCACGTGTTCGAGGAAGCGTAGCTTGGTTTAAACTAGAGTTAATTATACTCGGACCTCCGAGTATAGATTAATTTAAATAAACGATCCAAATAATGTTTTCGGGGTTAAAATGAGAACTGCTATTTTTGTTTTATGTTTCTGACTTCTTCTAAATGTAATATTCTAAGATAGGAATCTGCCAACGGCTGGTTAGCAGAATTCCAATGCTATGCATGTCGCTCATTGGCTAAAAGATGCTGCTTTCAGCCAATAGGAATCCGTCGTGGTGGTCGTAAATGTATGTAGCCTTTGGTGTGTCTACACCAAGGTCGAGAAAGTCTTTCAAACCTCTAACAGACGTCGTGTATGTTAGCGTTACAAGTGACTGTAGCCACTTGTGCGTGTAACCCTGTTACACCATCCCCCCCTCAAGGCTAGACGCGCCGAGTCACGGCACGCCAATCAGGAAATTGACCATTCGTCAATTCTTCACGTTGGGAGAAAGAAAACTCGAGCTCATTCCGCAATGAGCTCGCCTCAGAAGAAGACCAACGCTGCAACAGAGGGGAAGTCCTCCGCCGGGATAGAGACTCTCTCTATCCCCGAGTACCGCGAGCGTCTCAAAGCAAAGCGTGACGCTCTTGCTGCCAAGGCTGCGGCGGGGACAACTCAACCAGAGATTGTCCTCGAAGGTTCTTCTGTAGTCAACGATACCGTTGACTTCGAGGACGACGACGTGGAGATGGAAGAGGGCGAGGCCTCTTCTAGCAAGCGCAAGGAGTCTATCGACAGCGATAGTCTCGACCCGCATGCCGGGTCGAGACGCCATCGTGAAGGATACGACTCGGACGCTTCGAGCTCGACACTCCGCTCTCTGCTGCTGGGGCTTTAAGCTCCCCGCGTGAGGTGGCGCCTTCAAGCTATCCGCGCGCTGCCTGAGCAGCGCGCGATCCGTGGATGCCGTCTGCGTCAGAGATCGCAGACCGTGTGGGCAACACTGTGCCTCCAAACGAAATTCCGCTGTACGTATGCAGCGGATCCACGACGATGCTGTTGCGGAGGAGCAGCACTTTGATCCGTTAACGAATCAAAAGCGCGATTATTACATCAGGTTCTTCCACGAGCTCCGGTACTTTTCCAGCAAGAAGACTTCTTCTCGCAGCAAAGTGCCTGAGTGACAGGCAATTTGTCAAAGTTGAAATGCTTTTGTTGAGAACTTCAACAAGAAACCGGCTGCTTATCGCGAGCGGGTTAAGCATGCCCCTGAGCGCTTCGAGACATTCTCGACGCGCGGGCGGCTGGAGCAGCTCCACAGATCCTCTGTGGACGCTGGTATTCCGTGCGCTGTGCCCGAAGGCCATCACTGCACGTTGTGTCTTCCGGGTGCGGTGCGCTTGAGCGACCGCGACCTAAACGGGTACACGACTATTCGTGTACCTGCGAGTCTCAAGGATCTCCGTGCCAAGTTCTTGGCACGCGAGGAACGCGACGATCGTGGGACTTCGGGCACGGTAGGTGACCACAGCGCTCGCACTACCTTCGCGTCGGCAGTGCGTGGTGAGCTTCGTATGCCCTTACCATTTCTGGAACGTCCTGCAGCAGGACGCCCCGCGGCTCCCATGTATCTTGGTGGGGCGGAAACCCTCTCCAACGAATACGATAACGAACCGGCTGCCGGTTCGTTTTCGGGATACTATGGTTCACAATACGCTCAACAATCCAGCGTGCTGAGCCGCGGGCATTGCGGATCGGAGGCGGCGGTAGTGGGAACACGCCGCGGGTATGGTCAACCTGGGGTTGACCTTGGTCCGACGCTCGAGGAGCTGATCGCTGCTGTGGAACAGCATCAGAGCCGGGAGTTCGCCGCTCTGAAGCAGGTGGTGGCGATCCTGAGGGCTCAAGCCGCTCAGGGTTCGCAGACCGCGTCGGACATCTCTGTCGACGTGGGAGGTCGCGTCGCACGCTTGGCCCAGCGCGTTCACGCGCTGGAGCAGAGGTTCGCTCCCACTGGGGCTTCCGCTTCGAGCCAGCCGAGCTAGGTGGCTCGTGCTGCCGGTATGGCTTCAGCCGCCCGACGTAAAAGGTCGGATGGAGTCGCATGCTAGATGGAATATCTAGCGTGTAGGCGTTGCCATGCCGTACCAACACCGTGAACGGGCCGATGAAGCGCGGAGCGAGCTTGCTCGCCCCGAAGTCGGGAACTGCATGTTTACGCACGTTTTGAGTTGCTAACAGAACCAATGAACCTTTCTTGAATTCATTTGTGTTGCCCCTACCAACATTGTCTGCGTTCAGCTTCTGTCGACCGACAGAAGCTGCGATAGCGTCATGGACAATCCGAATGACGGCTTGTCTGCGCTGCACGAAGTTGATTGCGTCCTAGCTGAACTTGTTCAGCTCGTTTCTAGCAGTAGGCCCGGCCTCTGCGTTCGTCTTCGCGGTGTCTGTGCCCTGCACAGACCCGTTCTTCTTCTTGTTCTTCTTGCGCGTAGTCGCGGCTGACACTGTGCAAGTATCAGCGGCATTCTGCGGCTGCTGCGTTGCAGTCGTAGATCCTCCCCCGCTTAAGGAAGGGGCCACCATCCCGAGTAGACTCGGGAGGCGTGGGTGCCTGATGGCATTAACGTAGAACGGTGTATGCCCGGTCGAGGCATGCACCGAGTTGTTGATGGCGAACTCCGCCATCGGCAGACACTCGCGCCAGTGTTGGAACGAGTGAGCGTAGCTCTTAAGCACGTCTACGAGCACGCGGTTCACGCGCTCGGTCTGCCCGTCCGTCTGCGGATGGTCCGCAGTCGACATCGAAAGTTGACTCCCAAGAAGTGTAAACACTTCTTGCCAAAGGTGCGCAGTGAAGCGCGGGTCTCAATCCGATACAATGTCGATCGGCATGCCATGGTGTTTAAACACCATGTCGACGAACAGACGTGCAGTCTGCTTCGCAGTCACTTCAGCGGGTACCGCAGCAAGATGTACCATCTTGCTGAAGCGGTCAACAAAGACCACAACGCCCGTGTTCCCCTGACTGTCCGGGGGAAGACCGAACACGAAGTCCAAAGACATGGACTGCCAACACTATCGTGGAGTTGGTAGTGACTGCAAGGGAGCCTGCGCGAAAGGCGCAGGCTTCACACGTTGACAAACCTCGCAAGCACGGACGTACTTGCGCACCCATTTGTACTGGTGGGCCCACTAGAAGTCTCGCGTGAGAAGAAGGTATGTCTTCTCACGGCCCGGATGCCCCGCAGTCGGTGCATCGTGATACTCGTACATGATCCTGAGTCGCAGGTCATGGTCATTGGGCACGACAACGCGGACCGCGTTGTCGTCGACTGCACTGTAGAGTAATAACCCGTCGTGCACCCGGTAACGGTGTGCACGAGCACGAAGATGCTTCGGCAGCTTCTGACGAGCTTGGTCAGAAGGCGCTGAGCCGAAGGCCAGCAAGAGCTTCGCGCCCGAATCGTGCGCGAACGCGACCTTCACGTTGTCCAACAGTGACGACGTTGGGGTGCTCGATCGCATGGCGTCAATGGCATTGACGTCGGCATCAGTCGTGGCGTAGTCAGGTCGACGCGAGAGCGCGTCGGCCGCCACATTGAGTCTTCCGGGTTTGTACTCAACCCGGAAGTTATACTCTGCGAAGAATGAGAGCCATCTCGCCATCCGTTGCGAGATGTGCGGCGACTTCATAGCCGTCCGCAGCGACGCGTGGTCTGTGTAGACCACGAACGGTTTGCTTCCGAGTAGATACACTCGCAACTTCGCGAGTGCGTACTTCATGGCAAGGAGCTCCTTGTCATGTACCGGGTAGTTGCGCTCAGCTGGCTTCACCTGGCGCGATTGGTAGTAGACGACACGATCACGACCCTCGTGATCGTGCTGCATCAACACACATCCGATTGCAAAGTCGGATGCGTCACACACAACGTGGAACGGGCGATCTTGGTCGGCCACCGCCAAGATCGGCGCCTCCGTCAAGCCCTGCTTGACTGCATCGAAGGCCTGCCGACACTCAGCAGTCCAAACCCACTCGGCGTCCTTCTTCAGAAGCTGTGACAGCGGGCGAATCGTGCCAGCATAGTCTTTCACATACTTGTACAAGTACGTGACCAAGCCAAGGAACTGTCGCAGTTCCTTGACGTTCGACGGCGTCGGCCACTCAATGATCACTCAGGTTCAGGGCGGACACCGTTCTTCCCGACGAGACACCCGAGCACGGGTATCTCGCTCGCCCCGAAGATGCACTTCTTCAGGTTCGCATAGAGCTTGTGCTTGCGCATGAGCGCAAGCAGCTTCCGGAGATGCACCTTGTGCATCTCAACATCGCTCATCCCGTCCGCAGCCCGGCTGTGGACGAACACATCGTCGAAGTAGCTCGGTGCGAAGTCGCGCACCGAGCGCAACAAGTGCGTCACGCACCTGTTGAAGGTCGCAGGGGCGTTCTTCAGACCCTGCGGCATCACTAGCCACTCCCAGAGCATGCCGCTCGGCGTGCTCACTGCCGTGAGAGGGATATCGCTCTCACGCATGAGGATTTGATAGAACCCATCGCGCAGATCAAGAGCACTGTAGATAGTGCTCCTGGCCATCGAATCGATGATAACATCTTTTCGAGGTATCGGCGTCTGCGCCGGTATCGTCGCATCGTTCAGCTTGTTATACGCATGAACGATGCGCCAGCCGCCCTGTGGCTTCTTGACACAGAACGTCGGAGCACTGTGCAGGGATTTCGATTCCCGCACTTGCCCAGCTTTGCGACGACTTTCGAAGAAGTTGTCGATCGCTTTGACCTGCTCTCGCGGCAGTGGCCACTGCCGCGTGACACAGTACTTCGTGCCCGGCACGAGATCAATCTCGTGCTGGATTCCCTTGTCCTGCGGAAGCTCCGCAGGAATCTCTTCCGAAAGTACGTCCGCGTACTCCCGTAAGATCTCGTAGTAGGGACTCGTCTTCTACGAGTCCCAGCTCTGCTCTTCAAAGCGCTCCTTCTTCGTCTTCGCACTGAGAGTGTCCTCGCTCTCAGTGGTGGTCTCCATGAAGAACTGCCTCAGTTCTTCATTCTCGCTCTTCGTTCTCTCGGCGTCCGAGAGAATGCATATTTGCTCGATGCGTCCATCGTGCAAGTCACGCGCGAAGCGCTTCCAGCTCATGACTGGAAGCGAAGTCAACTCCGACGCTTGCGTCGGAGGGTTAGCGAGAGTCATCTCCCTGTACAGGAACCCGGCACAGTTACGCGTCAAGACGTTCAACGTCTCGACGTCCGATTTCTCAGCCTCCGTCTGCACGACAGCATGCAAGTTTTTCCGGTGCGGGACGTTTGCAACCGTCCGCACCGCCTGCAGCGTCGGCTCCCGGAGCCGACACGCCATCTTCACCTCGACGCCTGTTATTGGCGGAGCCCTCCATTACGGAGGGTGCGTCGGCTCCCCGAGCCGACGAATCAAATTCGTCCAAGCTGTCGACTCCCGGAGTCGATGCGACTTCAATACCTCGACGCCAACCGTTGGCGGAGACCCCCATTACGGAGGATACGTCGGCTCCCCGAGCCGAGGAATCAATTTCACCCAAGCCATCGACTCCCGGAGTCAACGGCGTTACGTCACCTTGGCTCTTATTATTGGCCAGACCTGATCCAATCAGATTCGCGTCAGCCTCCACGGCTGAGGCGTGTGACTCGCCTGCGTCATCCGTGCTCCTTGAGACCGGAGACTCTTCCTGATTCGCTGAAAAGCGGGTGTCGACCTCCGAGGTCAACACATTTCCTTCATTAGCTGTCGGCGGCAACGCCGACGCTAGCTGCTCTTGCGCGCGTGCTCGCGCGCGCCCAGGGCGCTCCGGGACAGCGGCATTAGGCGCTGTCTCGAGTGGGGAGTCGCGCGCACCTGTCGGTGCGTGCGTAGCGGCAACAGGGCCATCGCACACTGTTCCGCTATCGCGACCGAAGCGCACGAGAGTGCGCTTCTCCCAATCGATGACCGGATCATGCCGTGCAAGCCACGGCATGCCCAATACGATGTCAAGCTTATCGTCCATATTCAGGACGATAAAGGTCTCGACAAACTCTTGATCTTCATACGTGAAGCGCACGCGTACTATGCGCTTCTCGGTCTTCACGACGGCACCCGTTGCCAGTCGTACTTCCAACATACTTCGAGGTATCTTTAAATCCTCGAAGTCAAGCCTTGATAGACTTCGCAGTCGAACAAAGTTCTTCGACGCGCCCGAATCTACCAAAGCACGGAGAGAGCCGCTTGCTCTCATCGAGTTCACCTTCGGGATGACAAGGTCAGGCTTGTCATCTTGGTTCTTGCAGTGAGAATGAATCTCACTGGGGGCTGCAGTCCTCAGTGTCGCGTGTCCACGGTCGACACGCGGAACTTCATTACCAGTAGGGCGCCCCGCGCCTACTGGCGTCCAGCGTTTTTTCTTTGGTTGCGACGTTGCCCGGCACCGCCGCGATAGCCACCCTGCTGGTGCACGGGGGCCGTGCACTCCCGAGCATAGCGACCGACTCTACCGCAACGGTAGCATCGCACATTGTTTCCCTGTGACTGCTGGGGTCTAGCAGTTGCAGCACTCGAGAGGACCATGGGTTCTGGGCCTCCCGCCCTCCCTACCGGGCGTGGCTGTGGCCTCGACACATGTGCATGCAGCTTAGCCTGCCGCAGGCTAAACTCCTCCTGCATTGCAAGAGTATTTGCAGCTTCGAGAGTACTCGGGTACTCACGGAAGAGATAGGTCTTCACAGGCCCATCTCTCAGTCCCTTCATGAACGTGACGACCTTGGTCGCCTCGTCGATTGGCTTGGTCACGATGTTCGAGACCAAGTACCGTGCTCTCTGAGCGTAAGCATGGACGTCATGCTTGCCTTGCTGCAGGTCGAGAAACTCCACCCTCGACCGGAACTCGTTTTGCGGTGGCTCAAACGCTTGCCTGAGCTCTTCCTTGAAACCCTCGTACGTGCTGAAGCACGTAGGATCCGAGAGTAGGCGTCCATACGCCCAACTTCTTGCACGTCCGCCAAGACATGACATGG